ACAGAGTCAGCACGGAAGCCTCATAGTAAATACCATGCAGAAAAATTCACTCGAAGGTTGTGTTAGGTGCCAGATATACATCACTCAGAAAAATCATGCAAAAATTGAAACAAAGTTTGCTTCTTGTGCATCCCGTGATTGGCCTCGCTAATTGTTGCCCTACTGATCCAAAGATATATGCTATTTTCAGCTTAGGCTACTGTCTAAATTCAAGGGTTCCCCGATGCCAAAGTTCACAGCTGAGTAATACTTCGTTCTAAGCTTTGTATTAAACCTGTCTGAGACTTTCAATCAGGTCATCCACACCTATCTCATCAACAAGTTCAGGTTAACAGGAATCAAGTCAATGTTAATAGATCGGCTATCGTTACACTTAACTTATTGCCTGTCTAAGGTTTCGGTTCATTTTCCTATATCTAAAGAAAAGTTACGCCCTGTTAGGGTTTTAGGATTTGTCCTGGTGCGAACTTAGCAGACGCAAAATCCAATCACTAATTATTCGGACTTGTTATATACTCACGAGTACGAGACCAAGGAAGAACACGATAACGTAGTCGGATGGAATAGTATATTTGGATAGTTGTGCCAAGACACCGATGCGTTCCAACTAACTGGCTAGAGAGTCTAATACGAGCAGTGCAACGTAACACGACAGCGTGCCAAATGGCGAGGATGCTTGACTGGGTGCCTTCAGCTTAGCGAGTCCAGTTAAACTGTCAAGGTCAGCGTCAATGTCGAAAGTTGTCAAACCCTAGGCTATTGATTTTGGGGAAGTGTGTGACGCTACAGGGTCATCAGGGGTTCTTTTGTGGGCCTTTTGTTCCTCATTTACACAGATGGCTTGCCTTTGCAAACGTCTTCTGAAATTCCTATTTTTATTGACGACACGAAGCCATAGAGAGGGCGGTAGATTATATTCACAGGATGATGTGACTCGACTTTAACATTGAAGGGAATACAATGGACCAACCCTCAATTCTGAAAAATGTGAGGCGATACATAAGCGGAATGGTGTGTTTCAGACAAACAAACTAAACGGGCTTCAGCTGAAAGTATCTGTGGTAGAAAAAGGTCTTGAGATATTGGCCCACCATAACCCTAAGCCTCGTACCAACTGACAAGAATGCCATCCGCGCAAATCTTGCCATCTTAACCGTGCTACGAGTCGTTAGACTGTTTGATCACAAGCGCTTCCACTATGTCCGCATCAGTTTCCCACTGAGATACCTGAACTTGGGGGCTGTCGTCTTTCTTCCTTCACTTTAAAGGGATAAGGACCATTTAGGACGCATCCAGATACTGTGGGGTAAATCTTCTGGAGGACTATTGTTAATGCCTCATGAGGAAGACATATCTGAACTGAATCTGTATCCCTTGGGATATGCACGACTGTGAGGTGATCTAACATTTTAAGTACTTCGGGTCGCCCACTTCAAGATTTGCTCAAGCTAATTTCCAGCATGAATATCGGAGGCAACGACCAGAACACAGAAAGTGGTAGGACAGGCGTCCAACGTAACGCTCAGTCCCTAAGAATTGGTTAGACCTGAAAAGCTCTTCATGTGCTGGTTGTTTGGGCTATGTCATAGCAGTCTATCAGACACAAACTTCATGTCCCTTTGGGATCACAGCATGAGCCTATAGATTAAACCAACAAAGGCCTGGGTTTTAAAATGTTTTCTTTTTGTATCGGAGTAGTGTGACACAGGAACCAGCGGTTCATTGATACCGTAAACGGAAGCCAGTAAAGCGAAAGTCACTTTTCTTCCAACGAAAATCATTTGAGACCACGTTCGACTTGTCCATTTGATATAGCACGCAGTGATACAGCATTAATAACTTCAGAGGAATACAAAAATCAGATGTCGAAAGCTGTGTGATTACTTTGATATGATCATGAACAATAATTTATCCCCAAAACGTCACCAAGTAAATAAAAAATGTGTCACTGTGTGATATATGAAAAAGAAATATCTCATATAAAATCACCACAGAGCCTAAGTTTTACACTTGTAAGTTATCTGTGCCAAATTGTGGCAAATTCGATAGAGCGCAGTTTATTGATGCATCTTCCAGTTACTGTCCATTCGTTATCAAGCCTGACGTGTTTCGCTCGTCTCTTAGCTTTTGGATTTTTCCACAATGAAAAACTCCCACTTTCAATACTCAATCTAAAAACATAGAACGTTTGCAGCACTTCTGTCCGTCCACGCACCTCACCCCTGCGCATTCGTCAGCTCACTCCTCAACAGTTGAAAATTGGCATTATTATTCCTTTGAACCAACCGGTCTACCTCCTGTCAGTGGTTCTTGGGCGTTTCAGCTGCCAAACTGCCTTAGCTCTCGGTTCTCCTCGGAGGTCATTCCCCAGGAAATATCTTCCCTGGTTATACATACGCATCTGGAGCTTACGGTTAAACTCGTTGGTCAAGAGCAGAGGATCAAGTGACAAGTGTCTGAAGGTGAGCCAACATAAATTATCTTCCCTTTTCTATTCTGTCCTTTTGCTGCATTCAGTCTTCAACCCTCTTATTGTTGTTAACTACTTGTTTTCCCAAGAAGTTTATATCATAGCGACATGTCTGCCCAAAACGCTAGGTCTGAAGCTTTGACACGGATAACGCGGTCGTGCACAAAAACGGCCAGTAACACCCTAAACAACACACTAGTCTGTACTAGAAGACAAACAGAGGTAGGGCAGAACACCGAACTTCTGAAGAAGTGGCCAACCCATGTTTCTAGAATTCCAGTAGCCATCAGACAGGTGACACAGAGTAGCACTCACCCGTCACAAACTAGTCCTATCTTGAGCAAGGATCATACCATGCCTGAACATAGAAGACGACGTAAAAGGCTTCAGAACAAGGCAGCCACAAGCAGTTCGCCACAATCCGTAGCACCTTATTCATGGAAGGAAGGCTGTATTACGACACCCGATGGCTGCAGTGTTTGCACCAAAGTTGTTTCGGTAGTCGATGAGGCATTTGCATGCAACCTGTGTCAACGATGGGCGCATTGCCACTGCGATACCAAAGTCCCCCGACAATACTATAAGCTGATGAAGAGACAACCATGCAAGTGGTTCTGGTACATCTGTCCAGAGTGCAGGAAAATGCCCGCACTCCGCACAGAAAGCCTGAAGGAGATGCTCTCCGCCACGCAAAAGCTACCAGCATCCCCGAATAAGGTAGGGTTAACACCAAAGGATAACACAGAGAGACCTGGAAACAGACCTAGAGCTCCAGCTGTGGGCACGCCATCTCGCGTGGGGACCATATTAGGTCAAGTCTCCATACCCCCACCCGGCCCCAGGGGACGTCAAGCGCATGGCCAAAGACATCGACCGCCGAAGCCTCTACGAAACCCATTCCGAACACCCCACACACCGTGACTGAGAAACAACCAGTGGAATTACTCAAACCCATTGGGAAGTCGGGCGTGCCACCCACAACGAACCCAGGTCACAGGAGGACCAACTCGATCATTTTGTTCAACGTCGATGTATCGACAGACTCATTGTTGGTCGAGAGGGAACAATTTGACAGCCGAATGTGGACCGACTACTGTCAGATGCTGGGACTCCCTCCCCTCCCTGCAACTTTGTGTCGCCTTTCTCGAGGAAGCCATGCACCCCGAGATAAGCCACCCCCTTTACGTGTGTCCCTAAATACCGCCAAAGAGGCTGAAGACACACTCCTCCTCTCGCGACAACCGGACGTTGTTAATGCCTGTAAAATTCGGGCCAGGCCTGACAAGCCATGGTCAGTAAGAGAGGAGGAGAGAAAGTCAGCGGTTGGAAATCCCAACAGAAACAACACTATAGTTGTACATGGGATTCCAGAATTGCCAAGTGACAGCTCGGTCAAAGATCGGTACTTTCACGACGTCCAACAATGGCAATGGCTCTCAACCAAAGTTGGTCTCAACAGTATACCGGCCAACAGCGTCAGTAGACTGCCAAGGCCAGCGCACCTGAAGACCATACCCAATCCCAGACTACTTGCCGTCCAGTTCGACTCATATGCCTCCCTCACAGACGTTCTGCACGCATGGTATAATGCGAAAGATCGCATGGGTGGCTCAATACGTATATGTGAAAGTAAGCCTAGACCCACAAGGCAAGAGGAGAGACGGCAACCACCAAGACCTCTGGAGTCAGTGGTCGTCACACAGGCGCTGACCAGTGAGTTAGATACATCAAGTAAAGAAGCCACCACTGCTACAGCCCCCACCCAAGTTAAGAACAAAACACAAAAAAACGGAACAATGCCAGTCCTATGAGGACTGGCGAGGCTAAAATCAACCACGTAAGCGCTCATCCCGCGAAAATACACATCCAGACCTCCCCCTCATCAGGTACACTCTAATATGTATGTACAGCAACGTTAGGGGGCTAATAGGGAAGGTAGCAAAAATGAGGACGCTGCGTGAACATCAGCACTCCGACATCATATTCATCACCGAATCCTGGCTCTCGTCGGACATCTCCGACGAAGAGATGCGTGTTGCTGGCATGGAACTCTTCCGCAGGGACAGGGAACATAGAGCAGGAGGGGGAGTGGCTATCTACGCAAACTCCTGTTTAAAGGCAAGGATGGTTAGCGATACGGCCTTAACCCAGCTCCCAGAGTCTCTATGGTGCTACTTCACTCTCTTCTTTATTCTCTCTTCATTCCTTTACCACTACCTTACTATTCTCTTCCAGGTACCTACACAGACAGGAGTCATGGCAGTTCTCTAAACTTCCCAGCAACCCGTAGCTCCCTAATCACTCTACAAATTACAACCTACTAACCCACAAAACATCCACCTCACCGAAGCTAAAAGCAAGAAAGCAGAGGGGATTTCCTCGTCCACTGCAGGAGTAAACCGAACAACTGGAACCAAGCCCTAAGAACTAGACGCGAGAGATCAAAAACTACTAGTTTTCTACGCTCGCACTATCAATATTGGAATATTGGATATTGGATTCGGAGCAAGCGCAATTTTCCAACTTAGTGGCTACATGAGGCATGTTCTGAAGATGATCTCGTGTTTAGTTGGAGTGTCCAGGATTTGTTGATAATTCTTCCATGATGTAACTTACTGACCGTTGGTCTGTATTAGTGCCTCCTTATTTTCAACCCAGAAAACTACTTAAATCTGTCTAGTAAGACACGTACATCCTGGATTTTTGACTGTTACAACTGACGTCGACTTTGAGAAATAAATGTCTTCAGAAGACTCAAAACTTGGTTGGATTACGGCCTTCCTTAGAGATCTATCTCCGGATATTGACGCTGATATAGTTGGTGAATATATATCTGGGATAATCAGTGTTTCTCATGATCATAAGGAATCACTTCACATAGAAATAGAAGAATTACTGTCTGCTTATCTCGTAAGTCACGTATTTCTTTATCTGCGCTCAAGTGCCTAGCTATCTCATAAATTCTTATGGTTGTCAAAAGCCTGTGTACTTGATTTGTGACGAGGGTACTGGACCTTATGAAGTCGAAATTCCCAGAAACAGGAAGTTGAAACGAGCTACAGAAAGATATCATGTAGTTTTCAGATTACTGAAAAGTGGAGGTGGGTCAATAAATTTCGAGGTCAGTTGTAGTCAGACTTTTGTTAAGTTGAACCGTAAATCGCGGAGTGACTCACTTCACGCCATGAAGGGGATATTAGGGTCGCTTGTATACCGTCTCGTATGCACTAGACGGTGAGAATGTTTTGGCCATTGCTGTTGCTGATGCTTTGACATTCAATGCCACGCCAAAAGCTGCTTGCATATTTCAGTGAAGTTAAGGAATTAATTTAAGGGTAAGACGGTCACTGGGGTAGTGTACGATTTCTTACTAAGTTGTATATTCGGTATAACACCATGACATAGTATTAATTATTGGATGATTTTTCGAGCAGGATTTACTACTTAGTAGTATCAAAGTTGAGGAATGTTGGTCATAAGTAAAGAGCGCATAGGTGACTTTGAATCACTAGTCGGGTTAACCAGTAAGCTACAAGTGAAAGGCGATGCATATTTCCTGTGCACACAGTCCCTTCCTAAAACTTTTCAGGCACTTTGTGGATCAGGGACCTATACGGAGACGAAAATTGTGTTACTGCGAGGGAAACATGACTGTCCTCCGGTATAGAGAAGCTATTGGTGGTTATGTATTCTAGTTTTACTGTATCACTGAAGAGTCTGCTTGTGATGGTACTTTGTCACTCAGTCTGTCCTTAGGCACTTTTTTCCAGGTTTATACTTTCAGAATATAATCAAGTCTTGGATAGATTCAGGTAAATAATTTGGTTTAGCTTTCCCATCGATACTTCAATGAAAATTGGGAACAAGTTACTGCATGTTTCTGAAAATTTTCCCATCTTATTTCTGTCACTATATGTATTTTATGCGCTTAAAACTGCTCTTTTTCTTGCCATGTCATTCTAATTTTTCTGTGCGTTTGTTGGCTGTGATCACTGTTTCCTAACTTTGCGATCCAATTCGTTTTCTACATGGCATCCATAGATGAGACCAGTGTGTTACTGCGTTGTCGGTTGTTTCAATTTTTCAGGGATCTTACATTAAATAATATATTTTTAGCTTCTCCTTGCGCCTTCTGAGCCTATTATAGTCATTTGTCTTGGCTACTTTGTGTAAAGACCATCCTAGAGTTTTCATTAGTAAGCATAACACTGCAAGTCACTACCGAGTCCTCTCGTCATCCAGGACCAGGGCTTTTACATTTTTTTTCTTTTTCCTTAGGTGACGTACTAGATGAGTTGCACCATCTAGATGATCCTTCTTCGGATTTTGTCTATAAGTTGTTTGTCTAGTACCTGATGTTTTTGGATTATTAGTGGTTGCGTATTCCAGACAAGAGTGTACACACGTGTTGAATAGGATCTGTGGTAAATCTGCCAACTACTTTGAGAAGCATTCCTAATATGGAATTAACCTTGAAGGTATTAATTGTGTGCTTAGAGTTAATGAAACTAGCTGAGATTAGCACTCATAGGTTGCTTTTTCCACATTCAGTGTTTCACTGCTTACAATAGCTTAGTTGTTGGTTGCAGAGCATAAGATACACATCACTTTGCTTGAGCTGGATTTTAGGTGGTTTTCTGATTCTCACTAGGTTACTCTCCTCACATTAATTACTAGCCTATCATAGCTGTTTTCTTCCATATCTTTGAGTTGTTCACGTCCGGGACCAGGGATTACTGCATAACGGTCCAAGTTACCACATATATCAGCAAAATAAGCAACACACCAATAAAGTGAAAGATAAAGAATGGAAAAAAATTGGTCAAAAGTAGTAAAAAGAAGTGAAGGAGGAATAAGAAAATACTGAATTCAGGATGATGATTAAGATAAAGATAATGTATGGGTATGTCTGCGCCACCGAGATAGATTCCCAGGCATGTCACCTAGTCTACAACTATAAGTCTGTTGTCATGCGTACCGTAGCTAAGAGTACCACATTTCCCTACACAGCTCAGACCTACAGTTAAAGATTTCATGCAGTGATGCCATGCTTTTATCTGGCCACCCTCATCCTTTTTCCAGCCTGTACCTACTTCACCTAACATTGTGCAGCGAGGCAGACGTTTGAATAGGCATGCGTAACGCATGTTCCAGCCATCTCAGTGAGTAAAGGTTCACAACCGCATCAACTGATTTTCCACTCCTCCCTAAAACTCTGTACCGGACTTCTTTTTACACCACGACACAGCCTATGCTACGAAAGCAACGGTGACCGAGCACCTGAAGCCTTCTCATGTCTTTTACCTTTAATGGTCATGTTCCACGGCCATACATTAGAAAAAGAGCGGACCACTCCACAGTACACTCGACCATTAATAGAAGATCGGCGCCGCAGATGGCGTATGTTGGGGAAGCCCAGTTAAGCTTTTTTTATGTGTAGAGGTTTTGTCGATCACCGACCCACCAGGGTTGCTCTAACTTCCAAGGTAAGTGAAATGGTTAGTGCACTCAACCATGTAGCCCCTTATCATTGGGCAAAGCATCAGTGGAGACCAATTCTGGAGCAAGAACGTGCATTTGGATGGCGAAAAACATCCCAAGCCTTCTGGAATTTCCAATCTTGGTGTCCAGATTACATCTTGTCAATGTTATCTATGTACTAAGGATTCTCCCGTGCTAAGATAAGTTCCTGTAAAGTTGGAGGGTGGGACCTGCTCAGATACATGTCATAAAATCGGATTGGAATGGATTAGGCATCCTTGACGAACCACTGGACGTACGCAACTTACTATAGATTCTACCACACACACTGATTTTTTAGTAAAGAGGCTTCAACAGAGTTGTGTACTAACTCAACACTCCTTTCGGCAAGACACTGTCACAAGACCTCTTGGTAAAGTCGAATCTTACTCTAGGTCAAGAAGTACAGCCAGTGTCGGGGGTTGATATACCTGTGTTGTAGAACCTAGCGAAGTGTGAATATCTGTTCGATACACCCACGGTCAGGTTTAAAGCCTTCCAGATTTTCTCGGGTTCGCTGTTTCAGGGCTGCACCTAGACTCCTGAACCTAAAGTCATAGACTTCGTCGGAGTGATTCTTTTGTGGTTATCACAAGAGGACCTCTACCTTTTGTGAGGATCGGGACTATCAGTGATTGAAACCAGTCAGTGGAGATCATGTCTGACTCCTATACACTAGTTGATACCCCAAATTGACGTGATCAATAACTCTGTCCCGCCACCGCTTTTAAATACCTCTGGAACTAGTCCACTTGGTCCTTCTGCTCTGCCTCTTGTCAGGTTACCTACAACTTTCGTGACTTCCATATGTTGTGTCCTATTTCGATGCCGCTTTCAAGATCCGACTGGATAGTGGGCAAACAAATTGTAGTTGCAGGCCAATTGCACTGTTCCTTGAAGTCCCGGATTCCGTTCCGGACGTAGTTTTACTTCCAGTCATATCTTGATATGACTGTGGACAATAAACTATGTCCGAAACGTAATCCAGTAAACGATACTGTTTCACTATGCGCTATATCTAATAAACCAACTAAAATTGGATTATATTCTGTCACAGTGCTCAAGTTTCACTTCTATATCAATGTTCCTTGAATTTTTTTCACCCATCGTCCTAGTTGTGTCCCCTCTGAGTGAATCTCAGATCAATCATTCTCCGCTCGTCTCACTAACCACCAGCCTCTTCGCTCTAGTTTCTTTGATAAGTTTAAATAGCTGGCTACTGTTGTCTATAGCCTCTGCCTTTTCCATGTGACTAGTCTTCGCAGTCATTGGACAGACTTCTCACTACATTTGAGTTGCTTCCGCTCCTCATTATCTTCGAAACTTGGAAGGATGCGTCCACATGCACCCATAAATTCAGAAAAAGCTGTTGAGACCCACTGGCTTTTTCTAACCACTCTGTGAGTGTCAGCTAGGGTCTTCAACTCCGTTTTTATGACAGATCGGAGATGGCCCCAGGTTTCTTCTGGGTAAGTTATGTTGTTCCATTCCGATATCTGTCTAGCTAATTCCTCGCTAAAAGTAGCCTTAGTATTATCACCATGATGCTGCTCTGACAATGATCTTACTGCTATAGTTTTCCCACATCCATTTTGGCACAGACGTACACATGCTATGGAAGGAGTGGCAATCTTCCAGCAACCCTCTCCAGCGATAACTGATAACAGTGTGGTCTATCTGTGTCCACCGCTGAGTTCAGGTAGTTGGACATCATGTCAGACAATGTCTGGCCATAAATAGATGGTTGTGGCAAGCGTTCGCCATTATCTGTTTGTTTGACTGGGATTCTGAAAGTGCCACTTATCCACCTTTCCGACTTTCCTGGCCTCCCCTTCTCTTAGGAAGGGCAGTATTGATATGAACTCCTGGTCATCCATGGAAAACATCTTACTGTTTCCACACCTCGTCCAGCCAGTAGTACTACTTTATCCTTCTACCCCCATTACACTGTAAGCTATTTACACTATGATGTTAACTGCTTTTTGTTTTACCACTTTCCAATAAGCCTTTCTAGTATAGTAGGACCTCAAGGAACATCCATTCCAGCCAACGATATCCAAGCCCGACCACCGCGTCAAGGTAACAGCTATTGGTCAGGTATGATACAACTGTATCACTATAATTTATTTCGATATGTGTGATATGTATACATGATACATATCCAAATAAATCATAGTAATGGAATTGTATTCATTCCTGTAATAGAAGTTTTAAGAATTTTATTAACCTTTATCATTTGTTTCCTACCTTGCTGCTTATCTGAACGTTTACTCGCTTCATTTCATCTCAACACTGTTGAAAATGGTGGTTTTTTATTGGTTGACTGTGCTACAGTCAGTTTATTATTATCTTTTTACCATAGTGAACTGTTATTCTCCACGTTGTGTTTAAGTGCTTCGGTTAATGCCTATGAAGTAATATGCATTGCTTATTTCTTCACCATTGGTTTTTCAAAACATCAAATCTTTATCAAAGTGGTTAAAGGTAGATTTGAAGGATAATTCTGATAGATTACGTGTATCCCTACTGTTTTCCTATATTTGTCATTCATATCACAAATCTTAAGATTCATACAACGTAACTGTAAGCTGATTTACATATTAGCAACTGCATTCATTTCTTTTTAGTCCGCCGAAAAATCCAAGTCCGCAGCTGCTGAAATTATTTCAAGATGCAGTAAGTCTCCTATGTAATTAACAGGTACTTCATTCGTATTGTTTTGTTTTTTATTTGTACTTGAAGGTAACTGCAAAGACTCAAGGCTAATATTAGGAGTCGGTGTTTAGTTAGATATTTGCATAGTTTAATCAGATGCTTAGCTCACTTTTAGGAATAAGTCATGAACATTCCTGCCAGTGATTCGTATGTACGAATAAGTGAATATGCTAGGGGATCAAGTTGTCAGTAAATTGTAGTAGTTGTAGTAGTAGTAGCGATATGAATGATTTAGAATCCGTATGTTCGATAATAATCATGTTTAAGGTTATCGTAAATGTTTTACTTCGATGCAGTACAGTCCATCGGCAGACAGACAGACAAAATCAACGGAGAGCTTCACACACAAGTGCAACGGTTCAATTTATCACACTTCATAGTAGTATACAAAGAACAGGAAGATAGAAAAAGACTGACAGCAAAGTACAGAAAGTTGTGTGAGAATAAACAATTTGAAGGTAAAGGTTAGTGAGAATACTCAAGCTGTAGAAGTTGTCGAAGAGTCTGTGCATCTGCGCTATTACGATGGATTTCTAGCCATGTCACCAAGAGTCCTCAACCTTCTTTCCCCTCGGACGCCCCATCTAGCTAGTGTGCATCTCCTAACACAGCTCAGATCAACAGTCAAGGACTTCATCGTTTGGTGCCGGGTCTTATTCTGGTCACCCTGAACTCTATTCCAAACTAATCCAACTTTCCCTTGCATGACATTTCGAGGTAGACGGCGGCTCTTCTTCGTAACACATGTCCAAGCCACCTCAATCGACTAAGATTCATAACCCCGCCAGTCGACTTGCCTATCTTGCCTAGTGAGTTCCATCAGCATCATACGTACAGATTAAGACTATGAATATTAGGTTTGGCGTGATTTGAATCAACAAATACACAATCAGTTTTCAAACAAATGGGACTTCCAGCATGTCAGTTTATCATCAAGCTTACTCATATTGAGGCAACGGATAAAGACAAAGTTAAGCTTATAATTAGTTTAAGAGGATTATTTATTACATTGTTTACTGATTTATCGAGATCCGTGTCTATGAAATAAACAGAATAATGGCTCGTACCAAGGTTAAGCTATTAATTTGACTCAAGCATGGTACCAGTACATGAAACCTTCGACTGCTGATCCGATATGAAGAGGGAGGTTCAAGTTTTCGGAATACGTTCTGCAGGACAACCGAAGTTGGTAGTTGATGACTAAATGATATGGCTGAAATCAGTCACATTCATGCAAATGCATCCACATCGTATCTTCATTTTAAGTACCATATCACATCTCCTTGTTTGCTTTATTCATTATTTTTCGTGCTATGACTTTCTACAGTTTTTAATCATTTCATTTCCATTCCATTGTCCTACATCTTGTTGCCTTGCATCTTGATGTGCTACTGTGTGAAGTAGCAACTTAGACCATTATGCAATAATGAGAGGTTGTGTGTCGTTATTAGCTAATTGATTGTTTCAACAGATAGATTCACAAACGAATAATTCAATCTCCCTGTTGATCAGTCATCACTAGAAAAAGGCACTGAAGCAATTCGATATACTTGAGATGGAGTCTAGAATTGTGGATTTATTAAATAAAGTTCCGGGGACTACAAAAGCGTTTGGTTGGATTTGTTAGTTAACGTTGCTTGAAACCGCTTTGAATAGTGTTTATGCATTCACTTTCTGTTTTACGAGGAATATGTTAGGTGCCAGTATTTTACGCTCAATTTTTATCCGTTTCTTTACTTCTTGAGTTTCTGCCAACCTTCCATTACAGTATGTTAATTTGAACTGATACTTCGTCATGTAGCAGCTGACATACTGTCTCAGTCGGTTACTGCTTTAATTTAAGAAAAATATAGCGTACAAAACTCATGCGCATTAGCACTCTGAAAGTAAAGTGATGAACGAAGATTGATAACCCACAAGTAATCGAACAGCCTGTTTTAATTTTTGTGGATGTAATTTATTGTTCTGGCAGTTTGTTTGACCGGTTTGGTTATTTAATCCCACTGTGAAATAAAATTTGACGGCTGTTTTGTTTTGGCTGATCGATCGTTAGCTGCTACCTTGGCACAGTGGCCACGCTTGCATACCGCAGTGATCCAACGAGGCTACACTGGCTGGAATGGATGTTCCTTGAGGTCCTACTATACTAGAAAGGCTTATTGGAAAGTGGTAAAACAAAAAGCAGTTAACATCATAGTGTAAATAGCTTACAGTGTAATGGGGGTAGAAGGATAAAGTAGTACTACTGGCTGGACGAGATGTGGAAACAGTAAGATGTTTTCCATGGATGACCAGGAGTTCATATCAATACTGCCCTCCCTAAGAGAAGTAGGGGTTAGGAAAGGTTCCCTTTAAATATAACACTCCTCTCAACCTTGCAGTATAAGTTTTTCTCGCCCAACTATACCGCACTCAATTCTCTATCCAAAACTTAGGGTGGCTGTTTGACTGACCTTAAGGAGATATCTCGTATCTCTGCGGTCACACAAAAATAGTCCTCTTTCTGTTTCAAATACCTCTCAGGCCCAACTTCCAGGGTGTAAGCAAGCGAGAAATACTGCCCGCTTGCATACTTCCAGTAGCATACAAATCCAACTAACCATATCTCGTCTTACTTTTGTTACCTCCATCGCCCTTAGCTCGTGATAACAAAATTAGCAAGAGATGGAGAAGGCATCGATATTAGATAATACCCATTAATTATTTTGGTTTGTTGAGGCTAGTGGAAAGAAGACGATGGTTAGTGAGGCTATCACCAAGAAGGAGTGGAACACTGACAACCTCCGAGGACAGGCGATTGTAACGTTGTGCAGAACATTTTGAAGACTAGCTAAGGTGACCTACAGCCACGCTTCAGTTCACCGTCTTCCAGGCCGAACTTGGGCAGCCAGGTAGTATCATTAGCTCTCAGTCCCTACTGCATGGATGTTCACAAGGTCGCTAAGTGCGTTTTGTACGTTTGCTGTGTTTAACTAACATCAAATAAACTATTGTAGTATGTATATAATTATAGTGGAGTTCTATTTCACTTCACCATAATCCGAACTACTCCATTGATAAGTTGACAAAAGGCGGGATACCATAACACATTAGGAAGAAATAAGTGAGCGGATACCAATACCTCATGGGATAGTATGCAGTTCATAGTTCACTACAAATTTAAAAAGACCCATAAGCTGAACGATTACGTGCTAACCCCGAGATATAACTCTCCTGAGTTCGATCCCTAGTGGGGTCGTGAGTGCTCAGTGCTGAGTCCAATACTTGGATGAAACAGTTATCCAGTACTCTCAGGTTTTAAATGATTCTCCAAATGATGTCAGTTCGTGACGAATGCCACCTTGAAAACAATCAATCACCACAAGCTTCCAAATAGAAATGTTTGCTTCGCATATGGTGACATTTTCTACTGTAAGGATATTTACTAAAGGCGGTTTGTGGGTCATCGAAATGTTAATTGGATGTATTTGTGGATACCTTGATTTCTATAATCATCTTATTTTGAATAAAGAGTAACCTACTTTACTTAAGAGCTATGTAACAAGCAAATCATTGCTTCTCATCAACTCATAAGATGTGGGGTTAGCAAAACGAAACGCACTCAGCAACGTTGTGCATATTCGTGCAGTACGCGATGAGCCACACCTATTGTGTATGTGCCTGCCCAAACCTCGTTAGGTGAAGCAGGTTTCAAACCGATGATAGTCATCTCCCTAAACCAATGAGCTACAGCTCCACAGTGAGAGTACGATATGGTTTTCATGATGCATGGTTTCAGAGATGACAGCTTCTACCATGGCCTGATGGTTAGAATTGCCTTTTATTCTGATCAAATCAAGCTGTTAACCATAACACTTATTCTCTGAGTTAGTATCAAACTAAATAGGTAGATTGGAGAGTAAACGCTTTTTGTGTAATATCCGGCTGTAGAAACTCACAAAGATTGTAGTATTTCTCTGGAGGGACTCAATTTCATTCGGAACAGAGGTTGAAAAACGTTGATTTTGAAGACTACCGGTATATCCTGGTTGTTTATAAATGTATGCATGATCCATTGAATAATAACCTTAGGCTTCACCGTTGAGTATCGTTCGGTTCCTCGAAAGCGGAAAAAAGCGACAAGGCGGTAAAGAAATTTATTATTAATTCAAAACGTGTTAATAAGGTAACCATATATATGCTTTCAACGGCCTTGATGTTTTCTATGCCCTTCTAGGAAGAAATGTAGCCATTCTGAACCTCACACATATGATCACATGGTTTCCGCGAATGTTCGTCATATCATGATTGGTTGCGAAATGTTTCATAGAATTCCGGGCTTTTTTGAAGAAGTTAGGAGGTAATAATTCTCTCCAATAACAATTACAATCAATCTTGCCACGTAACGCTAAGAGACCAATCAATATATGTAAAATAGTCCTACAGGAGGTCAAAAGCAGCCCGAACAGCTTAATGGTAACGTCATCGACTAAAACACTGGGCGACACGGGTTCGAACCTCAGGTGGGACATCACTTCATGGAGATTGTAGGTACACCTTGCTGACAAGTGCCAGCAAATACGAAACCTCAGTCAAGCAAGGCTTCCTTTCGATTACCTTCACCCAACTAACACCTACCGCAATACTGAGACTCCTAACTTGGTGACCACATTGCAAAAATGACCGGTAGAATTCGGTCAGCACTCAGAACTAGACAAGATGAAATTGGTTGTTCTCCCGTGACCAATCAGTATATATATAACAGGTCTTAAACATGTATTTGTGGTAGCCACTATTCATACTGTGTTTTGACATTATATGTCCCATTTTGTAAGTATAGTGAACAAAACTGACTACATAACTGAGATTTACCGTATAGACAGTTACAGATACAACTTAGTCATGCTTAAAGACGATCAAACTGTTATTAGGTTTTTCCGGATTACGTTTTGGACATAATTTATTGTCTATAGCCATATCAAGATAACTACACAACTTTAAAATATCTTTTATATAGTCCCAATTTCCTCACCCCCTTTGTGGCATGGATAGTAAGATTTTCCATATGTCTGGAACAGGTGCTGAGCCATTCCTGTTGTATTCATTTAGTGTTGATTCGATAAACAAAGATTCATTTATCCAATTACCAATGAAGCAGAATAACCTAGTTTACCAAATCCCTTGCAATGATTACGAGGTCCAGTACATAGATCAAAGTAATCGACCAGGGTCAATTAGAACATCTGAACACAAAAACCTAGCTAGGTCGAAATTAGTAGATCCTATTAAGATAAAGAATTTAGAAAAAAAGCTCAGCCATAGCTACGCATGCTATTACACACAATAAGATGGGACCGGGTGAAAATCCTTAAAACTTGCATAACAGGGTAGAGGGAGAGATTGATAACTGAATCTTTGTTTATCTAATCAACACCTAACAAATACGGCAACAGGAATGGCTCAGCACTTGTTCCAGATATATGGAAAATCTTACTACCCGTATTACAAAGGGGGCGAGGAAATTAAGACTATATAAAGGATAAAGGGTATCTGTAAGTTGTGTCGTTATCTTGATATGACAATTATGAACAATAAATTATATCCGAAATGTAAACCAGAGAACAATACTGTTACACTGTGTGATAAATCTAATAAATCAATAAAAATGGAATTACATTCTACCACAGTGTACAAGTTTTACTCTTGGATTTTTATTGCTTGATAATTCTAAGCAATAAATATCTTGGTGTCGATTTATTTACTGTATAGCTTTTCAGTTAATTATAGCATTTTAATGTTCCTATCTGCTTTTTGAAGGTAGAGTCATATTCGAAGAGGAGAATATTCAGTCATGTGATGTTGATGAAATGAAGTCTGTTGAGGAGCAAATGCGAAGTTTACTGCAAGCCAGTTGTACACATGTTGTTGAACCTAAAAAAATTTGTCATTCTGATCGTGATGCCTGTACATTATCAGTTCTACGTTCAGCGGGTGTTTCTCGTTATCTGGGTGATTCTGAAGAAGAAGAAGAAGAAAAACTGAAAGTGGCAATGGCTGATTCTGAATTTCTGACTAAACACCGTTTAAATTTAGCTATTGGGATACCTGGTTCTGGTTTAAATGGGTTTGTAGAAGATGATGGTGACAGTGAATCTGGTACAGACTTAGAAGATATCGAAAGTATTTGCGGATATGGACAAAAGTAAGACAACTGATTGGTTACTATGTTCCTTGTTATTAAAATTAGACGTTTCCAAATATTGTCGATGACATCAAAAAATTGATGCTAATGCTGATGTTGTACTACTGTTTAGATTTAATAGCGAATAGGAAACTCGTTACCTAGTTTCATCGGACACTCTTCACTGCGCTTCTTGGGTTGTTTACACCAGAGGTCCAGCAGTTCAATGTTATTATATACAAGCAATTCCTATTTGTCTAGTAATGGTATCATACTAATAAGTTTTTTTCCAGTGATCATACAGAGAAATCAGCATAGAACTTGACATAGAAGTGCTTCACTTTAGGTTACCACAAGTATACAAGATAAAGGTGGATCAAAAACGGTGGCATTAAAAGTGGACAAAAGTTTAAGAAAGGTGAGGTTAAATGTAAGTAAAGATTAGTTAACATGCTGGAGATTTCGAAGATGGCAAACAGTGTAAACACCTGCACGGTTATGACTTATTTCAGGCCGTATCACAACGATTCTGTAAATATTGATTCCTTATGGTCTGCAAGATCCCAGACAAATAACCTATATCTCCTTATATCACAGACTGATAGTCGGATTGGTGTTGCGTTTCGGTCTGGCTTCTCTTAACTTTCAACCTGATTCTACTTCTGCTAACATCGGGTATCAAAATACACTGGGAATTGGCATACACAACTCATGCGAAAGCGGTCAAAGTTCACAAACTAATCAACTGACTTTCCTCTACGCCGAATCTCAACATTGCTCAAACGATGGTCCTACCACATGGAGTCAACTTAATGGTTTGGCGTTTGCCGACTTGAGATATCCGAGTGTCTATCAAGGGACGAGTATACTGCGCAGCACTTCCTTCTATCCTCTTGTACGTCTGAGACCTGGCCATTAAAAGTAGAAGACATGCAGCGGTTACTGAGTTTAAATCATAAATGTCTTCGCAACATTGCTCACCGCGTAAGAAATGTCGAGGTCAGGCAATGGATACTAGGCAAGAAAGGTAAGTCACTCATTAAGGTTGTGAACCTTAGTTGATCGAGGTGGCTTAGATACATGCTACGCATGCCAAACCACTGCCTACCTCGAAGTGCTAAGCTAGAGGAAGTTGGATTACGTTGTAAGACGGTTCAGGGTGGCCAGATGAAAGTATGACACCAGTCGATGAATTCTCTGTTAGTCTGAGCTGTGTTGGGATATAGATTACCACCTCTCTAGGTTCCCCAAGAAAAAAGGAATCAGTGGTTGAGGACTCTTGGCAACGTGGCTGAAAATCAGTCACAATGGCTTAGATGTATTCATCCTTTGACATCTCTCACACAATTTTATCTACTTCAACATCAGTCCTTTTCGATCCACTTGTTCTTTGTATACTACTGCTAATGTCAAGGTGAACTGATGCACTTGTGTGCAAGGTTCTACGTTCATTTTGTCTGTCTGGTTTGTTGTGATTATCAAAGGACTTCAGTGGTGCAGCTCAGTACAAGATTGATTGTGCAATTATACGACGTTTGCATCAAGTGACTTGCAAATAAATACTGTCGTTGACTATCTTATTACTTCTGATTGTTGTCACAGTAATGCGAAACTTGCATCAGGAAATGCAGTTCTGGAGGAACATCTATTCAAATACTAGCCACTAGGTTAGATTTTTTAATGCTCATCTTCATCATCATCAATATCAACATAGGACCAGACATTACTGAGTAACGGCCCGAGTTGCCACAGCTCATATCAGTACATCAAGTAGTAAGGTAGTGAGGTGAAAGATGAAGATAAGAAAATTCAGTCAAAAGAAATGCAAAGTACGAAAATAGAGAAAAGAAGAATGACAAAATGGTGAGATTCGGTAGAGCGTCGTTAAGATGAGGATAGTGTATTTATACATCTGCACCACTGAAATCGGTTTTGAGTCATATCACTTAGTCTCTAGCCACTGGTTCCTTTTGTCCCGCGGACCCCAACCACCTAGTCTGCATCGCCCCACATGGCTCAAACCAATGGTCAGAGACTTCATACACTGATGCCATGTTTTAGTCTGGCCACCTCGGGCCCTTTTCCAGCCTGCACCTACTTCGGCCAACATTGTGTGACGAGGCAATCGGTGACTAGGCATACGTAGTGCGTGTCCCAACCATCTCAGTCGATGAAGGTTCATAACCTCGTCAACTGATTTACCTATACTTTCTAAAACTCTATACGTGACTTCTGCATTACTCACGTGGTGATACCATGGAATGCGTCCTATACTACGAAGGCAACGGTGGTCAAACACCTGAAGCCTTGTCTCGTCTTCCACATTCGATGGCCATGTTTCACAGCCATACAGTAGAACAGACCGGACTGTTGTGCAATACACGCAACCTTTAATAAACAAACGGATATCACGGCGGCGACATAGGTGGCGTAAATTGGCAAAAACCAGTCGAGCCTTTTGTATCCATGCAGTAATTTCATCGGCAACTAACCCACCAGGGTTGATCCTACTTCCCAGGTAAGTAAAGTGGTCGACGCATTCAACCTCTACACTCTCTCTTGTTAGCCGTGGCACTGTTGGAGACCAATCCTGGAGCAACAATTTGTATTTGGGTGGTGAGAACCGTATCCCAGACATTCTCAAATTGACACTCGAACTGTTCATAAGACTGCATCTTGTCAGCGTCTTCGCCTAACAGAATTATGTCATCTGCATATTCTAGGTCTAACGAAAATTCTCCTGCGATTAGGTCAACGTCTGTGTAGCCTGGTAACGAGAGGGAGACCTACGTAAGAATATCTATGATAAAATAGAATAAGAATGGAGAGAGTGGGTATCCTTGACAAACACCACTTGATGAGCATAGCTCCGTGGGCATCTCATCATAGTCTGTAACACGCCCACAAGTGTTCGAGTAGAGAGCCTTCAATAAGGTGATGTACTTACTCGGCACACCTTTCAGTGAGAGACATTGCCATCATGCCAGTAAAGTGTACATTCTTATGTGTTATCATTTAAATGGAGAGGATCTTATGCTTACATGTTAGCCGCAGCGGATGCGGATTGAGAACCAGTAATGGTTAACCGATGTACCTTTCCAGTTCTCATTACTCAGCATTGACCAAAGTCTTTCGATCAAGTTTACAATGTGACCAAACTAAGCCAAGTGATGCAACACCTTGATGCATTGTATTTTAGAGATGTAGGAGTTAAATGACTGGAAATCCTTCACCTAGTTTTCGTACATGCGTGTGAACCTATCGGGATGTCGTGTTACCTTAGCCTAATGGCCACTTTGCAACTTTGTTCTATAGATTTCGGTCGGTAATTAGCAATAAATAAAAGACTGAACAACTACACATCGATCACCTACTCTTTTCAGTTTGTGTACATAATCTAGTCCCACAGGGATCAGTCGTGACTTAAATAACTGCAACAAACGTGGAACCTAAGTCCAAGACATCCTGTCAACTGACTTGTAGCATCTAATATCAGAGTTGATGCAGTTTTCTTACACTTTCCATAAAGTAGTATCAAAGAGATGAGACAACCTACAGTCTGATTAGATCGAGAGTAGAATCATGTCGATTGTCAGTCAATTTTCCACAGAATGTATGGTTCAAGGTATGAACCACATGCAGAGACGTAATAATGTCCGTCGAAGTCATTTTGATAACGGTCATTCCTTACCAAATGCATATGAGGTGTAAACACAAAGTGTTGTGCATTGTTTACAGTAGCGAGTTGATGGGTTTACCAATGCACCTCAGCAACTTACCTCGTGATGACTTTAAGTTGTTCATGGTTATTATTTCTACTATTTGGTCAACTCTCCACAAAGATTAGTCACTAGAGAGTAACCGATTTCATCTAGTCAAGTGTCCAGTGTTGAATGGTTACTATTGGTTATTTTTGTGATGTGACTATCAAGCTAGGAAACTCAGCATTGCAGTGCACTTTGATGGTTGTTAGTTGGTTGGAGGTGATTGACGGGAAGCCGTGGACCCAGGTTTCATGCTTGTAGGCAGTCGTCAGCAAAGCATATCCGCAACCTCGATTGGAGTTATGTCCCACCTGAGGTTGGAGCCTGCGTCGCCCAGTGTTATAATCAGTGACGTCACCACTGAGGTGATCAGTCCGTGACTAACCTCGTTTAGGACGGAATTAGATCAAACGATCGGTCACTGGAGAGTAATGAAGTCGAATCTCTGAGAGGACATCACTTTCCTTGAGATTGCAGATACGCCTTGCTGACAAATGCCAACAAACACGAGGTCTAGGTGATGCATAGCTTCCCCTCGACTGCCGCCGACAACCAACTAACATCCTGTCGATTTTGCTCCATCGATTGTTCATAATTCAGGGTTGTTGTCTTACTGAAGTCGTGGTCAGGTCAGGTGTCGCTTTCAAAGTAACTAGATGTATTCGAAAAGCAGAGAGAATGAGACAACAACCTACTAGTGACAGTGATTTACAAGCTGAGTGGTTTCATGTAATTGACTCACGTGATTTACCATCATTTCCTTTTGAAGTAGTAGTGTCAGCCAACTGGTTTGATAGTGTCTCTCCTGCGATTTTCAATTTTTCACCAGTTGGTACACATTCATTCCACATACTTTGGACAAGTTGTGTACATGCATCTTCAGTATATAGTCTTCCAGGTCGACTTATTTGCACTGCATTGGAGGAGTTCACGTTGGCAAGAAGAGATTGATTTTCTGTTCCTTTTGTGTGTTCACTCATGACTGAGTTTATCACAGTTTGGTTATTTGGTGCAGAGTGAGATTTCATTTTGATTGTAGCCTCAGTCTAGGGTGATTAAATGAAGAGGGTTGTACAGAAATGTGTTAGGACTGTTAATCGGAAGCCTCGTGTCACTATTGTTCATTGATTTAAATAAATTGATGTCATCTAACTTATACTACTTTGGTGTTTCATTCACCCTAATTCATGCATTACAAAATTTTTCAATCATGTGGATTCCACACCTTGATCTTATTACTATACTGAGAAGCATCTTGATCTGATGGTAGACACGTTTTACTGTATAGCTACATGGAAATTGATACCCTCAAACTTATGTCTTTAGTGAGTTAGTGTTATAGGTTACCAACCTGATGACTGAAAATATGTTTGAGGGGAAACTTTGTATGTGTGTGTGGAACAAAGAGAGAGAAAAGACAGTTTCTTGCAGGGTTTAAAGTTCATTCAAGCAACAAATCCTGCACAAAGTGGACACTGTGGACATGTTCTCTGTATCAAAAAAAGCTACTGTGTTTCCCGAGTTATAGATTATTTATACTACGTGATGATTGAAGGTGAAATGAAAATTTTGACCGCGGCCGGATTCGAAGCAGCTACCACCAAGTTTTCTGGCCCGATGCTCTACCAACTGAGCTACGAGGTCTGACTGATGACCAGATTTTTATTTCACTTCAATCACCAAGGGTTTTGCTTAACTACCATGTAAATTCGTGACGCTTTACTACCGCTTGATCACATGGTCGCTAATTTTGCTGAAACTAAATTGATTTTGAACCTATGAATTTTTATAGGATAATTTATGAAGTAGCTACACTCATGTCTATTTACTACATAGCAGTTGATTATGATGGATTTGTTTTTCTATACAGGGATGGCATTAAACCGGGTACAGTTGAGGATGCCTTGTCCGTCTTACATCCATCACTTGTAACTGCAGTACCAACACGTGGATCTAACATGTCTTTTACTTCCCAAAGTTTCTTACCTACCAAAGACTTTACTTCTCCTGCTTCATTGAGTACATCTAAGCCACATGTGAAAAATGCAATCGACGATTCTGGTAGTCAAAAGGATACTTGCACACATCGTAAACAGACAAAGAAAAAGCTCCCTCCACCGTCTAAACATATTGCAAAAATTGGTGCACAAGCTGAGGCTAGACAAAAACAGAATCCAAATTCAAGAGCCATGTTATCCGTGTTAGACCCTGATCCCAAAGATTCGAAAAATGTTCGGTGCAGACGTGAAGAAATGGAAGCATTTCTGTTCGAAAGTTTGGACCCAAATACGAAATCTGTGGATAAAGGTTAGTTTTCAGTTATGACGATTTTCATGAATGGAAAAGAAACGAGTGGTTTCTTGCGTCACACGTCGAAACTGAGTCCACTTATTGTTTTATACTGAACTTCTCACTAGAAGTAATACACAGTATTTCTTGAATGGTTACTGCCAAAAATCTTGTTTTCTTAGTTGCGCGATCATGAAGATAATTTTGCTAGTTTGACAAGAATCAAGGCTAAAGGAGCATGTCATTTGTGTGCTAGTCGAAGTGAATATAAATAGATCTTGCAGTGAGTAATGTTGTAAACTTGGGTTTCTAGTCAACCGAAGATTTCATTCTTAACATACAGAGACCCCATCGTCTCTACTCGTTCAACCTCTCTAACTTTCGTTGCCTATCACTGCTTACGATCATCGTGTTGATCATTTATTGGCCTTCATATGAGTTGCTTCCACTCCTGACTGTGTTCAACGACTGTAGTAATGCATTCCCATGCTGTCATCAATTCAAAAAAGTTGTTGAGGTCCACTGATGTTTTTTCAACTTTATTCTGAAGACTAGTCATAGTCTATTGCAAGTCTAACTTGTCGTTATTATTTGTCCCTTGGGTCCCTAGTGGAACATAGGGCTTCAGTAGCACATCTTCATTCCACTCTATTCTCTGCAATCTTTTGAACCTGGCTCCAGCACTGCCCCCAAGCTCTTATTTCTTCCTCACACGATCAACTCCATGTCACCCTCGGACGCCCAACTCGTATTTTCCCATCTGGGTTCCACTCGAGGGACTGGCGTGTGATGTCCCCAAATGGTCTTTTCAGTGCATGCCCAGTCCATCTCAACTTCCTTCTGCATATTTTTGAGCGATAGGTTGTTGGTTGGTTCGTTGCCAGCCAGCCAACCATCTAGCCAGAATTCCTTGTTGGCTATTCTTTCTGGCCATCTGAGCTTCAGTAACGAGCCAGTGTAGGCGGCAGTTGTTGATGAATGTGTGTAGTTTGTTATAAATGCTTTTCGTAACGCGCCAAGTCTCTGAATCATCGCATAGAAGCACTGGCTTGGCTGAATTAGTGTTGAAAATCCGGATGTTGTTGACGCTTTGTGCTGAGTGGAGTGCAGTCGATCTCCACACTGGTTTCAGGTCAATGAAGTATGGCCTGTCTTACTTTTCCGATCCCGGGTGGTTTTGACGTCCTGGTCTGTGCATGTGCCGCCTGTAGTTGAAACGATGCTGCTGTGCCTAGGTAGGTGAAAGAGGCTACTTCCTTTAAGTTTCTCCCATCGATGGTGATTGTAGCTTGCTGGTTGGGTATCTTCATCACCTCTGTCTTCTCTATATTCACTTGAAGTCCCATCTTTGCTGCCTCTTCTCTAACTTGTCGTATAGGTGTATTACTACTGTACAGATGTTTTTTTTGGTTTGACTGTACACTAGACTAGATGTTCGAGTTGGATGCCCTGGATTACAACTTTGACAATATTGACTACTAACTTAGTCTGATCGACTAGTGACTGAAATAAACTAAAAAAAATTGAGCTGCTTATCCACTGCTGGTGTATAAACTTTGCAAACCGAACAGCCAAAAATATTTATGAAAACAAACAGTCACTAAAATGCAAAACCCATGACCAAGTTAGAATACTGAGTGATGCTAATTGATAATCAATATATTGGTACGCCCTCTTTAATTCAAGTAGATTTCATTTGGGATGAGAAGTGCTAACTGCAGACAGCTAGTATGAGTACGATCAAGCGATGTTAAAACATCATGAATTCACATGGTAGCCGGTCAAAACACTTGGCGATTGAATTGAAAATAAAAATCTGGTCAATCAACAGTTCATAGTTCAATTAGTAGAGCACAAAACCGGTAACCCAGAAGTCATTAGTCCGAATCTTGCTGTAGCCCAGAATTTCATTTCACTTTCAATAACTACGGCTATCTCAGGTAGTCAAACTAATAATCATATTAGAACAATCATAACAAATAGTCAGTTAAGAGTAATAGGGAGGGCTTATAAGCAACCCATAAAATTTCTTATCAGTAGATTTAAAGCTGCATTGTTACCTGGTACATCACTATGTTACATTGGAGATGGTGCCAGGTTTCTTTGGGATGAGTTTCGTCGTCATTTTCTGTCAAGTATTCAGCCAGTTCTTCCCTAAGTGAAACTTCAATGCTTTTAGACACTAACATGAGATGTAAGGTATTTAGTTTTGTCGGGAAGACACTGAATTAACTTCTTTTATTTAGATACACTTGTTCATCCTGTGTCACTGACTGTACCACTGGAAATTAGGGTCGAACTAAACTTTAGTGACGAGAAACCTTGAGGACAATAAATCAGGTTGGAGATGATGTATTCAAGAGATGGTCTACATCCATTTACTGTGTTGTTGACTCTGCATAAATGTTTGATAAGCTATGTGAAACATTACGTTGCGGGTTGTATATGGAGTTTGGTGTGGTAGGTAGTGTTTTCGGAAACCTAAATATAGCCTAGGAAAATGATTTAAACATTACTGGTTAAGTTATAACTTACCCAATGTATGTATACACACGTATGTTTTGATAAACCTCAGATTCTTGATACATTCGACCGAAATACGAAGAAAGGACAGTTTCGGTGGATAAGGGATAAATCGGTAAAATATATCCTAGCAGCCATTGGAAAAATATGTGGAGTCGTCTTAGAAAGTTATTCAGACCTTTAACGTCATTACGGGAAAAAATGTCTCCCCAGTATCATTTAATGATATTATCTCCTATGGATTAGTCGTGTTGCAGACAGTGGGTATAGTTTCAAGGGTGCTAAACCTATTTACAATCTAGATATCTTATTTCCTAACTGAAACAGATTTATGATTGGTTAATGAAGTACTATTTTCCTTAATAAACACATCGTCCTTCATATACTTGATTCTAATTGGTCAGTGCATACTTGAACGTGATTGGTCATCACTAAAATTTAACTCTACCAAAATTTACAACATAACTCTGAAATCGAAATGTAATTCTTAATGTAAGCCTTATTAAATACTTCTCAATGTTGTGTATGCTTCCTTTCATGATATTAGTTTAGCTGTGTAAATGCAACCGTAGTTGTGTATTTGTTTATCTCTTTATTGCATAAAAAGCTGTGCATAAAAAAAATAGATACTGTTCAGTTGAGTTTTGTCGACACTTACGTATTCTTATGTAAAAGAATCGACACACCTAAATATCTTTCAGTATCACGAAGCTCCAAGACGTACCCCTATGGTACTGAAGAGTAGCCACGGTATGTTTCAGTTACGAAAGCAAATGAAAATCCCCGCGTTATTTGTATGCAGATGTGAATGACTGAAATTTTTCACCAACGATATTAGTTTCAGTTGTGTTGTTCCTTCCAAATTCTGTTATTCACATTGTCTGAGAATAAGTTATCTCCACTCCAATAGGTCACTTGTTTGAGTTACTTCCTGAAAAAGTTGTATGTGAATGAGTCATAGAGGTAGTGAAAATAATCAACGTCTTGAAGTAAAAAGATTTCACTTTATTCAGCTTGGAAGTAAAGTAGTAAAAACAGATACCTGACACCTTTTATTAGATATTCATCAGATAAAGAAATAAACGTAGAATCAAGCTGTCACGTCTAACAACAACTTGAATCGATACACCTCTATGTAAGGTCCTGTGTTAATTTGTCTTTCTTCATAGAGAAAGTAAATAGAAAGAAAATAACGCTGAGATAGAAGTTCATAGAAGAAGATAAAGGTTAATACATAAAAGTTAATCAACCATTCAAGTTTTCAACGATGATAAAATAAGTAATGATCAGCATCACAATGATCGATTTTGTGCAATATTATCAAGAGTTCTGAACTATATACTCATTTCATGTTGAGGGTAACCAACTATGAGGACCAACATAGTTTGAAATCAACAGTCAAATACTTCATAGATTTTCATCATCCACAGTACAAAACTTTTCATTGAAAATTTCCTTTTACAGCTTCATCATGAACATATCTACTAACAAAAGATATGAAGACAAAGGTGCTCCTCATGTTGATCTTAATGGAGAATGTTTTAATCAATGTTGTCCCACTTTAACAATACACACCCACTCATAGTTGTGTTTTGTAATCTTTCCCTAGTCGTATTGTCTTTAGTTATTTATTTGCTTCCAGTGTTATTTTCTTGATTCGCCTTCATCATATTCTCTTATTGTTATATTTCAGTTTGAATTATTCATGTTTTTTATTGGCTTTTATCCTGTCAAATAGTTTCTTGTAGAGTGTGATGTTTGAATACATAAATAGAAATGTCGATTTCTTCGTGATTTTCTAGTTGAATGTACAAAATGCTATTTGACTTGTAGAAGATGTTTACGAAGATCAATATACAATACCAATTTTGTTTTGTTTTATGATTTCATCTAAGCTGGTTTACTTGAACGTGTGTGTGTGTGTGTGTGTGTGTGTGTGTGTGTGTGTGTATAAAGGCTATTGTGTTGCAGAAAGTCAAGAAGAAATTCAGCATGATTTTATAGAGTATGGAGAAATGCATGTTAAAGGGTCTAGTTCACAGTAACGGGCAATAAACGATGGATTCTATGCAGAACACTTCATTTTCCACTTTTCTTTGACCATTAGATTAAATATCTAGCTTGTTTATTTTTTGTTGTTGTAAGAATGATTGCTTTAACTTTTCTCCATTGTTCATTTGATAAATGAACTCACAAATCGCTGACGATCTTATCAGCTTTTACAGGAACTCTTTTCGAGTGAGTTTTTTTTTACACTGCATACATGTTGTTCTTTTCCTACTGTCAACACTAAATTAATGCGCTTCTAATTATCAATAGAAAGCAGTGTAAAGGTGGTCTGAAATCTTCGTTTCGTTAATCTGTAAACTTATCTGCAACTCTGATGCCTTAGTGTATTATACCGTCGTTGATTGGACCGAATTGATCGGTCTCCATCGGCATATGGACTCCTGTGAGGATGCCTTGATACTGACCGTGTTTTAAATATGTGTATAGTAATGGTGGATAGGGACTAGCAGTGGAATCCAGGATGCGCATTTTGTCCTGTTTGGGACTTGATAGGAATTGATCTACTCCCTGGAGGTCATCTGGTTGACTTGGAGTGAGCAGATGATGATATTGTCCTGCTAGGTGAAGATGCTGATTCAATACAACGATTCCTAGTAGATTTTATTGTTATCGCTCACTGACTAGTCAATCTTTTCAACTAGTACATCTAAGCTCCAAACTCTACCACAGTCTTAGTGACTGACTGACAAAATCAACGTAGAACGTCTCACACAAGTGCATCGCCTCATATTGCTACACTTCATAGTAGTACACAAAGAACAGGTGTATAGAAAAGGAGCGATATCAAAGTAGAAGAAGTAGTGTGAGAGAAACAGCAATCTGGGGACAAAGGTTAGTGTGAATATTCACGCTTTCGAAGATGTTAAGAGGTGAACATATCTCCACCACTGTGACCGATTTTCAAACATGTTACGAGGTGTCCTCAACAATTGATTCCTTTCGTCTCGAGGACCCCAACCAAGCAGTCTACGTCCCCCCTCGTGGCTCCAGCCAACAGTCAGGAACTTCATCAATTGTTAACATTGTCTTGCTCTGACCACTCTGAACCTTTTCCATCGTAGTCCAACTTCCTCTATAATTACACGTCGAGATAGGCGGTGGGTGGCTCTGCATGCGCAGTGCATATTCAAGCCATCTCATTCGATTGAGGTTCAATAACTCATCAGTCGAAGTTGCCTAACATGAAGAGAATGTTCAGTCGCATGAATATACCTGCAAAACATTCACAACATATTGTTAGCCGTGTACATTTGAAAAAGCCTGCTTTTACATATATGTCTATATTTGGTAATTATTTATCTGGAATCTATAGTCAACTGTGATCTTAGACAGTACCAGCGTTGGACTTAGTCAGTTGCTTATCATCCCAGTAGTCTCTTGTGGCAAACCATGCAACCTCTACATTCGTGAAATATGTAATGTGAGGCTAAGTCGACGTAGTATCTTTGAAAAAATATGGAGATTGATTCCAAGTGGATGTTACAGTTAGGGTGAATGAATTCTACAGAAGACTTTTTGACGTATGAGGTAAGTGTTCCATTTCCCTAAGGTTTTTTCGCTAACCCGTTTGAATTGCAATTTCGCTCTTATCCTGATATATCTTCAGAGACTATGGTATCCAAAGCCTTTGGTTTGAAGATATGCCTATAAGAAGAGTGATGTATACTAGATACATCGTTAAGTACTGGAATAAAATATATTTTAATTTGTATTTGACTTCTATTCATTGCGCATAGTAAAGAGGTTAGTGCTTGTCACTACAGTAATCGCAATACGGTGAATGACATTAGTCGTAAGTACTGTGAGGATGAGTACTCGTTGGCGATCACTCGAATACAAAGGTGCTTCTTTAGAGAATCCTGTTCCTAGGCGTGCATACCCCAGTTGACATCATATACTTTCTGATGTTGAGAGATGGTTTGCAAGTTGTAAGTGGATACAAATAGCACAAGTAAATGAAAAACATCGGTCAAAATCATGTCAGGACATGTACTACCGCTTTCGGTTACGCAGACTCAACTTATTACTACACTGACAGACTGCAGAACTATAGGATGACAGTATCCCATAGTTTGTTGATATAAAGATGCGATTTCCGTCGCAACGTACAACACTTGTTTTTTCATAGAAGCAATCATTGATTGAAGAAGTAGCATGAACCAAGTTGAGATACTTATACAGACAGTTACGGTAGCAAACAACTGTTGGTACTGACGTAACTGATAGCTGAGCAGCATAGGGAACTTAATTCATATTATAACTGCTTGTTTAAGCCAACACAGTTGAGTGGTATCACAGACCTGTCGTTTACATGTCAAGTTTCTTATGAGAGGAAGAACTTAAAATGTCATTCAGTATACTTCTGCACCTGCAACACCATTCATGGGGTGCTGACTTGTTGCATAACACCTTCAAGTGTACAACAACACTACTACAGCTATTCACAAACTTCTAGCCTCCATTCTGGACAGTGGACTTGCACGTCAAATGACTTATTAGGGTAGAGACGAGAAGATCGGAGTTTGAGACTGTGTGCATTTTATACTGTGGTAGTTGATGAGTTGAATTACAAGAAGTTGTAGGCATCCCAACTGACTAGTAACATAGACGTGATAATCAGAAGGCAATATGACTTAAGGTATAGTGAAAGTAGCCTGAAAAATGGGATAAGTGGGGAATTGAGGTAGATGCTGTCAATAAAATACGAGATACTATGAACCGAAAAGAACACATTACATTGTAGATGTGGGATACTTTGAAAAAGTCTCTGAAAATGTAAGCATAAAGTCAGGAGAGAAAAGAGAAAGGTGAGTAGAAGCGGGGAATGCAGAGGATCCGGAATATGATGTGACATTTAACCCAACACTTGTCAATATTCAGGATTATGTTGCATACAAAAATGTTTATCACATAAATCAAATCTACGGTTTCTGTACAACTCTGACGTGAATGAGCGTTCCCAATTCAAATGCTGAATGACTTCATCTGCCTTCAGTCATTTTACCGAATGAACTTCATTTGTTTTCAGGTAAGTGGTACACGTGTTTCTTGCGACATATCAGTTCATTTATAAATCGTATGAAGGGTGAAAGATGTTATATCTAAAAATAACCTTAAATACTTTATTTTGCAGTCCCCAACGATTTGTAAACCCTCTACAAAACGCATAATCAAGTCTTCACATTTCTTTCTTAGTTCTTATTGAAATCCTACGCAAGCAGTATGTTACCTGTTGCACAATAATTAGGCCTTCTTGTTAGCAGCACTGTATCCTTATTCAACACTCCATCTCAACTTCACAGCTACAGATATGAATATCTTCATTGCCATTTGATTTTGGTTTACAATGACATTTCCTACCGATTACAACGTGACTTGTGGTGTAAACTGCACTCATGAAGCTTACTGTCTGTAATTTGAAGTCTCATTCAACTCGCTTTACTTTGTAACCATCATTCCACCTAAGATGTGGAAGTGCAGGCAATATTTTACACATCAATACACTATATAAGACATGGTCCAGTGACACTCAGAAAACGGATCCATTATTCGCTGGTTGGAAGTCAGATATTTAGACCACTGAATAAGCTAGAATTCTACTGATTATTATAATAAAAGAATACCGAAGCGTTGTGGCCAATTCTAAGATTGAGAAACTGGAACCATTTATACTTGGTTGGATAAATGTTTCGCCTAAACTTTTATCCTATGTGATATAGTTTTGGATGTTGTTTTGAAGTTTATTTGCTTCACTTTTGATTGGTGCTCTGAGATATATGTATATGCAATTTCCTTGGTCTACCTGATACCATCCTCGTCTTTGTTTCTGGTTTTAGACTGTCGGGTTCACTTCACTTAGAATACCATTCGTATATAGTTTATTAGGTTATCTACTCAAGTGTTTATCCTCTTCTCTCTATTGTCTCTTCCATCAATATCTGCTACGTCGATATGATGGTCAGGCTTGCATACCATAATGGGTCGAGCAGCTACACTGGCTGAGACGCTTGTTCCTCGACGTCTTGCCATGTCAGAAAGGTCTTTTGAATAGTGGTAATACAAAAAGCAGTTACCGTTGTGGTGTAAGTTGCAACACTATGATGGAGGGCGAATTCGTACTGCTGATGATTGGTAGTGTGACAGCAATAATACGTTTCCCTTGGATGATCAGGAGTGACACCGATACTGCCTTCCCCTATAGGAAGAAGCTAGGGGATAGGAATGTTTGGCTCTAGAAAATAGCACACTCCTTCCTCCTCTGAGACATTCTGGTGCCGGCGTAATAGGGTTCTATCCTTGGTTAGAACAATCAAATTTTAAAACAGTAGTCCCTAAAAGGCTGTATGTTGTAGTCTTCAAGCAAATGTCTTTCAGGCTCTGCGGTTACACAGATTTTCTCCTTTCTCAGGTATCCTGCAAAAACAACTTCCATGGTGTGGTTAGTCGGGAAGTGTCAACCTCCCGCTCGCTCCCGGTACTATACGAAACTCAGTCAAACACAACCTAACCTACTTACCTTTGGATTTTCCTCCGAATACCAATATTAATCCCCCTCCCAGGCAGTGAGACACCACTTCTAATCTCCTCAAGATGATGGAAATCAGTGGTTGGAGACCTATGGTGACGTCTCTTACAAGTGGTCACAGTGGCGCAGGCATAGCCACTCTTCTCATTCCTCCTAAATCTTGAATATTTTCACGAACATTGTTGGTCTTCAAACTCCTTCTGTTCCCATACTACTTTATTTATTTTGATATCCATCCTTTCCCATCTGCGTGTTATTTGCATGCTGCTGTGAAATGTGACAACTACAAAGGATGCAGGAACAAGTTGCCTAGTATCGATGCCAACGCCGTCCAGCATGGTTCTGTAAATGTCACTTCGTTATGAATTATTTTCAAATCGAAGTTGCTTATTCACATTGTCAAATATATCCATGTTTCTTGCGTAACCTTCATCTGTATGTTATTGTTTTCTTTGTCATAACCAACTTTGAATTACTGGTTATCAAATATTGACATTATTCACCATTAAATAAGCACACTGATTAGTTAAATGGGGTTGTACAGCTCACAAGGCTGATGTTGACGAAAACAGCTTTGTTCTGTTGAAGTCTGTATTCCTTTATAACTTAATAGGAGTTTATAGTTTGTCTCCTTGGCTAAGAACTCGTCTGTCGACTGGTCTATTAAATCCGAAGGTTTTTGGAGACTGGTAGATTGATTTCAATGTGGTTTTTATAGATTGAAATCATATGGAGAATCATTGAAAACCGTGGAGCACTGGACAGCTGTTTCATTCTAGGATGGGACTTCTCAGTAGTGCGCACTCACGACTTAGTCAGAGATGGAACTTAGGACCGTTAAGTCACGTAGTTAGCACGTTGGAATACAATAGCCCACATTTCCCTACACTCCTGTCAATTTGCCATAGAATGCGAGAACCATCCATTGTCATTGGTGAGTATTTGTATTCACATCCGACTTGGTTGACTCCAAAAGTTGCGATTCTTCATTACAACTTCATGGAATCTATCTTGAGGCATGTCATTAGTAAGCAGTAGACACTAATTTACTTGAGAGGATTTACTGGCGGAAAAGTTGTCCAGTGCTTTGAGGCTTTCACTGGCTCTCCAACCAATGTCAGTCTGTGTTGAATACTACCTTGAAATTAATTAGTACATCCTTGTAATTTTATACTACTTTATATCCAAGCGAAATGACTGACATGTCTAGCTTTGTTTGGATTCTTGATACCTTGAATGGTGTTAGTTCGTAGGCCTCGAATGCTGTTATACACACCTCAACAACCTTTTGGATATTCGTGTAGTAATGGGTAATGAACCATATCTATTGTATGAGGGTTACATGGTTGCCTTAACCTCGGTAGGTGAAGCAGGTTTCGAACCCGTGACCTATTGGTTGAAAGGCATTTAACCAAAGCATTAAGCCACAACTCCACATTTTGAATGGTAAAATGTGTGGAATAGTGCTCTGCGTACTCAGTCAAACCGGTATATTTAATTTATCTATGCATAATCGTTAAAAAAAAGTTAAGTTAGTAATTTTAAACAGAATAATGATACTTCTGTAGAAAATACATAATTTATCAAGACAGAGAATATCGTTTTTTTTTGTTTAAAATTGTATATTAAAGGTTAACCAATAGATTTGATAACATTCAATATTAGTAAGTAGGAACATTAGCGTAATAAAGTTTCAATGACAACACAGCTGTCGAAAAAATGCTACAGCATAATTTACTTATTTCAATGAAGTTTTGATAATAAATTAACACTATCTGACCATTGTATCTTACGTTCTTCACTATCCTTCATTGCACTTATAAATTCATGTTCTATTGATTCCATTAAATATTGAGTAAATGAACGAAATTCCTGTAAAATAAGAAAAAGAAAAAGGCCTTATACATTTATTTATATTGTTCACTAACCACTATCATAAATTTGTTAGATAAGCATAACAGTAGAACTGTGAGTATGTAGAAACAATAAAAAATTATTGGTTGATCTAATTGAGGTCAGTATATTCTCTTTAAACTTTCTTTTGTAACGTCACTCTTGAGTACTGCACTATTATTGTACATGAACACTTGTAGACTAGTTTCATACGGAAAAGACTGATTCAGAGAAGAAATATTATTATTATTATTAGTCCCTTGGGTTCCTAGTGGAACATAGGGCTTCACTAGCACGTCTCCAGTGACCTCTGTTCTCTGAGATCTCTTGAACCTGGTTCCACGACAGCCCAGAAGCTCTCATTTCCTCCTCACACGATCTCCTCCATGTCACCCTCGGACGTCCAACTCGTCGCTTCTCATGGGGATTCCACTCGAGCAACTGTCCTGACGCGTGATGTCCCCAGTCGGCCTTCTCAGTGTATGCCCAATCCATCTCCACTTCCTCCTGCATATTTGTTGCGTGATAGGTTCTTGGTTGGTTCGTTCCCAGAGCTCCTTGTTGCTTATTCTGACTATTCTGGCCATCTGATCTTCAGTATCGAGCCAGCGTAAGCAGTTGTTGATGAATGTCTGTAGTTTATTGGAAATCCCTTTCGTGACGCGCCAAGTCTCTGCGCCATACAGAAGCACTGACTTGACGTTGGTGTTGAAAATCCGTATCTTGTTCACGCTTTATGCTGAGTGCAGAAGATCTCCACACTGAAGGTCTATATATATTCCTTCTATATATGTTCCTTTTCAATTAGGTTTTCGTCTTGGACTCTACACTTATATGCATAGTTTCGCAATTTAATCAAATTACCAATCATATGGTGGTGTTTTAGAAATAATAATGTAAGTAACGAGTAAAAATTAGAAATATGAAGTAGGTTATTCTTAGATAAATAGAGTGATTTTTGATGAGACCATTTGGGGACATTACGCACCAGGCCCGGCACTCGATTGGAACCCAGATGGGAAACGGTGAGTTGGGCGTCCGAGGTAAGAGTGACATGGAGATGGTGTGAAGAAGAAATGAGAGCTTATGGGGTGTGGTGGAGCGAGGTTGAAAAGATTGCAGAGAAGAGAGTGGAATGGAGACATGCTTGTGAAGTCTTATGTTCCACTAGGAACCCAAGGGACAAATAAATAATAATAATTGATGAGTGTTTAGTCACAAACAATGATTGATTAGGTACTAATAAGAAAACAAATGAATATTGATAGAAACAAGAAGAAGAAGAGGAGGTGTACAACGTTATACTAAGAGTTACATCATGTTGACTGCCAAGGTAGTGAAAGTAATCAAACAAACTTCTCTTGGATATAAAGGTTAGGTTTGTGAAGGTGGACTGCAATCGCCTCTGCTATATGAAGTAAGCGAGTGCGTAATCCATATAATAAATTAATTGGAATGTGATGAATAATTTTGAAAGCTTTTCTAGTACCCACTTGATATCCCGTGTCAACTAGATATGCAAGTATGGAGCTGTCTATTGTTCTGATTCGTCCCTTGCTCAACCATGATGGGTGGTACTCAGAAATTCGACGATGGAACTGCCTTGTTGTACGCTCAATGTAACTAGCTCAACAGGAACAGTTAAGTTGATAAATGCACATAGAAGTGGTAGAATCAAACAATGTGTCTTTATTTCTTGCACCTAGAATCTCACGGTTGTAGAAGATGGGATATAATTTAGCCGTTGAGAAGGCTTTATGGAAGACTTTTTAAGGGCTGTGTGATGACCTCACTGGCAATGTTACTTGACTTTCAGCTTTAAAAAGATTTGCTTCTTAGGAGCCTACCTAATATTGGCTATTTCCAACTACTAGTCGCTTTCATTGAGAGAAGTTATAAAGAAGTATCAAACATTCATATGATTTCAACTCTATATAAATCACTGAACTCATGTATGCTTTACCCAAGAATACGAGTCATCTACTGAACTAAACACAAGACGAGCTATTATTGGCAACCCTCTGTCTATCAATCTTTCCTTCCGCAATGTACACCAATAAACAATAGATGATAGAATCAAAAAATTATGCAGAACTTAATTTATTCGATTGGTTAGCTTGAAATGACCAGTTAGAAGCAAGTGAGTAATTGGTGACTTTCTGAGGCCTAAATGAATAGAAATTGACTTTATAAATGAAATAATCCGATTTTTACGGCGATAAGATTAAATTTGTATGAGTGATCTGAAAGTAATGACCGTTGTATTCTATCCATCGGAAATTACTAGTTTGAGTTCAAAGAATTCTGGTGAGATGGGATTAGAAAAAGGTGGAATTTAGCTCATGAAACCTGCCATACTAGGCATGAAGTAGCAAAACAGCCAATAATCGAGTAGTGGTTATTCTGTCTGATATTTTGCTGTTTAATCACCTAAAGAGGAATTGTAATTCGTTTAAAATTCAATGTCTAAGGAGTCGTAGTCAGGAAGGGTTATGATTTGGTTGGTATTAGAGTAGACAACTCACTGATAAATCATGTCATCTTTAATTCATCTATTCTCGATTCATTCGTCTGTACAAAATGAAAACAGGATATATTTTTGAGATGAATGAAGATTTTAATTTAGAAGTAGTATTCACCATGGACTGACATCAGTTGGGGAACCATTGGAAATCTGGGAGCGCTGGACAGCTGTTTCATCCTAGTGTGGGCTACTCAGCAGTACGCACCCACAACCCGACTAGGGATCGAACTCAGGGCCTTCAGGTTTCACGGCGAACGCGTTAACCATTCAGCTAGATTTTCAATGTTTCCCCAACTTATATCAATCCATGATGAATACTACTAAAAACACGATAGACTATCTTACATACTTGGTAAGAAGGGCAACTCAGTTTCTTTTCATTTTCGAGAGGTTATGCCTAAATGTCCTAAACTAAATATTTATTGGTTCGATAGTTCAAGGTCACCTAGATCAACCTTGTTTCCACCAATAAGCATTAATCGCTTACCATGTTGACGATGCACCAATCACTTTCAAACTATGAATTGTACGGAATTGAATAGAGTTGAGTTAATACAAAGCTCTTGAACCAATCTATACAATAATAGTAGTGTGAAACAAATCTTAAGTGAAATGTCTTTTAAAATAAATACAGGCCTACTGCTGATAAGGCTTATCAGAGATTCATATTTCCCTCTCTTCGGTTTATTATAACAATACGTTTTTACTTTTGGGCGGAGGAATCCCATTATGTACTGAATTCTAAGTATACGGCGTGAATTTCTAAAACAAGATTAGTTGTTTCAGGGAGTTATATATAATACTAATAGTGTATAAGAAAGCTTCCAAATCGTCCAGGTTTAGTCCTGTCCATTATTTTTTATTGCCATTTATAATGATACAACAAGATAAGTAAGTATACTCCAGATATTGGGGTCTGTGAATTATGAAAGACATAAATGATTCTGGTACTGGGTTATGATTGAAAGTGAAGTGGAAAATCTAACTACGATAAGTTTCAAACCAGCGACCATCAGCTTTTCAGCCTGTTACTCTACCAACTGATCTACGAGAACCGACTGCTGACGAGATTTTTATTTCACTTCAATCACCAAGAGTTTTGGCCGACTAGAATATGAATTCGTGACGCGTTACTACTAATTGATCGTACTGACACTGATTACCCAGTCAGGACTTCTCATCTCAATCCAAATCTAAGTGAATCAGAGAGATGGGTCATCATATTGGTTATTATTTTGACTATCTGAGATAGCTGTGGTTTAACCGTGATTTCGCCAAAACTTGTCTCATCTTCTGGTCGGTAAGATTCATCATACAAAAGGTTACCTGTCATTTTATAAGATCAAGCGATTTGATGTAGTTGTGAATTTATATCAATGAATAAATATTCTCAACCTGAATTATGAACTACAGATAATAATGAATTAATCGATTTGATGAGTTGCTGTGTTATTTACATTTGTTTTGTGTAATTCATATAATGGTAGTTTGCCGTAACGGTTCCTTTTATGAAGCTTTAAAGTGTATTGTATCTGATCTTATTTGTAGAGTTCATTCGTAGGAAATCTTGCTTGCAAGTCTATCTTTGTAACTGATAGACTGATGATAGCCTATAAGAATTACACATATATATTTAATTACGATATAAAACTGTCATCTCTTCAAATGGAACTAGTTCATCCAACCAGGCCAACCAGTATGGTTACTTTTCTACGAACACTATCTATGAATGACAAATCATTGGTTGAATAATCCCCAAAATCACTAGCTTAAGATCCAAAGATATTCGCCATTGATACTAACTTTCATAGTTTTAACGGACTGGTTACAATAAAGGCAGACTGTCAAGTATCCATACTGTTCGGTATATGGTTGTGGTAAGTTGCGCTACTGGTTTATAATCCTCATTCCAATTACCCCATGCACCTCAGAATATTGGCACGATGCATTAGATATATAATTGCTATCTGACTACTCTAACATATTCTTCCTTGGTCTTGGACATGGATATTTAATAAGTGGTTGGCTTCTGTATCTGTCAAGATCAAAGGTTGCTCCCCAACGGGATATCTTCCTACGTTTTATTATGAAACAGTTCATAAGAAATAGTGTGAACATGAGTTGGGTAATTATACTAGCCAAGGTGCTTTATAATAGGAATGACTGAAAGCGGCAGGTTGTCATGACAATGCCTTTGTTATGCCAGTCATAGGTTACTAACAATGGCCAACTGTGAACAGGTTGTAAATACTTGTATTGTTTCAGGATATTCTGTTAAAGCAGTACCCGAGAAATCAGTATGTTTATTACTTTTATAGATCCAGTGTATGATTTAAAGATTTCAGAGAGAGAGAGAGAGAGAGAGATCTTACTCTTTCTAGTATATGTTAACCTTAGACATGGAACACAGATGTTTTACTTTTGTGTAGTTTTCTCATTTTTACGGAAAATATCTTTTAATGAAGGTATCAGTAATACAATTTGGAGGTTTGTGAGGATTTATTTCCTCATTTCAGATTGGTTGGTATACATCATGGACTGATATAAGTTAGAGAAGCATTGGAAACCTGGAATCAATCAATAAATCCCCATAAACCTCCAAATTGAATTAATCTAATGCTCATTGGTGACTTGCTTCGAGATGTGATCCCCTAAGTTCTAACCGGAAGTGTTGAATAATGAGGTCAACCAAGTGGGACGTGAAGACAGTTACTCAACGACGGCACTGAATGGCGTTCACGCTATATCGTGAACTAACAGAAGTAGGAAATATGGACTATTGGATTCTGACCATATGGCTCAATGGTAATGTACTGACCCCAGGACCTGAAGTCCTAGGCTCGACTCCCTGCCAGATGGGGTCACTGGGAGCGCACTACTGAGGAGTCCCATGCTAGGACGAAACAGCTGTCCAGTGGCTCAAGGTTTTCAATGTCCCTTAGTTTTTGATGACTACTAGTATGAGATCAGTAATAATTAGCCACTCCCAAATTACTAAAATTGTTTTTGGTTAGTTATAAAGACTTGGCTTAAAGTCGCTTTAGAAGTAGATTATTAAATTTTTTTTATTTTCCTAGTATAATCTTATCGCTTTCATGTCTGCTGTCTTTCTCACTGCCATTGCCTGGGATTAACATAGGATGTGGAACTTTGATAATTTAGTTCGAGGAAATGATGTGTGTATGTGTCGATTCGCTTCACACTAATTCCCTCAAGTAACAGGAAAGATTTTTCAGATGTTCGGTGGTTAAAGCTATTTGGCAGGTTTCATGCTTGTTGGGACCCATTGACAAGACGTATCACCAATGTCGACTGAGCTAACGACTCCTTAGGAGCTTGAATCTGAATAAGTCAGTGCAACGGTTAGAGACGCCACGACTGAGCTATTCTGGCTGTAACCGATCTTTTGTAGTACTGGGTTTGGTACATTGATAAGTCACTGGTAAGCAACCAATTTCGTTGAATCTGATCCTGAGTGCGGACTGATTTCTATCTATCAGTTGGCAGTGTGGCCACCAGTCTAGAAAGCTCATCATTGCGATACACTTTGATAGGTGTTATTTGGTTAGAGGCAGTCAGTAGGAAACCTTGCTTGATCTGGATTTCGTGGTGGTTGACACTTGTCAGTAAGACATATGTGCAACCTCAAGTGGACCTGATGTCGCTTCACAGACTCAAAACCACCTCACCCATTTCTAAAGACAGAGACGTTATCATTGAGCTATTCAAGTCGAATTCATAATTGAAATGTTTTTAATTCGTTGTTTGATTATATGATAATTTTCAAAACACAAACTCAATTTCACAAAAATTTCTATCAAAATCTTAGAACATTTTCAACAGACTCACTTCAACAGCAATATCTCGACACTTTAAAGTTGATAAATGTGCTTCTGTTGTCTTAGCACTAACTAAACAATAGTCTTCTTGATTTGTTCGTCCATGTTCAACAGAGTTATTGGAAATACCTCGCCGAGTTTTGAGGCCAAATGCTTATCATTAACACGTGCCCCACTGGGTAAATTACTCGATTTATTTGAATATGTTTTCATTTTGTTTACATTCGACGTCACTACACTTTTTTCTGATTCCACACCGTCTATCTCCAGAAGTTCTGATAATCTAACACCTTTCCACGTTCGTTTTCCACGATCAAGATTATCTTTACTATTTAGAGTTTTATTTTCATTCAAATTACTCACCGCTTCATCATACACATGTATCATAATTTTATTTGTTGTTTTTAAAGGTGATTGTTCGGTCAAATTTTCTGTTTCATATCCTTTAGCTAAATGTAAAAAGATAAAAAAAGTAGCTGATTATTTATGATAAGTTTTACTAGTTCATATTTTTGCATTTTAAAACTTTGCTAAAGACAAACATTTTATATGGAAGAAGTTAGTTTTTTTTGACTTGAATGTTTTCATTGATAGGGTGTATTTCAGTACTAGTCTACTGTACTTATCGGCATAACTGCTTCACATATATACATGGTGGGATCGTTAGTGAGGACTACTGTGGAGGCTGATACTATAGCAAAACAACTTTACGTGTTTGAAATGGTTTTGCATCTGATATCAGTCCATGATTAATACTATCCTTAAACGAATCAAACCCCACACAAACCTCCAAACCAATATGGTGCTTACAAATTATTTGGGTTATTCCATGCCTACGCTCGTTACTGAAGCTCAGATAGCCAGAAAGAATAACCGACAAGGAATTCTGGCTGGATGACTGGCTGGCTGGCTGGCTGGCAACGAACCAACCAACAACCTATCGCTCAACAAATATGCAGTGGAAGAAATTGGAGATGGATTGGATTGGGTATACACTGAGAAGACCGATCGGGGACATCACGCACCAGACCGGCACTCGATTGGAACCCAGATGTGAGACGGCGAGTTAGGCGTCCGAGGTAAGAGTGACATGGAGTTGATCGTTTGAGGAAGAAATGAGAGCTTGTGGGGTGTGGTGGGGTGAGGTTGAAAAGATTGCAGAGAAGAGAGTGTAATGGAGACGTGTTAGTGAAGTCTTATGTTCCACTAGGAACCCAAGGGACAAATAATAATAATACGCCTAGTCTGACTGACATAAAGATATTGACTGTTTCCAAGTAACGTTTTAGCATAATTTCGTTTGTCATCTTTGTGTATTTATTCCTTTAGTTTGCATATGATATCCTGCATAACATGGATTGGTTCATTTGAAAGGCTGATACCGAACGGACGAAGTAATAGATCGACAGCGTTTTAGATATTTTTGATATATGATAAAGTGATTCATTTCTAGCTTTTAGTAAGTTTTCTGACATATATTCTATTGACAGAAATGTCTTGATAAGGTTCAGCAGAAAGTTACTAACTTTGAATATATTATAGAAGGGGTTGTCCCCTGAATTCCATACTTGTTCGGCGTTGCAGTAAATCTTGACACGTATGAGTATTACTTGTACACAACTCTTCTTATCAGGTGTTGGGTTGTTACTATTGTAGTTCAAAGTTGATTCTAAGTGTATACGTATAAAGTTCGATAACAAACTTCAAATCTCGAAGGACACCAGATAATTATCATCCTCATTCTCAGCTACAAATATTCACTATTTCCTCAACATCTAGTGTTTTATGCATTCATATCTGTGCTTAGATTACTTCTCAGACAGTGCTCACTTTAAAGGCATCAAATAGTATATCTTTATGGGTTATTCATTAGATGAATATCAGACTAACACAGAATTTTCACTCAGTGAATAGTAAATCATGAATAACTTCTATTCACTTTATAGGCATCATCTCTAATTGTGCATCACCAACTTTTAGTTACAGCTGTGTTAAGAATAATATTGTCTACATAACTGTTCAATTTATTTCTGACAACAGGTTACAACGTTCCTTAGCTTTACTAGCTATCCGAAGCCTCATTTTTCCTGACAGATTAAATTACAGTTGAGTTTTAATCTTCAGATTACAAAGGTTTTTGTATTTTTACCTAATTTCTTCCCTGTTTACTGTGATATGATTTTGCAACCTCACGAAATAGAGATTGTAACTCGTCAAAATTTGACTTTTATGGATGGGATCAGTTAATGTTTTTTTCATATGTAAAAATGCTGCATATGGTTTACTGTCGTCTACCCTATCTGCGTATTTATACTAAGATGTTCAGTCAAACGACATGATGTAATGAGTAATATCTATGTGTTTTGATCAACATTACAAAAACTTCTATTGGGACAAGCTCAAAATCTGGAAGACATAGTACTCTAATGAAATGGTAATCAACAATCATGTGGACGTTGACTTAATCAAAATATGCACCTCTAAGAAGGGATTAACCAACTGGACATTAATCCAGCATATCAATAATGCTAAATTAAGTCATTGGTATAGCTCAAATGGTCACAATAGTTATACAGATCAGCTTCTTATAAAAAAGAATGCGAATTCAAACCCTAACCACATACCAATAACCCTCTAGGTCTACAAATATCCTTCACATATATTCATGGAACTTGAAAATACTTCACTTCTCTGTGAAGTAAATGTTGGTGAAGTCATTTTACCTGGTGATTAGACGTCCAGGAACAAACATCAAAGTTTGGACAATAACAAACGATCATCATTATTGTCTTTTTCAATTGTTTGTCTAATCCCATTGTGTGATTCCACTTCTCGTATCCTCACTGTCGGCTGATTACCTCAGACGACCGGAATAATATGACATTTTTACTATCTCATTATTATTATTATTATTTGTCCCTTGGATTCCTAGTAAAACATACGGCTTCACTAGCACATTTCCATTACACTCTCTTCTCTGCAATCTTTTCAACCTCACCCCACCAATCCACCACTGCCCAGAAGCTTTCATTTCATCCTCAAACGATCAACTTCATGTCACTCTCACCTCAGATGCCTAACTCGCCGTCTCACATCTGGGTTCCAATCGAGTGCCGGGTCTGGTGCGTGATGTCCCCAATCGGTCTGCTTAGTGCATGCCGAATCCAATCCATCTCCAATTTCTTCCACTGCATATTTGTTGAGCGATAGGTTGTTAGTTGGTTCGTTGCCAGCCAGCCAGCCAGCCAGTCATCCAGCCAGAATTCCTTGTTGGTTATTCTTTCTGGCTATCTGAGCTTCAGTAACGAGCCAGTGTAGGCGGCACTTGTTGATGAATATGTGTAGTTTGTTAGAAATGCCTTTCATGATGCACCAAGTCCCTCAACCGTCACATAGAAGCACTGACTGACTTGACTGGATCTGTGTTGAAAATCCGGATGTTGTTGACGCTTTGTGCTGAGTGGAGTGCAGTAGATCTCCACACTGGTTTCAGGCTAATGAAGGAAGGCATGTCTTGCTTTTCCGATTCTGGCTGGCTTTGATGTCCTAGTCTGTGCATGTGTCGCGTGTAGTTGAAACGATGCTGCTGTGCCTAGGTAGGTGAAAGAGGCTACTTCGTTTAAGTTTCTCCCGTTGATGGTGATTGTAGCTTGTTGTTGTTGTTGTTGGTGGTGGTGGTGGTGGCGTTGGTTGGGTATCTGAACATTAGCTTAAGTTTATTGATACTAAGTTGCTCAGAGTCCCCTTTGAGGTAGTCAGAGACCGTCGAGCGAATGTTTGTACAATTATCATGAAGAGTAATCACTTTATGATGAAGACGAATAACACTAATTGCCTACCATACAGTAGGCCTGTTTATCATGCAGTCAGTATATGATAAAATACAAATCAAAGTTGAAAGATTATTTCAGTAGAGTTTAGAAGCAGTTATGATACTACAGACACTTACTTGGATGGTCAATTTGATCAGAGCCTATAAGACTATCAAATCTGATGAATAAATAGTCTGTTAGTTTTGACAGTCTTTGACTAAACACTTGTCTTCCTTTCAGAATGACTTGAATCTTCTCATTTCTAATTCGTCGTATTAATTTGCCAAGGTGTATATGACGATCATTTTCCTTCTTCATAAGTGACATCAATTGTTGTTCTTTCCCTGGATTACAAACATCTGGATTAAGTTGATGGCTGTATGTAACCTGAACGAAAGTATAGGACACTATTAGATCAGTTTATTCTCTTAAAAAAAAAGTATTCTGAGACACATTTACAAAGTAAAACTTCTTCAGCGCCTGTAGACATCAAAAGTTATTCACCACTACCAACAATGGATACAAATGATAGAAGTTTCTCATAACTTTGAAAAAGACCATATACACACTGGGAGACGGAGAAACATATGATAGCTTTGTAATCAAGGAAGCTATTAACTGTCTTCTCTACTGTTTAGCTAGACAATAAACTCCATAGTTCCAGAATCATATTTACTTTTTGATAGATACTCTATTAAAAAACGTCTGTTCCTTAGACTGTAGATACACCATATTGATATTAAGTAGGAGATATCAAAACATCAACCTTGCAATGAAGATATCCTCCACGATAGGTCGTAGAGGTGAACCCGTGACCACTCCATCATTTTACCTATAAACTTAGTTATTGAATTGGAAATGAAAACTTTTGTGCAAAGAAGTAGTAGATGTTTCATCTCGATTTTAGTCAACGGTAGTAGATCAGTTTGTTGACAGATTATATTAATCGTTTCACTGGTATATTTGTAAATAAAGGAGTTCAAGTGTATGATACCATGAAGTTGTCTAAAACTCTGACATGATCTATTTCGTGAGAAAATTGAAATGAATCTCTTCAGATGTGGATCATCAAATTACTTTTTATAGGCTTTTACATTTCTTACCTCTGTGCAGTGAATTCTTCTGCATATAATAATAATAATAATAATATATTTGCTTTATTCTGCACCAATATTTAGTAAAGAATGACGAATAACAGGATTATTGAAATGTTTAATGACTTCAGGAACATGATAACTGTTCACTATTGCAAAGTTGATTGATAAGATTGTGTCAAATAAAGCTTTCTTCACACAATACACAAGCTAAATAAGGTGGTATAGTTGAATTTCTATATGTAGTTGTACATGCATAGAGTTTAATGTATTTGCTTCTTGTCTTCCTAGACGACAGACATGGAGTGAGGTGCAGATGCAGAGGATGCTTGTCATTAGATAAGAAATTCTCAGCTAGTAGTTTACAAGAGTTCAGATGCCTATCCATGACTACATTTATCAGTTCACTTAGGGGTGTGCTACTTGCTCTACTAACAGCTTTCAAAATCCTACGCAATACAACGTAGTTTTTTTTTTACTGGAATCTAAGAAAGAATAAGGCGGGACAATAAGTAAGTATAGGTAAAGCATATGAAATAATGAAACACAAGAGTAGAGACTGAGTTATACCAAAATAAATCTGAGTTTCTTAACACAAAAGGTCAACAGTAAGATATGAGGGGACCAAGAAAGATCAGAGAAAAAGCTTAAGCTAAGATGGATAACGCTTGTTACATCCTCTATAACAAAGCTATCCACAAGATAGGAGTCATGGGACTGAAACAATGTGCAGAGATCTTTTTCATGTATTAAGCTCAAATTAACCATCTGACATTTGGAGGGATTGAGTGTGAGACCATTTGAGGAAAACCAGTAACCAATTTCATGTAAGAAGTGTTATTAAACTGAGAACAATCAGAAGAGAGGATGATCGGTATGGATAATGTCAGGTCATCAGTATACTTAATAAAGTTAGCTTTAGTTGAGGTTAGTAGATTATGCAGAAAGAAAAGAGAAGGAACAGTACCTTGAGGCACTCTGGTTTGATTAAGCAGCGAAGTAGGACGTTTGCTTCTGTAAGGAGTGTACTGTCTTCTCTCAGAAAGATATGAACCAAGCCAGTTTACAGTCGAGGACTCCATGTGATTGGAAAGTTCGCTTAATAAGAGAGGTCTAGGAATACAGTAGGAGGTGGAAGAATAATCTAAGAAGGCAGATCTAACATACTTAGCGCCTTTGTCCAGACTGGTAATAATATTATGATGTAAAACTACTGCAGCGTCCAAGGTACTTCTTTTGAGATTTTAGGCAAATTGATTTGAGTCTCTGAAAGCCTGAAAAGGAGGTTCAAACGCGCGAAGCAACTGTTTTTCCACTGACAATAGAATTGGTGAGGTAATTGCAGGTTATTAATAATTTTGCTTTACGACTTAAGATTACTGACTCTCTAATTTTAAATTACCACATGTACTAATTATTACTGAAATCTTAAACTGTATATAGCAGCTGAGGAGTATTCTTGAATCACATTTTATTTCGCGAATTTAATCTTCCTTACTTTTTTTAGACTGTTATTCGTTTCAAATGATCATAAATACGTTAAAGTTGGATCGTGGCTAGCGGTGGAGTCTAGGATGCGCATTTTGTCCCATTTGGGACGCGTCAGCTGAATGTACCTGCTTCCCAGTGAGTGATGTTGTTCCCACCGGGATTCGGACTCGGAAGCGATCGCTTCAAACGCCAGCGCGTTATCTACTACACCACCGAACCACGATAGCCACTTCTTGTGCGACGGGTATAGTTTTTAGTATAAAGGTTTTTACATGATACCGTCGTAGATTGGACCGAATTGGTTGGTCTCTATTAGCATGTAGGCTCCTGTGCGGATGCCTCGATGTTGCCAGCAATCTGATTATGTTAAGGTTGGATCAACAATATCATATAAAAACCCTATACTAAGATCATAAATACGATTGTACAGGTTTAGTAAATGAAATTATTATTACTACTATTAATATTATTTGTCCCTTGGATTCCTAGTAAAACATACGGCTTCACTAGCACATCTCCATGACACTCTCTTCTCTGCAATCTTTTCAACCTCACCCCACCAATCCACCACTGCCCAGAAGCTTTCATTTCTTCCTCACACGATCTACTCTATGTCACTCTCACCTCCGACGCCCAACTCGCCATCTCACATCTGGGTTCCAGTCGAGTGCCGGGTCTGGTGCGTGTTGTCCCCGATCGGTCTGCTTAGTGCATGCCGAATCCAATCCATCTCCAATTTCTTCCACTGCATATTTGTTGAGCGATAGGTTGTTAGTTGGTTCGTTGCCAGCCAGCCAACCAGTCATCCAGCCAGAATTCCTTGTTGGTTATTCTTTCTGGCCATCTGAGCTTCAGTAACGAGCCAGTGTAGGCGGCAGTTGTTGATGAATATGTGTAGTTTGTTAGAAATGCCTTTCGTGATGCACCAAGTCCCTCAACCGTCACATAGAAGCACTGACTGACTTGACTGGATCTGTGTTGAAAATCTGGATGTTGTTGACGCTTTGTGCTGAGTGGAGTGCAGTAGATCTCCACACTGGTTTCAGGCTAATGAAGGAAGGCATGTCTTGCTTTTCCGATTCTGGCTGGCTTTGATGTCCTAGTCTGTGCATGTGTCGCGTGTAGTTGAAACGATGCTGCTGTGCCTAGGTAGGTGCAAGAGACAACTTCCTTTAAGTTTCTCCCATTGATGGTGATTGTAGCTTGTTGTTGTTGGTGGTGCTGGTGGCGTTGTTTGGGTATCTTCATCACCTCCGTTTTCTCTACGTTCTCTTGGAGGGGGTCCCACTCCTCGCTGCCCTGCCTCTTCTGTCAACTTATTAGTTTTCGCCTGCAGATTTTGGAGTTTGTGTGACACTAGACACAAATCATCATCTCCGGCGAAATCCAAGTCTTCTAGGTTCTTTTCCGCGGTCCGGCTTATCCCACTCTTCTCGCCTCTCACTTTTGGTTTCATGGTCCAGTCCACTACAACCATGAATATCATGGGTGATAGTAGGCGACCTTGTTTCACTCCTGTCTTCACTTCAAAAACATCACTGAACTTCCTATTTTAAATTGCTTGTTATGTGGTGTATTCATTTAGTTGTTGAATGAGGTTGATAAAGTTTCGTGGTGTTCCATAGTGTTGAAGTAGCTGTCAAATTACTTGTTGGTTGTTGCTGTCAAAGGACTTTTCAAAATCGATTAAGTTGATGTAGATGGTTGACTGCCATTCTATACTCTGTTCTATGATGAAGCGAAGTGTTGCAATTTGGTCCGCACATGATTTGTACTTCTTGAAACCAGCCAGCCTGTTCCGGTCATAGTTTTGAATCCAGTGCCTCCTTTAGCCTCTCCAGGATGATGTGGCTTAATATTTTGCTTGCTGTGGGTGGACAGGAGTGTGATTCCGAGCCAGTTCTCGCAAAGACTTAGGTCCCCTTCTTCGGGAGTTTGACAAAGAAGCCCATCTTCCAATCAGCTGGCAGGTGCTTCCATTCCTTTCACACCTTCTGCAATAGTGGTGTAAGCAGTAAACTAAATTGTCAGAAAAAAAATCTTTTTCTATGTTATATCTTTGTTTGCTGAATTGTTTTATTCAGTAAAGATAATACAAAATAGAGAATTTTAACTCACATATAATTCAGTTAACTGATTCATTTCTGATTGTACTTGATTATCACAAGCGATTATTTCATTTAGCATATAATATTTTAATTCATTAACCATATCTTGAAATAGTAAATTTGGTAGTTGACTTGCCAAATTTTCAATTTTATCCAATTGTTGAGAAAATTCTGTAATGATTAAAAGAGGTGAATTTTTTTTCACTTTTAAAGAGTAAGACAAAGAAAAACAACAACACTTTACTAGGTTGTTAAATTTACTGACAATATGGGGGGCATTTCTGTTATCTATAAGATCGCTATTTATTAAAAGATATTTGGTGATTTAATAAGATACTATTTCTTAAACTTAATTTTTAATTCATATTGTAGTATCATGTTGTCACCTGTTTCAAGTGGATTCTGTTTATTCAAGAATGTTATTCATAAAGTAACAAAGTTTTATTGAGTCGAAGGATATTGTTCGGGGGTTGACGAAGCTATTAACTTAGCTAAATGGGGTGAAAGACCACTTCACAAGTCAAGTGGTTATTAACATCTCTTATTTGTGGTACGCAGTGTTATCCGCCCTGTTGAATAGTTAACTGTGAGGAAAATGTCAACAATTCCAGTTATGTTTAATCGAAGATAATTAACATCATGTTTAATATGAAAGTATTTACTGAAAGCTGTTTCTGGATGCCAAAACACAGATTCTCAGCGACAAACTGAAGCTAAGCACCAGAACTCAGAGTATATCTACACCAAGTTACAGTAGGTTACGTAATTCAAGGTGTCATTCGTGATGGATTGATATCTGGGAGCATTGGACATATGTCTCAGCCTTTTACAAGATTCCTATGCAGTGCACACCTATGACCTCTCTAGGGTCAAACCGAAGAACTTGGGCTTTCGAGGTTAGACAATGAGCAGGAACCCAATGGTTTACCATTTTCTATTTCTACCAGTGCGCGAAATAGAACATTAGTTCTCACTTTCAACTTGGTGTACCTCACCGGTCACCACTTGTTGCTAGAAATTCAGGAAATCTCATGTCCAAGCTTGTTGCTAATTAGCACTGGACAGTGATTTCAGTCTATGATGAATAATCCAGATTAGATCTGATAAATCCTCACAAATCTTCAAACTGGATCACATACCATTGGTAGTGAACGAAAGTACAAGATAGCTACAAAAAACTTTAAATCAAGCGAAAACCTCCTAAAAGAGATTTCATATCAGTTAAGACTGAAAATCACTTGCGGAAAAGCACTTCTTGATACGGTTAACTGAATACATTTCCTCATTTTACGTGAATGCAGAATTGAAATGAAGTCCACAAAATGATTTATTAGCACTACACCATTGCGTAATCTTAGTTCAAACATGTTTCTAAGTAATTCACTTACTGAGTAAAGTGACTGAAATGGAGACGATGCTCATGGACTAATCTGTAACTATTCCTATCTTAAGGATCGAACGTTAAGTGGTGGAATGTACCGACCACTTCATCTACTTGTCGATTTTCACCGGCTCGAACGGCCTGGTTGCTGACGAGATTTCAGCTCGTATGCAGAAAGCCCGTTTGGCATTTCGTGACATAGGCCATCTGTGGCGCCAACTGATGAGATATCCGATTATCTATCAATGAATGAGTGTACTGTACTGTAGTTTCCTCTGTTCTGTCATACAAATGTGAGACATAGCCATTAAAAGTAGAAGATATGAAATGATTACAGGGTTTGATCAGAAATATCTTCGTACCATTGGGCACATTTGATGAAATCATCGTGTGAGGAATGCTTGGGTCAAGCGAAGGGTATTAGGAACGATCACCAAGTCGACTGATGATGTCATAGACTCTCGCCAAAAGAGATGATCTAGAAGTTTATTGCGCATATCAAGCCACCACCTACCTCAAGTGCCATGCTACGGGAGGTTGGATGAAGTTGGAATAGGGTTCAAAGTGACCAGATCAAGGCAAGGCACCAGTCAAAGTCTCTGACCATTGGTCCGAGGTGTGTGGGAGATGTAGACTACCTGATTGGGGTCCTTAAGTAGAGAAATTATCCATCATTTTTTGTCCAGATGTTACTTATTATGAATATCCGAGAAGAAATTGAGTGCTGAGTTGAATTTTAGAAGCTGCAGCTTATACAGTGAAACGTTCAGAAAAATCTTGTTTTATTTTTTTCCTATAATAATCCTATTAGGGGCTCAAATTCTTCCGGGATATTCGTTACAATTATGATTTGGATAATATAAGTGAAAAAATTGGGCACTGTGGTAGAATGTAGTTCCATATTAGATTTGTTTATTTGATATAAAGCGCACAGTGATACAGTATTATTATTATTAATACTGTATCACTGTGCACTTTATATCAAATAAACAAATCTAATATGGAACTATGATTTGGATATTTTTAGTTTGTAATCTATAGGCAAAAACCAACAAGTTGACAGAACAGGCAGGGCAGCGAGGACGGGACCTCCTTCAAGTGAACGTCGAGGAGACGGAGGTGATGAAGATACCTAACCAACAACAACAAAAAGCACAAATCACCATCAACGTGAGAAACCTAAAGGAAGTTGTCTCTTGCACCTACCTAGGCAGCATCGTTTCAACTACAGGTGGCAAAGATGAGGACATCAAAACCGGGATCGGGAAAGCAAGACACGTCTTCATTCATCAATCTGAAACCAGTGTGGAGATCTACTACACTCCACTCAGCACAAAGCGTCAACAACATCCGGATTTTCAACACAGATCCAGTCAAGTCAGTCAGTGCTTCTATGTGACGGTTGAGGGACTTGGTGCATCACGAAAGGCATTTCTAACAAACTACACATATTCATCAACAGCTGTCGCCTACGCTTACTCGATATTGAAGATCAGACCAGAGGTCCAGATTAATTAGAATAAACAACAAGGAGCTCTGGCTGGCTTGACAACGAACTAACCAACCAACAACCCGTCGTCCAACAATTATGCATTGGAACAAAGTGGAGATGGATTAGGCATACGCTGGGCAGACCGATTGGGGACACCAGGCCAGGCCCTCAAGTGGAACCCAAATGGGAAACGATGAGTTGGGTGCTCAAGGATGACATGTAGGAGGTCGTGTGACAGAGAAACTAAAGCTTATGGGGAGTGGTTGAGCCAGCTTGAGTGGACTGTGGAGAAGAGGGTGAAATAGAGATGTGCTACTGAAGCCCTATGTTCCACTAGGAACCAAGGAGACGAATAATAATAATAATAATAATATAACAATTATAACTTGTAATCAGAAATCGGGTGGAACTGTCAGAATCATCCTTATCTTTGTTGATGTGAACGACCTTGACCTGCTTTTATCATCGTGACCAGTATGACTACCATTGAGTATTCTATTCTAGTTAGCATCTAAGTTTTTCGGTTGGATTTAATTTTTTTCTTCACATTTTTAAACAACTTTTCCTATAATTTAGACATATGCATTTCATTGATTGATAAGTATGTGTAAATTCATTGACGTAATTTTAGTGGTTTATTATTACTTGGTCAATTACATCATCGAAATTTCATTCTCACAACGACGTTTACAAGAATTATGTATACTTTATGGTATAATAGAGTAAAAAGCCTTTCAGTGGTAGAAAAAACAAAAAACACTACAGCACGGTCACTACTGGTTTTGTTTCCGAGTTGCATGATTTCTCTGACCACATCTAAGGGGTTATGAGCACCAACAGACACTTAAGCAACACAATTGCCCTCCATCCTACTTTGACATATCATACATACGCTGGCTACCATTCCGTTTCCTTCAAACAGTCACAAGGTAGTCGAACAGTGAATGGTGTGCGACATATTTTATACAAGTCCGATCCACATAGGTTTGTATTACAAGGTGACTACACTCAATGAATGACGATCTCCATCACGCTTTAACACATATCACCTCACCCCAGCATCATTTATATAGTGTTTCTGATGGATGTGAGGAGTCCTGGGGGGATACAACGGGGATGAAAACGCGGAGTTGTCAAACATCCTCATACTGAAAACGTTAGCAGGTTTCACAGGCGTGGGATGGAACTACCTTTATTAATGCGCTGTTTATTCCATCTTTCAAAGCAAGTTTACCCTCACATCAGTACCAGTGGTTATCCAAGTTGGTGAATAACACTCTGGCTTTCAGCATACGGTTGAAAATCTCATTGGGCACATCACCAGGACTCAAGCAACTACCCAAATACACAGATCTTTTTACAACTGTCACCTATTCTTTATCAGGGGCGAACCTAGGTACAGATGCCTACCAATCTTGTGACAACACTTTTCACTTTGTTGGTTGAAAGCACACATCATACTTGTGGACACTAATCACCAACTGTCTGAGTACAATTTGAGTACCCTGCGTGTTCTTTCAAAATAACACAATATCGTCAGCACACTAGAGGTCGAAAAGTCTTTCACTACCAACACGTACCTTCTTCAGGGCTATCTTCAGAATGTCATCGATGGTAAAGTTGAAGAGGATTAAAGAATTTGTACAGCCCTGACAAAGTCTGTCAGTGGTTTGGAACAATAAAGGTATCTGTATGCCTTCATCTGAGATGTTGAACAGTTCGGCTTTCAAGATATTAATAAGTAGATACTTACTTGATTAACTGCATAGTTTCGTAGAAACTAGAATTCCAGGGGAGTAGAGAGTAGAAACGCACTCAGTGAATGAGTATAGCAACGGGAAATTACAAGTATTAAAATAAAAACTGATACCCTTTACACAAGAGTTGACTGTGGTGCCCCAGTGACCTAGCGGATAACGCTTTGGCGTTTGAAGTGATGGGTACGAGGTTCCAGTCTTAGTGGGAACAAAACCATTACTAAGGTGCAGGTGTATCCGTGTGGCGAGTCGTAGGTAGAACGAAACACGCATCCTGGATTCCACTACTAGCCACGGAATAGATTACAACAGAAACATACTTAATTTCACAGAAACTACACTACATATAGCACAAAGCCAGAATGGATGCTATACTCAAAAGAACACGATTAAAGCTTGTAGAAGTTCACAGTTGAGTTCACAAGTAGCAGGTTGACATATGAAATATATATTCGAAAATAGATGGCAGTTCAATTCAAAGTATTTTAGCATAACATTGACTGTATCAACGATTACATCATTTCAACCCTCTTTTTTCATTCACTACCCTTAAAACGATCGTAATCCAGAGTCTACATTAAGTTGATCATTCTCAGTAAACTCCTGGCTTTCTAAGTGTATATGTGTTGATGATGAATTGAAGTCTCCTGTCTACTTGTATATTTTTAAGTGATTAACACGAATTCTTAAGAATCTTTCAAACAGAGTTTCACTATATTCTTTAGTGAATTTATTTGAGCTGCTCAACTTTCTTATCATTAGACTGTCCTCGGTTTTTCATTTCAAAGTACATTGTCATTGAATTCATTTTAATCTGTTTACTAGAAAACTTCTGTCCTCTGCAACTATATGATCACATTTAAACATAGTGCACAAAGTCGATACCTTTTGGCATAGTTCACTGAAGGTCAATGCAAATCATTCAATGGCTACATATTCCAACATTTAGTTGACAGTAGAAATATGGTTCCAGAAGATTTATTTACGCTAGTCTACAAACTACAGGATGCTATTCTAAAGGATGTGAAGAAACGTTTACTTCGGATTGCTGAAGCTCTGGCAATGTAACAATCCAAACTAGAGTTATCTATTCAAAAGTAATTTTGCTATTCCTACTAACTTCTTAAATCTTGAACTTTCCGATTCTTAACACATAGCTACTATTTTAATTTTCATCTGGTTATTATGTACATAATTTTCATTTAGCTCAGTTGCAAATTCCTAATCAACTTACTCATTCACATCTGTCTACTCACTTTGATCTTGATTTCAAATCATATTTATTCCTATTGTCAAATACCTTCTATATTTCTTGCATAATTTCCATTCGTGCAGTATTGTCATGACCATAAACTGTTAAGAATTACTGATGAACAAATGATGATACTCTTTACAGACGCCAATTATATTTAAAGGAGATTAAACAGCTGCAGTGGATAATACCGCCTAAAAAAATAAGTTTTTTCACGCTGGATTTCGTATTCCTTTTTGATTCAATAGGAATATTTAAATCTTTGCATAACTTGACGGGACTTCAAGTGAATGTAGAGAAGACAGAGGTGATGACGATACCCAACCGCCACTAACAACAACAAGCTCCTATCATCATCAATGGGAGAAACTTAAAGGAAGTAGCCTCTTTCACCTATCTAGGCAGAGCAGCATCGTTTCAACTACAGGCGACACAGGCACAGACCAGGACGTCGAAACCACCCGGGATCGGAAAAGCAAGACAGGCCATACTTCATTGATCTGAAACCAGTGTGGAGATCTACTGCACTCCACTCAGCACAAAGCGTCAACAACATCCGGATTTTCAACACTAATTCAGCCAAGCCAGTGCTTCTATGCGATGGTTCAGAGACTTGGCGCGTTACGAAAAGCATTTCCAACAAACTACACATATTCATCAACAACTGCCGCCTACACTGGCTCGTTACTGAAGCTCAGATAGCCAGAAAGAATAACCAACAAGGAATTCTGACTGGCTGGCTGGCTGGCAACGAACCAACGAAGCAAGAACCTATCGCTCAACAAATATGCAGTGGAAGAAATTGGAGATGGATTGGATTCGGCATGCACTGGGCCGACCGATCGGGGACATCACGCACCAGGCCAGGCATTGGTGTAGAACCCATGTAGAAAACGATGAGTTGGAGGAGATGGTGTGAGGAAGAAATGTGAGCTTGTGGGCTGTCGTGGCGCCAAGTTCAAAAGATTGCAGAGAAGAGAGTGAAATGCAGACGTACTAGTAAACCTTATGTTCCACTAGGAACCCAAGGGACAAATAAAATAAATAACTTCGGTGCAGCTGATGAAAAACTGACGAAACACAATGAATTTATACTATTCTTAAACTTTGACAATATTATCGTTATAAAGTTTGAAAATGGAATAACTGAATAAAATTGCATAAGGTATAAACATTTATTTACCTTTTATACATAAATTTCTGTATGTTTCTGCTTTTTCAAAGTCTGTTTTTAAACTCTTTACTAAGGTACTAGCAGCATCATCAAATGTTGCTTTTATAACCTCAGGTCGTGTCGGTTGTCTAATTCCCTTTTGTTTGTAATAATTCTACAAATTGGATAAAGGAATTTGATTTAAAAAAATTTTGTGATTAAAAACTTTAAAAGTATGTTTTGGAAAATTTGTAGCAACACTACACGATGAACCTGGATTATTGTTAGTATTATTATTATTATTATTATTATCACTATTATTACTAACCATATAGTTGTAACGGCATGCGGAACAAGATCCAGATTTTCAACACCAACCTAGTCAAGTCAGTGCTTTTGTATGGTTCAAAGACTTGGCGCGTTACCAAAGGGATTTCCAATAAACTACAGACATTCATCAACACCTGTCCCGTACGCTGGCTTGACACTGAAGATTAGATGGCCAGAAAAAATAAGCAACAAGCAGCTCTGGGAACGAACCAACCAAGAAGCTATCGCTCAACAAATATGCACTGGAAGGAAGTGGAGATGGATTGGGCATACACTGAGAAGGCCGACTGGGGACATCACGCGTCAGGGCAGGCCCTCGAGTGGAATCCCCGTGGGAAGCGACGAGTTGGACGTCCGAGGGTGATATGGAGGAGATCGTGCGAGGAGGAAATGAGACGTTGTGGGCTGTCTTGGAGCTAGGTTGAAAAGATTTCAGAGAACAGAGTTCACTGGAGACGTGGTACTAAAGCCTTATGTTCCATTAGGAACCCAAGGGACTAATAATAATCTTAATAAATATAGTTGTAACGAATAATGATGGTATTTTTAGACAAAAAAAAGCTTACTTCTGATTAAGAAATGTAACTGATGCTGGGTATTTTTATCTATACCTGTATTCCATGATCTTTTTGATATATGGTAGAGATTTAATTTACTTCATCAGGACCAATACAATGAACCACCTAATTCTCTTGAATTTTACTGTCTCAAGAACTCTGAATTATTATCAAACTTATATAGATGTTAAAGTTTCCGAAAACATAAATGCATATTAGATATGTTTATTTGATTTATAGTACATAGTAGGTGATCTAGTATTATTTACTTGATGACATTTCGAGCATAATTCATTACTGCTCATAATCATATCTCAATGTAATCACACTACTTTCAACATTCGATTTTTTTTAGTTATGTCACTTTATAGAAGTTGTTTTTATTTATAGCAAAATTTTCCATATCTCTGGTATTGGTGTTGCGTCATCATTCGTATTACATGTGTTGTGTGTTGACTCGATGAAGAAAGATTCAGTAATCAATCTCTCCACCTAATTATATTGGACTTAAGTACAGTGGCTTTATCCCACCGTATTGTGTGGTTGTGTGTTGTTGGTTTATGCACTGCAATAGCCGCTGAACCACAGCTTCAATATGGAGCGTTACACTGTAATACTACTAGGTCTCATATTAATCTCGACTGATTGACTAGATAGTGCTTAGGTGTACATTTGATTTAGTACAAATAACACCCAACGTTGATCCAATTTTTTTGTGCTTCTTTCTAAGATATAGTGTATTAGTAAGGTAAACGGCTAACCGGCTAGTAACTAGTGAACTAGTTACTTAGGCGAAGTTGGTAAGCTAAACGTCTGGACGGTAATCTTATAAATATCACACCAAATCTTTAGTTTATTTTGCGATAGTATTGTTCACTATTCAGTTGTCCATTCAACTTTAAATATCCACCGCATAATAATAATAATTTATGCTGGGTGATAATTGACGGTGGAATGAAAATTGGGACTGCGGTCAGATTCGAACCGGCGACCATCAGGTTACTGACTCGATGCTCTACTGACTGAGCTACAAGATCCCATTGGGCAGGAAATCCTATGGTCGCTGGTTGGAACCCCGTTGCGGTCCAAATTTTCATTTCATCTTCAATTATCACCTAGTATAAATACTAGTCTGCCAAACTACGGCTATCTCAGATAGTCATAATGATAGTAATAATAATAATAATAATAATAATAATAATAATAATAATAATAATAATAATAATAATAATAATAGCGATGATAATAATAATAATATCTGTACGGTCAACTGAGAGGATTGCTGTAAAAGAGCAATAAAAAATCCATATAATTTTCTCATAGTTATATCATCAATGAAAGGCATATCTAATGTGTACTTGACAAACAACTCATGTGTTTGTACGTGTGTATACCGACTGTTATAATCCATTAGGTGAGAAGAGAAAAGTTGACCGTTCCAGTGTTGTAGAGCAAATGAACTGTGCACTTAGTTGACCTGAACTGATACTAGTCAGAAGGTAATACTCTGTGTGTGTGTGTGTGTGTGTGTGTAACAGATTTGTTTATTTGATATACAGGACACACGGTGATCTAGCATTATTTATCTGGTGACGTTTCGAGCATAATTCATTACTGCTCATAATCACATCAATGTAATCATACAACACTTTCAATATTTCATTTCTATAGTCCTGTCACCTCATATTATTTGTTGTTATTGGTAGCAAAACTGTCTATATCTCTGGTATAGGTATTGTGTCATTTCTGTTACATTTGTTCGGTGTTGAGTCGATGAAAAAAGATTCAGTACTCAATCTCTGTCACTACCTCTCTCTCTCTCCACCTAACTAAACTAGATTTCAGTAAAGTGATTTTATCCCATAGCATTGTGTGGTTGTATGTTATTGTATCCATTGCAATAACCGACTTTTTTTTCTAGATTACTGATCCTGTTGGGGTCTGCCATTCTACATTTAGCTGAATTCATATTCTGATAATCTAACTGAACCTGACTGGCTAGTTTGACCTCACAGTCATTGCATGGCATTCGGAAGAATAGATTATTTGGCTTAGTTTGATCTGTAGGATCCTTAAGCCGACAAAGCTCTCTCCTTTAAGTGAGTCTGTAGGTTTAAATGCCAGCATGATTCAAGCCTTGTTGAGGATCTTACGTAAAGTTTCTGATATTCCTCCCTTATAGGGTAACACAATGGAGGCTGTGAACTTCTTTCTATTCGTGTTATTATTATTCATACTCTTGTAACTGTTATTATTTTGTTAATTGTGTTTGAGCGAACTTCCTAATAAGCTGTAGAGCATAATTATTATTTATTAACGCTTCCTTTATGTGTTTCAGTTTCTTATTTAAGTTCTTGTACTAACTGCTGAGTTTTTAGCTGTCATTTAGATATTTGTTTAAACCTGCCTAAAATGACATTGGATGAGATGACCTGAAGTCTAAATACCTGTTGGAATGTGTCAGTTTTCTGTAGACGGTAGTATTCAGACCACCATCTGTTCTCCGTTTTACTCTACAATCTAACATAGGTAATTCATTTTCTATCTCGTTAGTGAACTAAATTGCATATAATACTGAGTATTACTCAAGTTGATTCCTCTGTAATTATGGATTCGTGTTTCTTTATGTGTCAAAATAATGGACATATTGTTATACCTTTCTAGTTGTAAATTTTTTTTTCCTTCTTAATAAAAATCGAAAGTGAGATACCTTCGACAAACAGACTGTTGTATGACGTTCCGTGTTCCCTGTTCATATCCTCATCATCGATGATTTCAGGGTTTCAAGGCAATGTGATGATCATACTATCAGGGTGTGTAGTGAAACAAGACTGCTGATGGCTGTCTAGAGCAAAACGTATTGATCACACAACAACCTAGTTTTTGCTGTAAGGTTTACCTACTCCAGCGAGATATTTTTGATGGATTGCGTAAGGATACAGTCAGACAACCAAAGAACAATATATATTTATACTTCAGATGAGAGAAGAAACGTTTGACAACTTAATGGTTAGCTGGATTATAAATTTCACTCGTATGTGAATTTTTCTGTTGACAATAATTACTGTAGTTCTAGTTATACTTATTGACTATAATAGCAAGTAGAAAGACGAACAAATACACTCGTTATGGATGGTCAGTATTCGTCAAAGGAGTTGATAGATGATGATTAATGTTTCATCAGGTCAGATAAGAGGTCAGAAGTCTTGTCAAAAGCAAAATATGATCAAGGCAAAAAATGCAAACTCTAGAAGTGAACGTTAATGCCTACTGAAACTGGTTCCTTCAGACTCAGATAATGTCATAAGGAATTCAGTATTGTGAATGGCTTATGCACAAGAGTAAACGAATTCTCATAAGCAAACAACTTTGGGGAAGCTGATGTTTTCTTGAGGAGTTGAAAGTTGTGTAACTCAACGTTGAAGTCAGATAGTTTACTACACAGTTATTCAAGCCATGACTGGTCCCTGTGGGACTAGATTACGTACATAAACTGAAAACAATAGGTGATCGATATATAGTTGTTCAATCTTTCATTTGTTGCTCAATACTGATCAAGGTTGCAACGTGGCCATAACGCTAATTAACGCGACATCACAATAAGTCCCATCAAGCACGAAACCTAGATGAATGGCTTCCAGTCGATTAATTGCTACACCAACTAACATTAAACAGCCATGCATCGAGGTGTTGCATCACTTGGCTTAGTATTCGATCGATAGACTTTGGTCAGTCCTGGGTAATGAGAACTGAAAACGTATATCGGTTAACCATTACTGGTTCTCAATACGCATCCGCTGCGGCTAACATGCAAGCATAAGATCCTCTCCATTTAAATGGTAACATATAAGAATGTACACTTTACTTGCATGATAAATAAAAACGCTATGAAAAGGAGGGTGTAACTCTATCAAAAGCTCGATTCTCCGGTATTTAGTTAACTCTGGTCATGTTACTCCATGACAGTCTTCTTTCAAAGTCATTTAAGGTGTGAAATTAAACATTTATTTCGAATAGGGTTCATATTCGTCACCTGAACACAGCAGCAGCTTTAGCAACCTAGTGGTTCAAACTTGATTTTTGCGTTTAAAAAAGATACATTCACTACCTAATTTTAGTTTAGTCGTAATATCCATAAGACAGTTTATTCATTTCTTTGTTTATCTATTGCAATCCAGTGAACAATTTTTGATGACCTTGACTTGACCTTGTAACTTGACCGTTTTTGATATTGACCCATTAGCCATTGCTGTTACTATGATTATTATTGTACAACGTTTGAAAAGGATTTATCGAAAAGAAAATTTCCTGGATGTATAATCAAAATTAGCAAGTATTGGAAAGTAGTAAAGAAGTCAAAATAATTGAGTTGTTTATTAAGTCTTCCTTGATCAAGAGAATGAGATTACAGCCTTTTTCGAACACAAAGGCTAGGGTTATTTGCTCGAATTCTCATGGTTTTAGCTACGCATACAGACGAGTTCGAACTTATTTTGACAAATTTTATGGTAAGTGATAAATGGTCTCAAGTGGTAAATTCTTGTCTATTAAATGATCACTATAAACCAAATAGGATGAGAACGTGGCATGTTTGTGACTTGCCTCCTCATTCCCGGTTGTATCGTACCTGGAATCAGCTTGCGATACCAATTCACCGTATCCTGATAACCATCCCCATCATCGATTGTGAGAATCACTCAGTCTATCTGTTAAGTAGGCTTGAATTTTACTTTTGTGATCAAGGCTTCTACTCCGTTACCATCAAGACAGTGTATTCAAGATAGTCTAATTAATTGTCAAGCTTGTTTACTAAGGAGAACTGGAAAAATCTACTGTGTCTGTACGCATGGATGGATACACACGAGCGATTAGGAGACTACCGATACAAATTTTAATGTCCTAGTTAATCTACAGCTCATAATTCACAATATTCGTTGAATGCAAAGCCGAAATCTAACGAGAAACACCAATGACTAAAGTGGTGAGGGCGGTGAAAGCATACAATGCTTTTAAACTGTCCACAGTTACATGTCTGACTTCAATAGGAGCAAGTAAATTGTATCCAAATTGAAAACTTTCCTTCAAAAAGGTATTGAAGTAAAGGTATAGAACAGTTGTGTGACTGCCTACTGACCAGTTTATGACGAAGATTGTAAGCAGTCATGTTGCCTACTTTATGTGGATTGGGTAATGAATCCTGATACATTATATCATGCACTGCTTATATCAACTAAAAAATGACTCCGCAAGGAATGTGGAGATGACAGAGATTGAAGTAATGTCATTTCAGATGAGAGATTTTGAGTTGTTCGTTTTCATATCCCTTCAATGTTGAAAGTATTTAAATCTTCGATATTTCTGTCCAATTTTCCACATTATTGACACTCATGCGTTGACATAAGTTGGAGAACCATGGAAAATCCTGATAGTTTTGGACAGCTGTTCCCGCCTCTCCCCCCCCTCCACAGCTTGAGACTTTTCAATAGCAAATAACCACGACTTAAATGGGGAGAAGGCCCAGGGCTACCAGATCTCGTAAGGAAAATGTTGCCATCCAACTGATGAGTTAGAATTTAGTAGTCAACATTTATCTACTTCTTTCATCTTATGATAAAGTGCAACTGTTTTCACTATCACCTAATGTCGTAATTTGAACAAGAATGGTAATACTGTTTTGTGGACACTTATGAACATACATACGCACATACATACACACACACATACATACATACTGACAGCTGATAACCATTCATTTACTGACAGAATAATGCAATATTACAAGCCTTCCTACTGTCGAATGGGTTTCAGAAAGTCGATAAACAAGCAGAATATTATTGGTTCAAGTCAAAGTAAACATTAGACAGTTACACTAACAGGTCACCAGTGGATGATCCGTAATACTCGGTACCGCTCTAATTCAATCAATCTTTTTGAGTGGTTTCTGCTAACCCACCTCCACTATCTAGCTTCAAAATATTGGAAACTACCTTCCTACATTTCTCATTCCATCAAAAGACTGAGGCTAATTACTTGTCTCAGCAACAGCAGAACAAACAGAAATCAGTCGGGTAGTATGAAATGATGTGTTCGGCCAGTTCAAGGAAAACATTTTTTTTTCGAATTCCAGTTCATCATTTCATTGTATTGCATTATTTTCAGACATTTCAGAAATGATATACACATTAACTGACAATGAAATTCAGGTGCAACTATAGAAAGCCAGTGAAAAAGAAAAGTCGTGATAATGAGTTTTTAAAAAAAAATATATTACCTCTGATAAGTGCAATGCATTGTGAAGGCTTTCTCGACAGATCTTTTGTATACGACCAATAAATGTAACTTGTTCGATATTTGAATGTTTCACACCCGAATCACCCACTTCAACTGAATCAACCATGGATTGGGGATCTTTTCCGAAAGCATCGTAGTATACTTGAGGACGATTATGTTTTATTCCAGTTTTGTTAGGAACTTGATGAGATGCACTTAAAAGAGAAGCAAGAGTGAATAAGATTACACAGTGACGAAGTATTTATTATTATTTATTGTTACTTAAAAAGTATTCAGTAGTATAAATTAAGTCACTAAAAAGACGAGCGGTATGATTTCGCTTTGACTATCCTATTTCAGTTTTCTTTGAAAGATGAAAAATATGTAAACGAGAAGGTGATGGAAGTGAAAATGTTTCCGACATTTCACTTTATAAGTATGCAGGTCATTGACCAATAAATAGCGTCATACTGTCTAATTAATCCAGATATAAAGTCTAGGGGACATCATTTCTCCCTAGGTTCTAAATGCACCCTATTCTTCATGAGTTAAAGAAAATATAAGTTGTTCAGCGCCTACAAAATACATAACCTGCTTTTACTCTCACTAAGAATAGTCTCATGACTGGCTTAAAAATATAGGGAATTCAACTAAATTAGTTTCACCATTTCAACATGAGAAGTATTTCCTTTCAGAGAAGTAAACAGGGCGAAGTATCTTCTAATAATTAAGCAGGCGAAAGTAGTATTAACTTACAATGTTGTAATCAGAATTCATCTTTTGAACAAAGTAGAATGAGATCATTCAGTAAAATAGTTAAAATATAAAGACTTTTTGGGAATTTATGTAAAATGTTGATTGAAGTATGGATCTATTTAGCTAAAATTACTTGTTCAGTACAATTTATTCGAAAAAAGGAGAAATATATATACATTCGTCTAGAATTTTGAAATGCTAATAAATACCACTGCTTAATGGTTCATTCTTCTTGAATGATTGAGTAGAAAAGTTGCAGTCAACTCAAAAATCAACATACTGCCATAAGGAGGATTGACGAATATTTACTTAAGATAAAATGATTTAATTTTGAGGGAGTTGTGGAGATTTGGAATTATTTCAAGTTGTTATTCATCGTAGACTGACATCAGTTGGAGGAACAAAAGAAACCTGGGAGCACTGGACAGCTGTTTCGTCCTAGTATGGGACTCCTCAGCAGTGCGCACCCACGGCCCCACCAGCAGGGATCGAACCCGCGACCTTCAGGTTCCGTGGCCAGCGCGTTACCATTGAGCCACTGGCCGCGGAACCCGAAGGTCGCGGGTTCGATCCCTGCTGGTGGGGCCGTGGGTGCGCACTGCTGAGGAGTCCCATACTAGGACGAAACAGCTGTCCAGTGCTCCCAGGTTTCTTTTGTTCCTCCAACTGATGTCAGTCTACGATGAATAACAACTTGAAATAAAATGATTAATTTACAAATAATTTACAAATTACATGTTCCATGTTGATATTTCTCCTGGCTGAGTAGATTTTAAAATATCAGTCTATGGTGTAAGCAAGATTTCCCTTAGAGATCAAACAAGAAGAAGAATCATAAAAGTGTCATGAACTGACAAAATATTCTACTGAACAACTTAAGTAGTTAAAAAGTACTTAGGCTAGGTTGTAGATTTCACTCATTAGGCAGAATAAAGTGATTTAATTACCTTGTGGCTGTTTTGACCATTCAGAGTAAAGTTCATCAGCGTTGTGCTCCAATCATGCAATTTATAAGCCACTTGAGAATTGATCCTATTAATTTACATATACTAATTCATACTAGTCAACTAGAGAGATTCAGGTGATCTAAACTGATTCGGCTGTGTGTACACCATTGATGAACTCTGTCCCAGACGGACAAAACCGGTATCCAATGCTTAGATACCTCTGATCTGGATAGCCGGTGAAATTTAATTGCTTTGTTTGAAAACATTATTCATTTGTGACACTTGAAATGCATACAGTATCATTTGAAGAAAAAAGTGTGTTTATTACATATTCGATTACTAGAGTAAAGACAAAACTTGGTTATATTGTGTTCTCTGAGCTGGATGCTGATGATGTCGTCTAGTAAGACGATGAAAGCTTCACGATTAAACAACCCAGCTCAGAGAACACAATACATCCAAGATCATCCACCTGAGCTACAAATATTCTCCATTACTTCAAAGACAAAACTCTCAAGAAGCTGTAATCTAGTTAAGATATGAAATGGCACAATTGGTAGTCTCGAATGATTTTATCATCATTGACTGGATGTTATCACACAATCTTGCTACAACTTAGCGGTTGAGGAATACACTTAGTCAAAATGCATAGCTTTGTCCTCGTATGCATTTACACTCTGATGAATCAAGAGTTATGTTGTCTAATATTTCTGGTGTCAATAAAATCTAGTGAACTTTGCTAAAAAAAATTCCATCTCAACATTCTTCATTGCTTTAGAGATTAAATAAATTAAATCGCATGGCGGGATAATATTCAATGTTTTCTGTGGTGATAGCTGTAGTTAATCTCTGGATATCATAACATAACTACCGTCTACCTCTTTGCACGATGTTGGCTGAAGTAGGTTCAGGTTGGAAAAAGATTCGGGGTGGCCAGACTAAAACATGGCATCAATGTATAAAATCCTTGACTGTTCGTTTGAGCCATGTAGGGAGATGCAGACTACCTGGTTAGGGTCCACGGGGCAAGAGAAACCAGTAGTTGAAGACTGGGTGGTGTGGCTCAGAACCGATGTCAGTGGCGCAGATGCATACACACATTATCCTCATCTCAATCGCTATACTTAATCTCACCATCTAGTTCTTCCTTCCTCCTGTTTGCTAATTTCTTTCCTTCTTCATCTTCCATTTTATCGCCTTGTTGCTTGGTGTGCTGATACTAGATGTGGTAACTTGGACAGTTACGCAGTTATGCCTGGTTCTGTGTTGATCTTGAGATGTACCTGGTTCCCAGTGAGCGATGATCATTCCACTCGGACTAAAATTCAGGATCAATCGTCTCAAACGCCACAGTGCTATCCTCTTAGCCACTGAGTCACAATAGCCACTAGCTATAGCATCAAAACAACTTGTATGAGTCATAAGACGCATTTACCTGCATCAACCAAGAGTTGTTGTGGCAATGCCCAGTTGTGAAGTAACCAAGGTTTTTCGTTTGAATACATGCAGCAGTATAAGGGCTTCAGCAGATTCACAGGCTGAAGTAACACCAACCAGTGGTGTCCGCCAAGGATGCTCACTATCACTTATCCCATGTAGCTCAGTCATAGACCGTTTGGTGTTAATTTAGCCCAAGATACCTACAACATTTAAGGTATTGACTTTCTTCAAGCAGGATACACGTCTGACTCACGATGTACAGACAATATGGTCCTGTTATGCGAAGGCCTTGACGAAATACAGAGTCTTCTAACCTAGAAATCTGAGTATTTTTGGATTACATTTACGATAGGTCAAATGTCGGGTAGTGGATGGTTCCAGACTGGTCCGCATCGAGTTTTAGATTCAGGATTGGCGGTGAGGGATGAAATGCGTTGACTACCTCACTTACTTTGGAAGCCACATCAAAACAAATGAGTTTTCTGCTGACGAAATCTCAGTTCGGATGCAGAAGGCCTATTTGGTGTCTGACAACCTGCTTCATCTCTGACACACAAAGGAGGCATCCAACTAATTATCAAAGAACTAGTATTTTGTGCAGCAGTTCACTCTGCTCTTTTGTACAGCTGTGAGATACGGCCGTTGCAAGTAAAAGACATGAAGAGAATATAAGTTTTCAAACACTAGTATCTTTGAAGCATTCCTTACTTCCGGTAGAATCATTGTGTGAGCAGTGTTGAGGTTAAATAAAGAGCACTGAGCAAGGAAGGTTGTTCAGTCGATGAGGTTATGAACCTTCACTGGTTAAGATGACTTAGTCATGCGCCGCACATAACACAATACCTTCTTCCTCAATCCTCAATGCTAACCGAATCAGGGTTGGGTTGGAAGAAGGCACAAAGTGAGCAGATCAAGATATGGCACCGATCAACGAAGTCTCTGACCGCTGGTTCAAGCTGTATAGCGAGATTTAAGCTTTTTGGGTGGGGTCTTTGATATATAAAGAATCAACAATCGGAGACCTTTAGAAACATGGTTAAAAATCAGTCACAATGTCAAAGATCTGAACACACTTCGCCATCTTATAAGTATTGGTTATTTTCATTATCCTCATTTATTTAAGCTCTCCTCCTATGTACAATTTTATCCTCATTATTTTCACTTTTATCCGAACCACTTTCTCTCTGCATTCTACTATGAGGTACAGCAAAATTGAGGTAATACACTGTTATCTCAGGCTTTTACTTGAACCATCTATCTATCTATGTCGACAATTCCAATGGCTAATGAACACTTCTATCAATCTGAAATATCAGGCTACAGTAAGACGTCAGCGTAGGAGCCAATAGAGGTTGGTTAATTCGGTGCAGTCGACGTTAGGAGATTACAAGCAATAACAAAATTTCAATGACTGTTTGAAAGTTTTAGAGTAAGACTTGGTAGAATTTGAGTAATATGATAGATTATGATTCTATTGTTTAGTTCTTTTGCGATATATATATTTATATCACACGATGATGCAATAGTGTTTACTGAACGGCGTTTCGAGCACAATTTATTGCTCATAATCACACCATGAAACAGGGTAGACCGCTCTTTTTTATAGGTAACTGAGTACCTCACAATTGCCATAGATGGTTTAAGTTGATGAATATCGAGTGAACCTTCTTTCATACTGAAAGATTAACAGAAAGAAGTCAGGTAATTAAATAATCAATTCTAACTACCGACTGTTATAAAATTCTTTGTATTGTTGATATCCATTTGATTCTTTTGTCTAAGCAATATGGGTATATACCGGTAGAACATGAGGGTGAGAAGGGCATTATCGAAAGCAATAATCTTTAATGTTGGATGGTGGGTTTCGTGCTGGTAAGCAGTCATCAAGAAAGTGTCCCTTGAGTAAGCTACTTTTTATAACATATTTCTTCAAACGACTCTTTCTTATAACATTTGGTTACAACTCACTTTTTCTTCCGTCTACTTGTCTTCTGAATACCTAGAGCTGTTGTTGAACTATTGTTATCTCGGTGATGACTTTTTGTAGGTGTATTCACATTTACTGAACTCGGATTATAGTTATCATCCAATGATAGTTTATTTAGATTGGAAACTTCATCTTGACTACCTGTAGAAAACCCAACATCATTAGTAATGAACGCATAGATAAATACAGAATATAAAATACTTGAGTGAGAATAAATCAACGAAGAAGGAAAGTACTTTGACTTTAGTACCAACTAGAACTCTGTTTCAGAGAAAAACACTCCAAATATCCACACATTGGGCTACAAATATTCACCATGATTTCTACAGTTTGAAAATCATCAAAAAATATGATTTATTTTGACGTCTAACCTATCTGGATACAAGCAAAAAAACATGGATTGCATTTAAACACTGAAAATTTGTTCAACCACTCAAAGGTGTATACGAGAATGAAAGAAATTACACAATGTTAAATAGACAATGAATTTGGAGAACATTTTGACATAGCGGTCAATTTGAATTTCATCATAATTTACCAAGTCAAAGAAGAGATTATTTCACTTCTATTACTCAATAGCCATCTAAATATAGATTATTTGTTCTTATTTTATCACTTGTTAAAAATTGTCTCAGATTAGACAGATTAGACGGAAGTGATACAGTTTGTCTGACTGACTGACAAAATCAGTGTAAAACCTCGCACACAGGTGGATTGGATAAGCAATCTAATGAAAACAGCTAATGGAAATATTCACACTTTAGAAGACGTCAAGGGGTGACTACATCAACGCCATTGTGTTCGATTTTCAGCGATGTCAACATGACTCCACAAATACTGATTCCTTTCGTCTCGATGACACCAATTAGGCAGTCTACATCTCTTCACACAGCTCAGACCAACAGTCAGAGACTTTATCGACAGGTGTAATCTCTTGTTCTTGCTAGCCTAGACCCTCATGCTACCTAATCCAGCTTCATCTACCATAGCACTTCGAGATACATAGGGTATCGGCGTTCTCAGTATATTTCCCAGCCAAATGAGTCAAATAAGGTTCACAACCATATCGACGGACTCCTCTTTGTTGCAGAGTACCCTTCGTCTAACTTCAACAATGCTCACATGATGATTCCACGAAATGTGTCCAATGTTGCGAAGACATAGGTAATCAAGACCCTGTAACCGCTTCATGTCTACAACTTCTAACGGAAGTGTCTCATGGACGTATAACATGACAGAAAAAACTGGAGCGCGCTGATGTGGGATCGAAAAGACTAGATCAAGAGCAGCATAATAATCACTGTCAGTCCATTTACCACAGAATGTATGGTTAAAGGTATGAACCAGGTGGAGAGACGTAATAATACCCATCGAAGTCATTTTCGGAATAATCATTCCTTACCAAATGCATATGAGGTGTCTTGGTCGCACTGAGTTCTCTCAGCTGGCTTGTTTAATCGTGAAGCTTTCATCGTCCCTCTCCTAGACGACATCATCAACAACAACTTCAGTTCGAAGTGAGCTGTCAATATCTCTCAGTGAGTGATTTAGTAGCTTACTCTGACCATGTGGTTTGTGATTGCTTGTTTCCTTCCATTGTTGTGTCATTAACTGACTGTGTATAGATTTTCCTGTTGCCTATCCCCCTACTTCACCTCTCACCTTACTGTCGTTTATCATTCTTCTTATTGCTTGATAGATCGGGTCTATGTGTATACATCTGTTAGTTGGTGATTGACTGACTGATTGAGTGACGTGAATGCCAAACTTCTAGGAATTCTCTGACATTCTTTGTCTTTCCTCTCTCCATCCAACATTTCTACATTGTCCAGATTGAATTCATGTGCATACTTGTTATCCACGTGCATTGAAATGAGTGATGAAATGTCGTGTGTGGCATTTAATAGCCAATTGGTGTTTATGTGGACAAAGGCGAATGTGGGCGACCACTTTGTCCAATGTGGTGTGTTGACTACAGTTATTACAGTTGATTTTGTAAATGATATTCGGTTTGTCTTCTTTGCTTGTTGCATCCATTGGTCTGCATAATAGTGTTTGGAAGGAATTTGTTGGTTTATGAGCCACACCAATTCCAGGTGGTCTCAGCAATCTTGTCGTGATTTCTGATACATTCTTCATGATGTGTGGTAGGACGATGTGTTTGTTGATTTGTGTTGATGACTTTGTAGTTGATGATGCACTTGATAGGCATCTTGTGATAAAGTTTTGTGGTTAGCTGTTTTTCTTTGGTATGGACATCAAGTAATTTTCTTCTTTTCTCCGTGAAGTTGTTCTACTGCAGTGCAGTGTGTTCTCGCTCTTTTGAATAGAGTCTGAAGGCAACTGATTTTGTGTGTCGTTGGGTTGTTGCTATTGTAGTTGAGGATTTGGTCAGTGTGTGTTGGCTTCCTGTACACTTGGGTTCCCAGCTTTCCGGCATTTGTCTTACTGACTACAACATCCACGAATGGTAGTTGGTTGTTTGACTCTTTCTCCATTGTGAATTTGATGTCATTGAAAACGTTGTTGATCAAACTGTGGGTGTTTTCTATATCATCCTTTTTAATGATGACAGAAGTCTTCTCTACATAACGAATCCAAATTTTTGGTTTGATCACAGGTAGAATAATGGCTTCCAGCCTCTGCATCACTGCTTCTGCTATTAATCCCGATATCGGTGATCCCATTGGAGTTCCTTTCATCTGCTTGTATATCTTGTCGTTGAATTGGAAATATGTTGTCATACAAAGGTCGATGAGTTCCATCAGACTTGAACATTTGAGTTTTGTGCGTTCTGAAAGGTTTTTATCTTCATTGATCAGGAGGGATATCGTTTCCTTAACCAATTGAGGCTCGATGGATGTGTAGAGTTCTGCGACATCGAAGGATATCATTAACTCGTCGTTCTCTATGTTAATATTTTTGATCTATTCTAAGAATTCTGTTGGTGACTTGATGGAATGCCCACATGATTGAACGAGGTGTTTCAATTTTCTCGAAAGTTCTCTTGATATGTTGTATGTTGGAGTTCCCGGGAGTGAGAGTATTGGTCGTAGAGGGATATCGGGTTTGTGTAGTTTTGGTCTACCGTAGAATCGAGGAAGGATAGGTTCATTCGATTTCATACGCCATTTGTCTTGTTTTGTTATTTCTTCTGCTTTGAAGAGTTTGTTCAAGTTTTATTGATCTGGTTGTCGAACTTTTGGATATGGTTGGTTTCAAGTGGTTGATACACATTTTTGTCTTTGAGTAATTCCTCTGCCTTCTTGATATAGTCTTCTTTGTCCATGACTACTGTAGTGCGTCCTTTGTCTGCTGGAAGTATAACGATATCCTTCCTATTTTTCAGTTTTTTTGATGTTTTCTGTTCTTGAGGTGTCAACACAAAGTGTTGTGCATTGTTTACAGTAGCGAGTTGATCGGTTTACCAATGCACCTCAGCAATTTACCTCGTGATGACTTTAAGTTGTTCATGGTTATTATTTCTACTATTTGGTCAACTCTCCACAAGGATTAGTCACTAGAGAGTAACCGATTTCATCTAGTCAAGTGTCCAGTGTTGAATGGTTACTATTGGTTATTTTTGTGATGTGACTATCAAGCTAGGAAACTCAGCATTGCAGTGCACTTTGATGGTTGTTAGTTGGTTGGAGGTGATCGACAGGAAGCCGTGGACCCAGGTTTCATGCTTGTAGGCAGTCGTCAGCAAAGCATATCCGCAACCTCGATGGGAGTTATGTCCCACCTGAGGTTGGAGCCTGCGTCGCCCAGTGTTATAGTCAGTGACGTCACCACTGAGGTGATCAGTCCGTGACTAACCTCGTTTAGGACGGAATTAGATAAAAACAATCGGTCACTGGAGAGTAATGAAGTCGAATCTCTGAGAGAACATCACTTTCCTCGAGATTGCAGATACGCCTTGCTGACAAATGCCAACAAACACGAGGTCTAGGTGATGCAGAGCTTCCCCTCGACTGCCGCCGACAACCAACTAACATCCTGTCGATTTTGCTCCATCGATTGTTCATAATTCAGGGTTGTTGTCTTACTGAAGTCGTGGTCAGGTCAGGTGTCGCTTTCAAAGTAACTAGATGTATTCGAAAAGCAGAGAGAATGAGACAACAACCTACTAGTGACAGTGATTTACAAGCTGAGTGGTTTCATGTAATTGACTCACGTGATTTACCATCATTTCCTTTTGAAGTAGTAATGTCAGCCAACTGGTTTGATAGTGTCTCTCCTGAGATTTTTAATTTTTCACCAGGTGGTACACATTCATTCCACATACTTTGGACAAGTTGTGTACATGCATCTTCAGTATATAGTCTTCCAGGTCGACTTATTTGCATTACATTGGAGGAGTTCACGTTGGCAAGAAGAGATTGATTTTCTGTTCCTTTTGTGTGTTCACTCATGACTGAGTTTATCACAGTTTGGTTATTTGATGCAGAGTGAGATTTCATTTTGATTGTAGCCTCATTCTAGGGTGATTAAATGAAGAGGGTTGTACAGAAATGTGTTAGGAATGTTAATCGGAAGCTTCGTGTCATTATTGTTCATTGATTTAAATAAATTGATGTCATCTAACTTATACTACTTTGGTGTTTCATTCACCCTAATTCATGCATTACAAAATTTTTCAATCATGTGAATTCCACACCTTGATCTTATTACTATACTGAGAAGCATCTTGATCTGATGGTAGGCACGTTTTACTGTATAGCCGTGATGAAATGGATACTTCAAAGCTTTTGTTTATGATGATTCCATTTTACGGTTTACTAACCTTGTGGTGGCAGGAAGTGATAAGTAGCGACAAACAGGCAGCCAATAGAGAAATTGTTTTCAGATCATGATCATATCATGATGTATACATGTACTGACATGACAACCTGGTTGGACAAATTCACAGTCATACAACCAATCGGATTGGTTTATTTACGGCTTCATTTTTTGGGATATATATATATTCGGGGCTCAGTGAAGTATAGGGTGTGGATGGAACAGTCGTATTACGCGTATCCAGATCGAGTATCTTGTTGCATTATTATCTCGTTTTGCGTATTATTACAACCCACGTCATACCCCAACTCAATCACAACAGGAAGTCATACGTGGAGATGAGTTAATTGACTGGTTTTCTGATTTTTAGAATCTATCCACCTAAATGACTTTAATGGCTCACCTTATACTCTCTTGATGGATTGTCTTTTTCTTACAGTTTTATTTACCATTTTATTGTCATTCATATTCTTCTCACGAAATGACATCAGTTAGAGGTCCATTGAAAATTTGAGAGCACTGGACAGCTGTCTAGTCTTAGTGTGGGACTACTCAGCATTTGGAGCCCATGACCCTTGCACTCCCGCGATCGAAATCAGGATATTCAGGTTTTAGAGCCAGTAAATTACTACTGACCCACTAGATCAGAATACAATGGTCTAATTTTCTTAATTTTGCCAGTTCAAACAGAATTACTGTCGAGTTTTCATCACAGAACAAAACATAGAATGACAGTCAACTCTTTACCCCAACTTCATCGACTTTTAAAAGGCCTTCCACAGCATCGACCGAGAAGTAATTTCACAGCTGCTTCAACACTGCACTACGGTTTTAGTGCCACAAAGCTTTATCAATCTTATTTAACAACTATGTGTGGATGCTACATGCCTACTGATTTACAATGGAAAGCTCAGTGACGCCTTTGAAGTGAAGTGGAGACAGGAGTAATACCAGGCTGCCTACTTATCACCGATCATCTTCATGATTATGGTCGACTGGACTGGATCATGCAAGAAACAACTGTGTGAAGCAAGAAGATAGGCATACACTGGCTGGACCGATGAAAAGACCCCAAAAGAAGATTCGCATTTCGCCCATGATCATTTACATCTAATATCGCACAAACTCGAAGATCTACAGTAAAAACCAACAACTTGACAGAATAGGCACTGCAACGAAGATGGTACTTGCTTCCAGTGAACGTAGAGAAGATGGAGGTGATGAAGATACCCAACCGACAACAGCAAGCACCAATCACCATGAACGGGAGAAATGTGAAGGAAGTTATCTCTTTCACCTACCTACCTACCTAGACAGCATCGTCTCAACTACAGGCGGCACAGATGGGGACGTCAAAGCAGGGATTGAAAAGACAGTAACACAGGCCTTCATGAATCTGAAATCAGTGTGGAGATCGACTGCACTCAGCAAAAAGAACGAGATCTGGATTTTCAACTTTAATTCAGTCAAGTCAGTGCTGCTATATGGTTCAGAGACTTGGCATGTTACGAAAAGCGTTTCCAACAAACCACAGACATTCATCAGCAGCTGCCGCCTACGCTCACTTGATACTGGAGATCAGATGAGAAGACAGGAGAGAATAAGGAAGTAGGAACTCTGGCTGGCCTAGCAACGAACTAACCAACCAACAACCCATCGTCCAACAATTATGCAGTGGTACAAAGTGGAGATGGATTGGGCATACGTGGGAAGACCGAATGGGGACAGCAGGCATCAGGCCAGGCCCTCAAGCGGAACCCAAATGGGAAACGATGAGTTGGGTGTCCAAGGATGACATGTAGGAGATCGTGTGACAAAGAAACTAAAGCTTATGGGGAGTGGTTGAGCCAGGTTGAGTATACTGTAGAGATGAGAGTGAAATGGCGACATGCTAGTGAAGCCCTATGTTCCACTAGAAACCCAAAGAGACGAATAATAATCATAAAATTCATTACTGACACGTGTGGAAATGAGATTCTGAAAGTTTCAATAACAAGTCATGACCAGTGTTGCAAATCAAGTCGTAGGTGAAGACGGTTACTCAGTGACAGTATTGGTTTGAGGTAGAGCTATATCACGAACTGGAAAAGCAAAAACGTTTGCCCACTCGATTGCGATACAACGACTTAATGATAATATGTTGGTCACGGGACCCAAAGGATTCCGTCCTTGGCAATGTCATTGATACACGCTGCTAAGGAATTCCATACAAAAACAAAACAATTGTTCAATGCTCCATGGTTTTCAATTACAGAAACATATCTTTTGTAATTTCAAGTTGCCTTGTACTAAATAAATTTTCTAAAATACTTAACTATTATCCTAGCTGTAATTATTTATAGGAAGATTAGAATTTCTTAAAGTGGTATCACTTACAAAATGAACGCTTTTATAAATCGTATCACAATCTATTGAATGTTATTGTATGTATCTATACTGATATGTAGAGAACATTTCTGAGTATTCGTTTTTAATAGTTACGCCATATTACTTACTGAACTGGCTTCTTTTTTCATAGAAGTATTATTCATAGTCGAATGTTGTTTATTCATGTCTTTTTTCTCATCTGATATGTCCAATTTGGTAGATATAACTTGACTACGTAGACAATTGAGAAATACACAACGATCTGAAGCATTTGTACATACAGTAGTCAGTAATCTTACAGTTTTATTAATCAATTCTTTCTGTATCACTTTTTCTTTACCATTTAATTGTTTATTATCATTCATTTCAATATGTTTCATATTTTGATTTGTTTTATTGAATACTGATAAATGTATCAATGTATCTGATATATGATGATTAGTTTCAGCTATTAATTTCAGTAAATTTGAAAACTCTTCAATTTGACTTGATAAAACTTTCATTTGACTTGAACTATCTTCAATTTGAGCTTTAATTTGAGCCTTAATAAAATTATTATGCATAGAAATATCAATTGAGTAAGGGAGTTATTACAATTATCAATTAAAAGAATTTAATGATGATGTAACATTGAACATTGACAAAATGTGTAACGGTATTATATTTTAAGGCTTAAATAAAATGTGAGAAGATATAGTATAATTTATTTGATGATGTTTCAAAGATGAATTTTTCCTCTTCACGGAGAAATGAAGAAAATTACTTGATGTCCATACCAAAGAAGAACAGCTAACCACAAAACTTTATCACAAGATGCCTATCAAGTGCATCATCAACTACAAAGTCATCAACACAAATCAACAAACACATCGTCCTACCACACATCATGAAGAATGTATCAGAAATCACGACAAGATTGTTGAGACCACCTGGAATTGGTGTGGCTCATGAACCAACAAATTCCTTCCAAACACTATTATGCAGACCAATGGATGCAACAAGCAAAGAAGACAAACTGAATATCATTTACAAAATCAACTGTAATAACTGTAGTCAACACACCACATTGGACAAAGTGGTCACCCCACATTCGCCTTGTCTACATAAACACCAATTGGCTATTAAACGCCACACACGACATTTCATCACTCATTTCAATGCACGTGGATAACAAGTATGCACATGAATTCAATCTGGATAATGTAGAAATGTTGGATGGAGAGAGGAAAGACAAAGAATGTCAGAGAATTCCTAGAAGTTTGGTATTCACGTCGGTCAGTCAGTCGGTCAGTCAATCACTAACTAACAGATGTATACACATAGACCCGATCTATCAAGCAGTAAGAAGAATGATAAACGACAACAAGGTGAGAGGTGAAGTAGGGGGATAGGCAACAGGAAAATCTATACACAGTCAGTTAATGATACAACAATGGAAGGAAACAAGCAATCACAAACCACATGGTCAGAGCAAGCTACTAAATCACTCACTGAGAGATATTGACAGCTCACTTCGAACTGAAGTTGTTGTTGATGATGTCGTCTAGGAGAGAGAGGATGAAAGCTTCACGATTAAATAAACCAGCTGAGAGAACTCATTACAACCAAGACCATCCACGTTAGCTACAAATATTCTCCATTATTTCATAATCATATCAATTTATCTATACAACTTTCACCATTTGATTCTTATATTACTATCAACTCATGGTCTTTGCTTCTTAATCGGTAGTAAGTTTTCACATATCTGGTATCACTGGAGCATCATTCCTAATAAATGTATTGAGTGTTGATTCGATGAACAAAGTTTCAGTAATCAATCTCTGTCACTTTCTGTCTCTCTCTCTCCACCTAATTTTATTTGACTTGAGTACACCAGTTTTATCCTACAGCATTGTTTAATGGTGTGTTAGTGCATACACTGCAGTAACCGAGTATATTTCTAGATTATTCATCCTATCGGGCTCTTCCATTCTACATTTGGCTAGATACTTGTTATGATAATCTAACTGAACCCGAGCAATCCGGCTAGTTTGACGCATGTACTTGATATCATAGTCATTGCACAGAATTTGGTGAATCAAATTATTTCGCTTAATTGGATATAACCTAATTTATTCTGTAACGCAATAGAGGCATTGAACACTTTTCTGCTCCTGTTGTTTCTATTATCCGTATTCGTAATACTGTGGAAAATTTTGTTTATTATATGTTTCTTAGGAATTTCTTAATAAACTGATGAGCATAATTTTTTATTCATTAACGCTTCCTTTTTTGTTTTCAACTCCTTGTTTAAGTCCTTGCACTGACTGTTCAGTTTTCTTAGCTTCATTATCTAAACATCTGACCAAATTAGCCTTAATTAACACTGGATGAGATGACCTGAAGTCTAGATACCTGTTAGAATGTGTTAGATTCTGGTAAACGCTAGCATCTAAGCCATCATCTGTCCTTCGTTTCATTTGCAATCCAACGTAAGTAATTCTTCTAGATCATTTTCTCCCTGATAAGTGAATTCGGTTACGTTCACTAGTGAGTTTTTGTGTGTGCTAAAACTGTGAGGAAATACATAAAAACTCATTAGTGAACGTATTGATAAAGAAGAAAAGACTATAGGAGCACTGGATAACTGTTTTGTCCTAGTATGGGACGCTTTAGCAGTGTGCATACATGACCCTGCTGTGCCATGGATCGTATCTAGGACCTTCTGGTTTCACGGCTAGCCCGTTTATGTATCACTTTTGTGTGCAATGTTAAACAAAATAATCTGATATGGAATTACAACTCAGGTTGTTTAATCCTGATTGCCATCCGTTTTACATTTTAAAAGATTCGGATATGGGTGCTTTTTGGTAGGTTGATGTGAATCTGGTAAACAGTGGAAAACAACACTTATATCCAACTGTATTGTTCGTTTGAACTTAATATGCTAACATCGAGCTGGTAATGGTTTTTACCACACTAACAGTAGAGTAAAACATGGGGACTGTGATAAACAGTTTAATAGGTAATCTTTACTACACGTTTGCTTGAACATGCTAGGAGGTGTTCGTGAAGACCGAAATTCAAATTCATAGAGAAGTAGACAACGTGACTGGCCTCGCAGGAACATTCATATTGCTGGTAACATTACCGTTCACACTCGACTTTTCTGAAGTGATTTTCTCAGCTATATAATATTAGTATCAAACTGTAAAGGATATCTCAGTAATATAATCGTAAAATTACATATTATGAATGGATAACAGTAAGACATAAAGAAGAAGGGGAAAAGTCATCAAAAATCATTTTCTCTTTGTTCATTCAAATGGCCTTTGAATTATAATGGGAATTTTTATGAATTGCCTAACAGTTGAGTGAACAAAGTATACAAGAAGTACTTGGTCAAGTTGTACACATATTGTTGTGTAAGATGCTCAAACACTGTTAGGTAGTCAAGTGCCTTGCCGACATCAGAATCCCTTCAATTTTGACTATGTACTTAAATTTCGTCAGCAAGTAATTCAGCCAGTGGTGATGCAACTCCTTAAATTGGTGAAATGATAAATGCATTTCACCGCTACACTTCCTACATTGCAAATTGCAGTTCATCTAGACCACTCTTGAAGTATCATCGGGAATTCAATACAGGTGAAGACGTGTAAAAAACATGGCATTTCTTCAGCGTTTTTGCTTAACAAGATTAAGTTGTTTTGGTCGTTTGAGTTAACCAAATACACTCCAAGTAGCGAATCTGTTAATTAGTAGTCGATAGTAAGTAGATTTACATATATTAATGGCTGCATATGAAAGTTAATCAGTATATTTACAACCGATGTCCTATGAAGATACTACAAGATGTTGAATGACTTTAGAAGTGTCAGCAGAGAGTTTCAGCTATCGTATTATGCTAAATCAGCTATCTTGACACAATTGAACATTACCAAAAGGCATCTAAACTGGCAGAGACTGATCCTACCTTTCGGTGAATATAAATGACAAGTGTCCGTTATTGTTTGTCTCAGCAGTTGTTAAGGTGGACTTTAAAGTCGTTCACAAGATTACTTTCACAAACTATGTTGTAAGCATTGCATCATCCAATGATAGGTACCGAAAGGCTTATCATTGAGAGATGCAAGGATAGCTAGCAATACTATTGGTAGATACATAGACGATATAGGTCATGTTGAAGACAAAAAGCAACCAGTAAACAAAGTGATGGTCTATTGGTACGTTATGGTGAAGCAGCAGTAATCTGTTGACTGGAACCAAAGGCGTTTTTAGTTCCCATTGCATTGTTTGGATGAATTGTGCTTTTCCTACAACTTTGTTTAGTGTTTTATGCTCTCATCTTTTTGTCTCGCATATTATTCTCAGGGTAGTGTTCATCATCGAGTGATATTAGTTGAAGAACCATTAAAAACCTTGGAGCACTGGATCTTGGTTTCGTTCCGTTGTAAGACTTTTCAACAGCATTAAAGATAGTGATGCTTTGTCGAATCAAAGAACTTCAGGTCACTCAGCAAACGTGTTAATCATTCATATTCCCATCATTTCTAATTTACTTTCATTCATTATATTTCAATCATGATATTTAGCATATCCTTTTCATTCTTTTACCATAAGTTCATATGCTTTGTTCATCTTTGATCAGATTTCCTACCACCTTGGATTGCAGTCATGTTACTCCTTCAATACTACCCCGCATTATTTTCTGATCGATCGGTAGGAAGCCTTGGACCTAGATTTCGTGCTTGTTAGTACTCGTCACCAAAACGTAACTGCAACCTCAAAGGAACTGGTATCCCACCCTAGGTTCGAACCCACGTCATGCAATATTGTAGTCCATGACATTACTATTACAAGCTATTTGGGCCACGACTGACTTCCTGTAAGACTAAATTAGATATATTGATTGGTCATTAGAGGGTAACCAACTTCATGTTGTCTAGTCCTATGTGCTGACTGAATTCGACCAATCATTTTGTACTGTGGTCACCAGACTAGGCAGCTCAGCATCGTGATGCATTCTGATAGATGTTAACCGTTCATTTCTGTTCTAGATGTGACAGATGTATTTGGTATTGATTTTACTAATGAAATGTATTAAATAATTTCTGCTAGTGGACAATGATAGCTTAATCTACATAAATTTAATATTACTATGTATGTAGAAGATTTCAAGCAGACAAATGAATTTGATTCATTCTTCAATGTTTACCTTTCTAAGTTTTTAAAAATTTATAAAGGGAACAAATTGTATAACAATAATATGATCTTAAGATACGTTAGATACTTAGATGAATACTAATAGAGAAGTACTAAACTGAAACGCTTTTACCAGAAAGAATATGATGACTAAAACAGTAAAATTGGAGATAACGACATCACCTAGGATACACTGTTGCAGAAGCACAAGATAGTCATTTGAAATAGGGTTTAAAGTGATCTTTAATCCTCATAACTTGAATATAAACTACACAATCTGATACATTTGAACTATAAGTTTAAAGTACAAAGACCCTCATTTATCTGAATTAATATGTAAGTATCGACTTTTCCCTTACCTTAAGCTCTTTATTACCTAGTGATTGCTTGAATTTATTCAAGCAGAACAAGTAACTTTAACATTAAAATTTCTTATTTAACCCTTTCTTATTTATGAAAAATTATATATAAAGCTTATAAATTTATTATAATATTACTAACTTGTGCATTTGTTACACAACGTATCATATTTTCTAAGTAGATAACATCTGCCATATATGGTTTCAATAAGGATTCAAATTGTTTTAGTCGATTTTCAATTGTTAGTTGTCGTTCACGTTCAATTGATTCAATACTGCCAAGAGTTTCTTCTTCAAATAATTTAACATTTTTACTTAATTCATTTAAATTGAATGAATATCTTTTTGCTTCAGATAATGTAAAATTTCCTCCATCAGTAAAAAGTCTATTGGAAATGAACAAGAGAAAGGGATAGGTTTATAGGTTTCTTGTTAACCTCTTCATATAATTTCATCGTTTTTCATTAACCGCTTACAGTTTTAATCATTTCGATAAAAAAAAATAACCATTACTTCAAGAAAAGATAACACTTATATTATATGATTGAAGTTAAACGAGTTAAGTGAACGAATATGCTGGAACCGATAGTCAGTTTGTTGATATACAAGAAGATTCAAACGATATCCAACAATGAAAGTATTCTGCTAGGTTTTATTATTATTATTAGTCCCTTGGGTTCCTATGGAACATAGGGCTTCAGTAGCACGCCTCCAGTGACCTCTGTTCTCTGAGATCTTTTGAACCTGGTTCCACGACAGCCCACAAGCCCTCATTTCCTCCTCGCACGACCTCCTCCATGTCACCCTCGGACGTCCAACTCGTCGCTTCCCTTGGGGATTCCACTCGAGGGCCTGACGCGTGATGTCCTCAGTCGACCTTCTCAGTGCATGGCCAATCCATCTCCACTTCTTCCTGCATATTTGTTGGGTGATAGGTTCTTGGTTGGTTCATTCTGCTAGGTTAAACACACTTAACTAAATGAATCACCTAGTGAGACAATCAAAGGTTGACAAGCCACTTTCCACGTTATCTTAAGTTACGTATCCCAATACACAAGTACATACCGAAGTGAATATACTGTACGAACAGATGGAAGGCTTTATAATAGTATCTTTGAGCCTTCTCTGATGCATATACAACTGGGTAGTGTGAAAGTATTCAGGACTGCAACTGCTCGTCATGTTAGTGAATATGAGATCAATATCCAGAAATCGCTTAAAATAATCAACAAAAATTACGTTATGGTTCATTTGGTGCCTAACACGGAAGTTTCAGACTTGCGTTTCGTCCCATCTCAAACTCGTCAGCCGAATGCTACTACATCCCAGTGAGTGATGGTGTTCTCACTGAGACTGGAACCTCATACCCATCGCTTCAAACTTCAAAGCGTAATCCACTAGATCATTGAAGCAAGGGAACCAACCAACTCTTGTGGAAACTATCCATGGGCTAATAGTATCAGTTTCTAGGTGAATATCCGAGTCTTAGTGATTGGCAGTAGAATCTAGGATATGCGTTTCGTCCTAGTTCGAACTCGTCGGCTGAATATATCTGAATGATGTTGTTCTTACTGAGAATCAAACCCAGTACCCGTCACTGAAAAGGTTAAAATGTTATTCACTAGGCCACTGAAACACGACAGTCTACACTTTTGCGACAGGTATCGGTTATTGTTTTATTACCTTTGATTTCCAGTTGCTATACTGGGTCGAATAGTTATAATTTTTTGTTGATACTTGTTATTTGTATTTGTTTTATTGGATTGAACTACTTGACCTCCTTTGACAGATGGGCTTGAATGTAGATGACTTGATCCGGCCTGAACATTCATTACATTGTATTCATCTAGGTGACAAGTAGAGAGATCCAGAGACTTGTTGGTTGGATGTACCTGCACCCTAGTGAAGGATGTTCTTCCCACTGATACCTGACTCCAGGATCCAGCCAACAGAGGTGCTGTAATTAGACTCAGTATATAGCAACTGGAAATCAAACGTAATAAAACAATAACCGATACCTGTTGCAAAAGTGTAGACTGTCGTGTTTCAGTGGCCTAGTGAATAACACATTAACCTTTTCAGTGACGGGTACTGGGTTTGATTCTCAGTAAGAACAACATCATTCAGATATATTCAGCCGACGAGTTCGAACTAGGACGAAACGCATATCCTAGATTCTACTGCCAATCACCAAGACTCGGTTATTCACCTAGAAACTGATACTATTAGCCCATGGATAGTTTCCACTTTATCAGACTGCACATTTTGAAGTCGATTTCAGTGGAAATGACGTGTTTATCAATCATTATATTCTGTATTACTCCAGTAGAATCAATGTTATGCTTAGATTAACAGATGATGAACATTTCTCACCCCAGCATGGTATATAAACTATTTGCTTTCAGTGAAATGTAACTTTAATTAACTTCTTTAACAAGAGTTTGTTGAATCCCCCAAATAAAAACAAAGTATTCTAATACAATATCACTGATGACATAAATTCCTTTGCAGAAAACCTGCTTTACTAAGTTGCAATTAAAAAATAAAATGATTTCCGACCAACTTTTATATTATCAGTTAGACTACCTGAGAAAAATCATGGTTTCTTAGGTGGCGACAAGATTCAAACCACTGACCTATTGAAAGCCACTATTATGCAGACCAATGGATGCAACAAGCAAAGAAGACAAACCGAATATCATTTACAAATCAACTGCAATAACTGTAGTCAACACACCACATTGGACAAAGTGGTCACCCACATTCGCCTTTGTCTACATAAACACCAATTGGCTAGTAAACGCCACACATGACATTTCATCACTCATTTCAATGCACGTGGATAACAAGTATGCACATGAATTCAATCTGGACAATGTAGAAATGTTGGATGGAGAGAGGAAAGACAAAGAATGTCAGAGAATTCCTAGAAGTTTGGCATTCACGTCACTCATCAGTCAGTCAGTCACCAACTAACAGATGTATACACATAGACCTGATCCATCAACCAATAAGAAGAATGATAAACGACAGCAAGGTGAGAGGTGAAGTAGGGGGATAGGCAACAGGAAAATCTATACACAGTCAGTTAATGACACAACAATGGAAGGAGACAAGCAATCACAAACCACATGGTCAGAGCAAGCTACTAAATCACTCACTGAGAGATGTTGACAGCTCACTTCGAACTGAAGTTGTTGCTGATGATGTCGTCTAGGAGAGAGAGGATGAAAGCTTCACGATTAAATAACCCAGCTGAGAGAACTCAGTACAACCAGGAACATTCACGTTAGCTACAAATATTCTCCACTATCTCTGAGCAAGGAGGATGCTTTCGGAGTTTTTCAACATAACTAGTCAGTTTTAATTAATAGAAAAGAGATATGACATTGGTCATATTCCAAATTCAATGCTAATTATTAAGTTACCCTATGCGCTACATAGTGATAAAGTAAAGGTCATAGACAGCGCGACAAATTATCAAGTGTTACTTTCTGTTCTATTATGCAGCATGCCACTCTAAATTAATCAAAGAGGGCCAAAATCCCTGAAATCATTAAAGACCAATTCATGAGGACCAATTTTCATGAAAAACCCGTGATCATACGTGCGAATATAAGTTTGGTTGTTAAGTTAATAGATAGGTAAATAGGTAAATAATAAGTGCGATCATAAATATATTTGTGCCTCTTTCACCTACCTAGGCAGCGTCATTTCAACTACAGGTGTCATAGGCACAGATGATGATGTCAAAGCCAAACAGGATCGGAAAAGCAAGACATGCCTTCCTTCATTAACCTGAAACCAGTGTGGAGATCTACTGCACTCAGCACAAAGCGTGAACAAGATCCAATTTTCAACGCCAATGCAGTAAAAGCAGTGTTTCTATGTGATTGTTCAGAGACTTGACGGGTCATGAAAAGCATTTCCAACAAACTACAGATATTCATCAACCGCTGCCTACTCTGGCTCGTTACTGAAGCTCAGGTGGCCAGAAAGAATAATCAACAAGGAACTCTGACTGGCTGGCAACAAATTAATCAAGAACCTATCGCTCAACAAATAGGCAGTGGAGGAAAGTGGAAATGGATTCGATTGGGCATACAGTGAGAAGACTGTTCGGGGACATCACGCACCAGGCCAGGCACTTGAGTGGAACCCACATAGGAAACGATGAGTTGGGCGTCCGAGTTGAGGGTGTTATGGATGAGATGGTGTGAGGAACAAATGAGAGCTTGTGGGCAGTGATGCAGCCAGGTTTAAAAGATTGCAGAGAACAGAGTGAAATGGAGACGTGCTAGTAAGCCCAGTGTTTCACTAGGAATCCAAGGGACAAATAGTAATATAATATAATAATAATGTTTTGACTCGGCAATATAATTTTCTGCCATTTTACTTTTTCTTTCTGTTACTAAGAAGCCGGACAGCAATAAAAGGTAAAATTTGATTTTCATTCTATACCACTGCAATCGGATGAGAAATACTAAGCAAGGTAATATGGAAAGTGAATTTGAAATGGAGACCAAAAAGTCTGGTAAGTAGATCAAATACAAATGATGGAGATTTGGTTAGTGTAATAATCTGACCTGAGAACTAAAACAGAGACGTATCAGTGAAAGGAAAATTTTCTTCTGAATGATCTCATTTCCTGGACTCCAATGTGAAAGAAATATGGCAAGTGTAAAAGCTTCTGATCATTTCAAAGAAGAATTTCCACATTAACCGGGAGTTAAAAAGCCATTTTATTATTTGTCCTTTGGGTTCCTAGCGGAATATAAGGCTTCAGTGGCACGTCCTCATTTCATTCTCTTCTCTACAGTCCGCTCAACCTGGCTCCATCACTGCCAACAACCTCTCATTTCTTCCTCATACCATCTCCTCCATGTCACCCTCGGACACTCAACTCCTCACTTCCCATTTGAGTTCCACTCAAGAGCCTGGCCTGATGCGTGGTTTTCCCAGTTGGTCTTCCAGCAAATGCCCAATCCATCTCCACTTTGTTCCACTGCATATTTTTTGGACGATGGGTTGTTAATTGGCCGGTTCATTGCCAAGCCGGCCAGAGTTCCTCTTTGCTTATCCGTCCTGACCACTTGATCTGATCTTCAGTGTTGAGTGGGCGTAGGCCGCAGCTGTTGATGAATGTCTGTGGTTTGTTGCAAATACTTTTCGTGATGCGACAATCTCTCAGCCATCACATAGAAGCACTGACTTTCTTGACTGATATTAGTATTGAAATCCGGATGTTGTTCACGCTTTATGCTGAGTAGAGTGCAGTAGATCTCCACACTGATTTCAAATTAATGAAGGCCTGTGTTGCTGTCTTTCTGATCCTGACTTTGATATCCTTATCTGTGCCTGTGTCGCCTGTAGTTGAGACGATGCTATCTAGATAGGTGAAAGAGACAATTTCCTTTAGATTTTTCCCGTTGATGGTGATTGGCGCCATACTGCAGCTAAACTTTTTAGCAATCACATCATATGATCTTTGGGGAAGGCATTTCACACAGCTGGTTTGAGAATCGCATTTTCCGGTAAATAATTAATCCATCGCTGCGTCAAGCACAATAGACCGGTTCTAACTATCTCATTGTTTCTGTAAAGCAACGTACACTGATCTTACAAACTGCCAATTTTGTAGGCATGCTTTGAAACATTATTCAGAGGAGAGAGAAAATATCAACAGTTCTTTTCTTGAACACCTTGTTATTTTCAGACATGTGAATTTTCCTAGCAGTTCACTGGAAGTAATTTCAAATATGCCTGCTCATAATCCTAGGGACCTTCAACTGTCTCACTTATGCATAGTCGAATCATTAGGAGTTCACAACTTGAAATCTGATCTCTGTGTTTTAAAACACGATGTTCACTCACTAGCCTTACTATGGAAAGGTTAGTAATTAATATTGTTTTGTCTTGAAAAACTTTCTGTCCTATTACTGAACAATATAGCGATCACATTTCCTCACTGATCAACAGTAGACTTTTATACTTAATCGACAGTATACTGAATAAACAACAGCTGAACATTTGTGCGGATGTCTTGATATTTAGAGTAATTTCAGCTAAGTGTATAGTTAATGGCAGTGAAACCCAATACGTAAGTTTCGTCCTCTTTCAGACTCGTCAGCCGAAAACTTTGATCTATAACATTAAACTATACCCATCACAACTAAGTAGCCTGATGCATAATGCTTTATCGTTCATAGTAATGTTTGGTGAGTTTCAGTCACAACAGGAATAACATTATTTATTGGGAGGCTGATATTTTAAGCTAATGATTCCCAAGACTAGACGAAACGCACGTCTTGGATTTCATTACTGGGTTGGCATTTTCACCCACTAATTACTGATACTCATTTGTAAGTTTTGTCCGTAGTTCAAGAGTAATTTACTTTTAATCTGAGATTTTTACTAATGTCATTTATGTCAAACTGATTGAAAAATTCCGTGGAAACATTTATGACTGAGGACCCAACGAAAAAACGTTGAAGGCCATGATGAAACACACCTCATTGATGCCTTCCCATAGGTACATAACATAGGTCCAGGTATCCTACATAGTGACTTTAAGTGGCTGACAGTATACAATTGGATCTAACCAGCTAAATAAACCTTTTTTAGACTTACAAATTATAATATGATTCTAAAAGAAAGGTATTGTAAAAGTCATTTTTCAGCACACTCTGTGAGCTGTTTTCGGGTTTAAATTACATAGGAAGAGAAATCTTATCCACTCAGTTTCCTCAAGGATCACGAAAATAGGTACTGAGGACACAGTTGACGGAGAACTGTAAGATCTTCGAAAAAACTCTAACGGGAAGAGGTTTCCAGCTCAGATTCATAGATAAGAACATAAAGTAAGAGGAGACAACTAAAAGACACATTTGGCAGCGAAAAAGATTCCATCATTGAGTCTTGAATTCAAAAATAATATTACTGCAGACATACTCAGGAAACAACTGTCAAAATACCTAGATGGAGCATACTTCATCGCCAGCCTTCAAATTATTTTCACCTGCAAGAAACATTTTTGATCAATGTATGAAAGACAAGCTGACACATTGGGCAATATCAGTATGTGTATACCAGTTTACTTGGTCTTGTAGAGCTGAGTACATCGGTCGTAGCATGCGTCTGCTTGTAAAACGTGCTCGTGAACACTAGCCAGCCTGAATGGCAAAGACAGAACAGAAATGTATTTTCAGTCCATTAACAGAATACCTCGTGAACTCAGGCCATTTAGCTCCTTTTGAGAGCTCATTCAAAATCCTCTGTAGGGTTAGATCAAACTACTCGAAGGGAGTGAGACCAAGTTATCTGTCTACAGCTAAAGCACTAGCCATCTAGAAGTTTAAACCATTAAATAAATTAACCGCACTTAGTACGTATTATAGCTAGAAACTTGGAATGACACATGAAGAAAAAAGGTCGTGATTTTAATAAGTATATTTCAGGCAGTCCCCTTAAAGGAATTTCACCAAACAGTTCACACAAACTTAAATAGCTTTATACACAGCAACATAGTCACAGCAGAACAGAGTCAACTAAATTTAAAAGATAGCCAGCAGGATTAGAGTATTTAGTCAGAGTAGGATACAACAGATAGACGAAATCAACTTTCAACTTGGCACACTTTACTGTAGTATACGAAGCGTAAGTGGATAGTATGACAGTAGATTAATATGTATGGAAAATCAGGGAGAATATAAAAATGCAGGCTATTCAAGACATTCATGATTTAGAAGACATCAAACAGTCTATTTGCACCATTATAACCGATTCTCCGACATTTCACCATGGGTTTTCAACCGTTGATTTCTGTCATTTGTAGGGCCTTAGTCACATAGTCTACATTCCTCGACAAGGCTGAGACTAGAGGTCAGACATTTCATTCTCTGGTGCCTCATCTTGGTTTGACCATTCTGAGCTCTCTTTCAATCTAACCTAACTTCTGATAGTATCTCAAGTTGAGGTAGGTGACGGCTTGGCATGAGCAGTACATGTCTAACCAATGAAAGTTTCGTTACATGTGTAAACACTTGTTGATTCATGCATGCATCATATGTCTGTCTGAAGGTCAAAAACCATCACACTAGTATTAAGGAAAGAAAAAGGTGAAATTTTTCTGAATAGGGTGCATTTCTGAAGAAGATTCAAAGAGTATCCAGCTCAACTTACACATAGTATAGTATTAGCTATTTTCCTTCGTTTCTTGAATGGTTTATGCAACATTCAGGTGTTTTGTCAACAATACAAGAGGATTTAATCTTGTTTTTCTTATTTTTTGTATAAAATACAGGGTTTTCTTCAGTTTACCATTTATTTATCTGCTACTTGTACTTCACATCTAACTAAAAATGTTTGCTAAGGAGAATCTTCACACCATCTGTATTTGAAATGTTGGGTGGTTAGAGACAATCAACAAGAATCCCTGCTTGGCTTGAGTTTTTTCATTCTTCGCACTTGTCAGCAAGGTATATCTGGAACCTCAAGAAGACTGGTGTTCCTTGTTGGATTCGAACTCGCACAGCTCATTTGCTTTCCAGTGACCACTCAGTACATCCAGCCGAATTTTACAGGAGCTCATTCACTGCCCATGTAGCTAAGTGGTAATATTTTTAACTGCAGTACTGAGTGACGCTGGCTGGAATCTCCTAGGTGCCATCAGTTCCATCGAGATTGCAAATATTCGTTGATGACAAGTGTCGGCAGGCATGAATCCTAAATCAAACAGAGCCTCTCTACCGATTGCCTACCGATTTAACTAACATCAATCAAAGTGCACAACGACTATGAGTCTCCTAGTTTGGCGATAACACTGAAAAATCATCCATAGTATCCTGTCGAGACTTGTGACTAAACGACATGAAATTGAGTTTTGAGGGAGCTGTGGGGTTTGGAAATATTTCAAGTTGTTATTTTGTCGTAGACTGACATCAGTTGGTGGGACAAAAGAAACCAGGAAGCACTGGACAGCTGTCTCGTCCTAGTGTGGGACTCCTCAGCAGTTCACACCCGCGACCCTGCCAGGAATCGAACCCATGACCTTCGGGTTTCGTGGTGCTCATTGGTGACTAGCTTCGAGAGGTATTCCCGAAGTTCCAGTAAGAAGTCGTAACCGGTGGGGGCAAAGCCTGATGGTCATGAGGACAGTTACTCAAAGATAACATCATTTGGTGGCGGTGGCGCTATATCGTGAGCTAACAGAAGTTGGGAATATGGACGATTGGATTCTGACCCAGTGGCTCAATGGTAACGCGCTGGCCGCGGAACCTGAAGGTCGCGGGTCCGACCCCCAGCAGGGTAGTGGGTGCGAACTGCTAAGGAATCCCATACTAAGACGAAACAGCTGTACAGTGCTACCAGGTTTCCTTTGTTCCTCCAGCTAATGTCAGTCTACGATGAATAACAACTTGAAACATGAAATTTATTACTCTCTAGTGACCAATCGAAGTATATGAAATGCCTGATATAACAGTCAGAATCATAATGGAAAAAAAAAGCTTAAAGGGTAGATTTATTTGTTTTAACTAACTTTAAAGATTCAATTAATTTTAAATTTGAATTGTTCACAGTTTGTACTTGATTACTTAATTCTTGACGAAATGTCTTCAATGCCTGACGAACACGTTCATTATGTATTGCAGCATAATTTTCCACTTGTTTCCTTAATGATAAAAGTCTATTTTTTTCAACAAAAAAAATAATAAAAGAGAATATTAACTAAGTAAGTGAGTAAAAATATTATTATCATATTATCAATGTTAAGAGTTAGTGATTAGGAAGTAAACAAAAATGCTTTCTAAGGTTATATTGAATAATGATTAAAGGTGCGAAATGAAAATTTGCGCTACCTTGTTTTTCACCCAGTGCTTCTATTTTACCATCCAAATATACATTCCATATATTCAATTATCATCCATTAACAATACAAGTCTGCTAAAGAATGACTATCTCAGATAGTTAAACTGATAATTTTAAGGTTATCTCAGATCTAATTGTTAGACATAAATAGACATCGGAAAAAAAGCAACAAAAATGTCAAAATACATTTGTGTTATGATGAATTTTTGTACATTTTAAGAGGAAAGATATTTCAATAGTATAAATCTTGAAAAACGCGTACAAGATGAATTTTATAACAGTGATGAAAATAAGTTAGCAGATCATAAATTCATTAACTGTTAGTTTGTAGGCATTAACTGATTTCAAACTAGTTCGAAATATGGTTTTCCCATCGTACAAGAGGTGGCTATCATGCTCCACTGGCTTACAAGGACAATGCTTCGGCTCTTGAAGCAATGGGTACTTGATTCGAGTTTCAGTGAGAGCAACACTACTCACTTGGATGCAAGTATATCCAGATAACAAGTTCTAGATAGAACGAAACTCACGTCCTGGATTCCACCACTAAACACAATGGATTAACATCATTCAAGAAACAACTTAAAAATCCTTGTAGCAGCAGACATCTGTTTCGTCCTTCATTAGGGCTTTGCAGGAATGCGAAAATTAAGAACAAAGCATATATCAACGAAAAAATATTTCTTACCAACAACTTCATTATCACGCTGTATAGTCGTATTTATACTCAGTAAAGTGACAGATAACCGCACTAAGAAGTTGCTCAGTCAATATGAAAAATATACAATCGGTGTAGGTGGGGGTACTTGTTCAAGTGGAAGAGATAGGAAATAGGTCATTGACAAAGGAACGAATCGATAACAAGTGGTGAGATAAGAGAAAAGTGTTGTCAAACGGTGATAATTAAGCTGAAACGTGTACAATAGGTCAATGATTAAGGAATGAACTGATATTAAAAGTGAAATATGGGCCAAATGTTGTCAATGAAGTGAAAATTGGTGATAATGATGAGGATAATAAAAGAGAAGTATGCCAAAGTGAACTGAAATTGACAAAATCAACAGAATGAATTGTTAAGGCCAAGGTAGAGAAAGTGGTTTCACAAAACGTTTCTGAATGCAAAGTTTCAGTTTTTGTTCATGTCTAGCTAGTGTTTCAGCTATGCATAAGTGGCGGAAACGTAAACCTTTGGAGTAGTTCAATTTAACTTAGTAAATTATTTTAATGGATGAATCTCGAGGTGCTGAGTAACCTAATTCAACAAGGTGTTCATATATGGATGGAGTCGTTTTCCTTCGCTCACCTCTGGTAAGCCAAATCGGGTAGTGTTTTCGGAGAGTCCGTTTACAACGTTCAGTATAGTCAGCTCCATAGGAGCATGTGAACTTGTAGATACATATAGATGTGGACATAAGTGGAAGCCTATCTTTCACGAATCAGACGGCGGCTGGAGAGTACTATTGATACATTTTTACAGATGATTTTTCAGCACTTCAGCTGTGATGTCTCCTTTGAATTCTAGATTCACGATTAAAATTTTCTCAGGAACTGCAATGGAATGCGGAGTGGTTCGCTTCTTCAGATTCTTATCAATAAATCTTTTAGAGTATCCGTTGTTAAATAGCATTATTCTAAGAGTTTCGATTTCAGCATCCACCGTATCTTCTGAACATATTCCATAGATTCTGGAACACAGTGAGTGAATGAGATTTCTTTCACAACCAAGAGGTACACAACTAATAAAGTTAGTGAACTGACCGGTCTAGATTGGTTTTCGATAGACTGACTTTTGAATCGAGCGATCATCGCTTCTCTTTAACATTACGTCTAGAAAGTGGAACGTTGAGTTTAACTCCTCCTCTATAGTGAATTTAATGGACGGGTGACAATCATTGAAACGTCTTAGCAGCTCGACCACTGAACATATTTCGTCGCAAATAAGAAAACTGTCATTGATGTACCTTTTATACAAACGAAGTCCTGAAATTATTTCTTTAAGGGGCCACCACCTACACTGATTTAATATTTTGCATATTAAATGAGCAACTTCTTAGTGCAGTTATCTGTCACTTTACCGAGTATAAATACGACTATACAACGTGATAATGAAGTTGTTGGAAAGAGATATTTCTTCGCTGACACATGCCTTGTTCTTATTCGTGAATAAATGGGTATATTTCGTCGATGCGAAAATTGGCAAAATTAAGAAAGAAGGTACACCATTGTACCTCATCCAAGTGCTTGAATGATGATATGTTAGTCACCATACCTGACTGTCGTGGACTAGATTTTTTGTAGGCACCTGGGTTTTCGGTGCTGAGGATTCTCACACTGAGATGAAACAACCGCCAAAAGAACACCTTACTAACAGTAACAGTTAATTAACTAATCCTCGAAAATTTGAAAAGAAGTGAGTACAGAAAATACACATCTATATTAATAACTTTTCCAGACAGTTCCGTTTACAGTTGATGAAAAAGTAGAGGGCGGATTTTATTCGAATAAATTAACAATATGCATTTTAATGCCGGATGTAACTTTGACTCTCAAAGATGGCTACATGCTCCACCAAAGTTAAGCGTCAGAGCATCGACGAGAAGTAGCTCTACACGGTACGGTTAACTGGTGCTTGTACTTGCTCTGCTGGTCAGTTGGTATGTTCACTGGTGATTACTGGTCACCGTCAGATTTTACTGGGCGGTAAACGCGGTCAGCAAGATCTGTATGCGCAGATCAGTGAGGTGATCAAGAAGGCATGAACACCCAGTGCGTTGTCAGCACTGCAGCCGATAGGCAAAAGAAACTGGCTCCTTAATTCTGGTAGCTACCGATATTAAATCATTCCTAAGGAGAGCTGTTGTGGTTAGCCTTAGAAAAGTGGCCAGTATTTGGTCCAGAATCACAGATATCGTGCACTCTAGCCTTGACCGTAAGGGCAACCTTGGAGCCGGCTCTGCGTGTGAAATGATGATGAAAGAAGGATGAAGATGAGCTGCATCTCTTCTGCCAGATTGTGTAGACTCACTGAGAAATATCCCACTTACGTCTACCCACGGTCAAACAATCCGATTACCAAGTGTGAATGCAGGTGTAGGGAAGCATGACAGTTGGGATGGTTCTAGGATTTTACTGATGGCAGAAGTGTTTGTTTCCATGTGGATGCACTGTTATGATGTGTCTTGCTCTGTGAAGGAGTTGATCCCTTAGGTTTTTGGATAATGACGTTCATGAGGTTGAGGTTCGGTTCGAAACGGGGGCCGAACTGGGAGTAAAACTCCCTCTTTGAATTTTAATACATTCAGTTATAAAGTGTAAGGTTCTCTGTGACTGAATTCTTAACTGTGAAATGAAGCTAAGGCCTAAATGCATCTGTCTAGCATTACTCAGAGCTTCCAACCACCTAACATAGTTGTCTAGTGAAACTTCGCGGAAAAATCTAAAATCAGTTTGTTCTGTAACACCAAATGAAAAGTCAATGCAGACAGGTTTAGAAGTAAAACGTATGCACCTCACAGGTGAGAACATCATAAAACTGTTAGTCATAGTGTTGAGAAAAGTACATATGGCAAGGATTATTAGTCAAAAACTTGAGCATTGTTGTACAATTTAATTCCCTATTGTATTTCTTATTTGATATAACACACTGTGGTACAGTATTACTTGCCTAATAACATTTTGACCATAATTCAGAGATATAATGGACTGAAGCGAATCTTGATCTGACCACCCTAAGCCTTCTTCCAACATGATCCGAATTCGAACAATAATTCATGTCTAGGCGGACAACAGCTCAAGCATACCATACACGTCAAAACCATCTCAGTCCATGAAGGCTCACAACCGTATTGACTACCTTTCTTTGTCTGGAACCCTATGTCTAACTTCATAACTGCTTAATGATTCCATCCACCTTTTTTCCTTCAATAACTATGTCTCACAGCTTCGTAATAGAGTATATTGAACTACTATACAGTGGGCTTGTCACTCAACACACAGTCAAATGTTTTGATGGCGCCATAATTGTCCCAAGACGACAAATACCAAATAAGTATTTTGTATCCGGATTAGCATTTCAGTAACCTACAACTTATTCGGACTGATACAACTCAAGTAAATGTAGTGGTGAAAACCTTCTCTTACTCCCATCCCTATTCCCTTACTAGAAGTCGATGCAAATCAGTAATGACGCATCCATCATTTTACATTAGACAAGAGAGAAATGAATGCTATTCAAAAGCCATCGCTTTTTTTCATCATTTTCACCCTACAGGATTATCTCGTCTGTTATCCCAATTCAGCCAATTGCTATCCTAGGAGTAAGTCAGTCTATGAGAAGCCAAAGTTACTCTGAGTTATATCAATCAGGATTTTTTTTTCACAAATTTAACTAGGAGTAATGATAATCGGCACTCTTGGTGGACATCACAGTTTGTCATTACTTCAGATGACAGCTCTGAATTAGTCACTATACAGCTGTATAAGTTTGAGCAAAAAGCTACAGTTAGTTAAATTATTTCTTGCTCGACAAAGTTGATGGTAGATTATTGTTACTTCAAGCAGCCCAACAAGTCCTCTAGTTAAAATTTTTTTAATATGAACACTTCTTGTCACTGAATTCATGATACGTATTAATTTTCATACTTATGGTTTAACTAACTGTGAACTGATTAGGATATCAAACTGATAAAACTGAAGTGTACATTTTGACAAAGATTAGGAAACTATTGATCGTAAGTGTATTATGCATACCTAGAAACCGTCTACTTCAAAGCAATATATCACCTGAAGTTAATTAATTCAAGTTGAAAAAAAGTGTTAGTTGACTAGACTAAAGCATAACATTAAGCTATGAACTCAACTGAATACTTTTGCATTTATTCCCGAATCACTTCTATCCCCCTATCCCTTGTCATTATGATGAATGAAATATTAAATGATTGGGAAATTATGTTAATAAATTAATCCATATTTCCCATTGTGACATCAGAACATATTCTAGACTTAGTTGGTTGGAGGCAATCGGCAGGAAGCCCTGCTTGACCTAGCTTTCGTGCTTTTTGGCACTCGTCAGCAAAGCGTATCTGCAACCTCGTCGGAACTGATATCCCGTCTGAGACTCGAACAAGCGTCACCCAGTGTTGTAGTCAGCGACTTTACCACTGAGCTATTCGGGCCGTGACTGACCTCCTCTAGGACTGGCTTACATGTATTGACTGGTCACGGGAGTACAACCAATTTCATTTTCTCTAGTCCTGAGTGCAAACTAAATTCTATTGATCATATTTGCAATGTGGCAACCAAGCTAGGAAGCTCAACATTGTGGTGCACATTAATAGATGTTAGCTAGTTGCAGATACGCCTTGCTGACGAAGGCCAAAAAGCACGAAAGTTAGGTCCAGGGCTTCCTGCCGATTGCCTCCAACCAACTAACATCTACTAATGTGCATCGCGATGCTGAGCTTCCTAGCTTGATTGTCACATTGTAAATATGACAGATAGAATTCGGTCTGCACTTAGGACTAGACAACATGAAATTAGTTGTACTCCCGTCATCAATCAATACATATTCTAGCCTTGTTTTATAACGATGAAAGAAAATCGATTAGAAGTTCTACTCTTGAACATCTAATCGATTTCAACCATTCAACTGACCCGAATAATGATTTTAAGATTGTTTATAGAGTTTGCTCAAACATTTTACGTTTTCTCTGTCTTCAACTTCTAGAAACAGCAGACATTATGGCTATTCATGAACTGAAACCTATTTTGTCGTAGGTTTACTTCATTTTTCTTCGACTTTCCCTTTTATTAGATTAATTTTTGTACTCCTATTTCATTGTTATCACTATTATTTTTACACTTGATGGTTTTCCGCTGTTACTTAACCTAATCTTAGTAGTAATTAGAAGTTTTTACAAAACATTTTCAATTTATTGTTTCATTCATTATAACTTAATTTTTAGATTGTTTATTTCATCGATTTGCATAATACAGAAGTAGGAATTACAACAAACTACTTGAGAGAGCTATTGATGAAATGTATTTTTAATATGTAATCTAGTTACAGCGGTGAGATATACCGGCAAAGTGATAAGATTGCAATGGGGTTCTCACTGGGACCTCTAATGGTAGATGACTTCATGTCAAAACTAGAAAATTTTAATCTTAGCCAAACTATTAATCATTTTGACATTATTAATCTGGATGACATTCTACGCGCGTTCAACTCAGTGCTAGGATTCACTATAGAGAAGAAATTGGGGTCACCTATTCCTTTCCTGGAACCTTGATGGGAAGCGACGAGTTGGGCGTCCGATGTAAGGGTGACATGGAGGAGGTCGTGAAAGAAGAAAATGAGAGCTTGTGAGCTGTCATGGAGCCAGGTTCAAAAGATTTCAGAGAACGCAGAGCATTGGGGACGTGATACTGAAGCCCTATGTTCCATTAGAAACCCAAGGGACAAATAATAAATAATAATAATAATATTTCTTTCCTGGACGTACTGATTACGAGATGTAGGAATGGAATACTGAAAAGATCCATCTACAGCGAACCCAAATGGAATGAGTAGCTTACTAATTTCGATAGTTGGGCCCTGATCATGAGGAAACAAAACTTCAATAACACTCTGCTATCGAATACGTAATATTTGTGGCATGGACTGTATACAAGTTGAACTTGACTTTCTAAGAGAGACGCTCATGAAAAACGGCTATCCTAGCCGAGAAAAGACATACGAAACCAGTCATTAGATCAGTTTCCAAGAAGATATTGTTCATGAATTTGGAATTAAAAGGTTATGAAGCATAAGACATAGTGAGAAATCGTCTTTCGAGATCAATTAGTAGAACTTTTTTCTCAGCCAAACTTCATATGACTTTTAACAGTAGTAAAGTGTTCTCTGTTTGTGTAAAAGACAATATCCCCCTACAGGTTACCTCCACTTCACCTGCTTCTGTTGAGCAAGGCACATTGGCTTTAGATTGCTGTCAACACGTATAGGAGAATTTATTCCTGCCTTGTGTTATAAGGATGAAAGGAAAGGCATTAGAAGTTCTATCCTTAAATACCTAATCGATTTCAACCATACAACCAATCCAAAGAATGATTTTATGCTCGTGCATCGAATTCGTTCAAACATCTCACGTTTTATCCGACTTGAAATTTTAAAAACAGTAAAAGCTTTAGCTGTTCATCAACTAATGCCTGACTTTTGTATGCAAAAAAGGTATATACAGTCTTTGTATCTACCTTGGCCTTAACTTATTTCAGTCTGGATGTGATTCATCCCTTTTTTGTTTTCTCAACTTCTCCTTTTGTCAGATTAATCTTTTGTGCGATTATACCATGATTATCGTTTTTATTTTTACATTCAGTTGTTTCCAGTGTTACTTCATTTAATCAATTCCTAATCAGTGCAACTTTTAACAAAACATTTTCATCAATTTATTCCAATAAACTTTTCTCATTCATATTACCTAATCCTTTGATTGTTTATTAACTATATCACGTTTTCCACCCTTTGCAATTTATATGCACCTTATAAACGAGTTGAAAATCTTACGTAACCCTTTTTGTTATCATTCAACCTTTACGTCATCAACTAGCAACAGTATTATTATTTGTAGGCGGTGATGATTGAGGCTGATATGAAAATCTGGATCGTGGCCGGACTCGAACCAGCGACCATCAGGTTACTGGCCCGGTACTCTACCAACTGAGTTGGTAGGTCTGACTGCTGACCAGAACTTTTTTATTACTTCACTTCAATCATTAAAGGCTTTGTCTGACTACCATGTGAATTCATGACATGTTCCTACAGCTTGATCGTATTCACACTGGTTACCTAGTCAGGACTCCTCATCTCAATACAAATCTAACTGAATCAGAGAGGTGGAGCATCATAGTGATTATGATTTGACTATCTGAGATGGCTGTAGTTTGGCAGACTAGTATTATTATTGTTGCTTCAAACCCCCATTATTTAAGTTAAATCTTCCTCATAGATTGCAGTCTTTAATTATCATATATGTATACAAGTGTACAGTGTGCAAATAAATTCGTTGAAAAAAGTTCTCTTCACTGAATTAACTATTGATAAATTTCATTTTTAGTTGTAGTAATGATGAATAGTGGCTAGCAGTAGAATCCAGGATGAACATTTCGTCCTATTTCGAACTCATCAGTCAGCTGGATGTACCTGCCTCTCAGGGAGTGGTGTTGTTCGCACCGATATCCGAACTCATTACTATAATTAAAACACAGGCAATATCGAGGGATCTGCACAGGAACCCATATACCAATAGAGACCGATCAATTCGGTCCGATCAACGATGGTATAATACAAGCAACAATACTAAAATTATACCCGTTGCACAAGAAGTGGCTGGCATAGCTCGGCGGCCTAGTGGATAACACTGTAGCGTTTGGAAGGATCGGTCCCGAGTTTGAGTCCTGGTGAGAAAAACACCAATCACTAGGAGGCAGGTACATCCAGCTGACTGGTGAGTCCTGGCTTTCACTGCTAGCCACTATCCATCTTTATTATAAGAAAAAACGGGTAATATCGAGGCAACCGCACAGGAGCCCATATGTCAATAGAAACCGATCAATTCAGACCAATCAAAGACAGTATAATACAAGCAATAATTCTAAATTTCATTGTGTTTCTTATATGTTCAGAGGAAATGATTTTGGAATTATTTACTCCTAGGTTAATATAAATATTAGTGAAACGGCATAGAAAATGAATGAATTATTGACCAATTTAAGAGAGCTTTTCAATTCAATCAGTTACATCGACTGATGGATACAACAATCAAGAAGTTCGCGAAAAATCCATCGGTCAGAAACTTCTTGCACTGGTGTCAAGTCGTGTTGCAGCTATCCTGAGGCCATTTACAGCCTAATTCAACTTCTCCCAGGATTGCACATCGAGTTAGGTCACGACTCTGGATTGGCAGTGCAGGTCCAGGTTATCTCAGTCAATTAGAGGTCCACAACTCCATCGACCAACTTTGCCTTTCTTGGCTAGTATCCCTCGCCTGGCCTCAACATTGTTCACGCAGCGGAGATTCCAATGAACCCCAGCAATCATACGAAGACATCTGTGGTCAAAATCATGTAATCATTTTGTTTTCCAGTCCTAGTGGAAACGTGTCATGACCGTATAACGGGATAGAATGAACTGTAGCACAGTATACTCGTTCCCTGATAGATATTCGGATATCTTGCCACTCGGCGCCACAGATATCGCAATTCGACAAGTGTCAAACGGGCTTTTTGTATCCGCGGTGAGATTTTCGGGCTGATACAACTCCTCAAAGCATCTGGAATAAGAAATCGCTTCTCCAGTTACATATTAAGACTTCGTCTTTTCAATAACAGCCTTTAAAATATATGCTGATACTGGGCCCAAGGGACTGCCCATCACTTCTCTGAATATTTACTAATACAAACTTTTATCGTCAAACATATGGTTCTAATTAAAGAGAAGTGTGTGAGCATTAGACAATGAAGTGTTAAGCAAAGTAATGTATACTAGCTACTTACGTGGATGACTTTGTAGCTTTTGCTATGACCTTGTCGATTGCATTCTGAATTTCTTCATTCATTCTTTCTTCTGATTTATTCAAAGTTTCAATTAAAACTTTTGTAGCATTTATTTTCATTTCATTTAATATTATATTGACAGCTGTTGTATGCCTTTCAATGCGTGTTTGGTGCAAAACTAACTCAGCTTGTCTTACATTGGCAACATCCTAGAGAAAATTGTAAAATAAAACAAAATAGGAGATTAATGTAACGTGTTATCTCTATATTGTACGTTATTTCTTTTGTGATGAGATCAAAAGTTCCTTTGAAATTCATTTGATCGCTAACAGAGACGACATCAAGATTGAAGTAGTATGCCGGGTCGATTGTTCACAAAACGTGTAGTAAGTATATCCAATATATAGATAGGCTAAAGTTGAGTTGGATTTCAGGATACTAAAGAAAAAGAGTAGTTAAGTGAAGATATCTTTTTAAAAGACTTTATTCCTTGTAGGTGTACTGTCGCAAATTATTTTTAAGGTAGCATTCATAACAGACAACCTCGCCTAGTTAATTAGTTCACCAGTTACTACTGGGTCTTAAGCCCAGATAAAAAGGAAAGGTTTGGCATAGGGCTAGCAATCCTACACCGTAAAACCAATCCAATCGCTAGAGAAACTTCAGAGCATAAAGAGAATATAAAACATAAAATAAAATTTATTCCTCACTGGAATCAGAGAGACGAAATGACGCCGGTTGGTGAAAGCCTTCGGGAAGCCAGTCTGCTGATGTGTCTTCTCTCCCTCGATGAAAGCGAAAGTAAGGATGAGGATATGTAATGTCTGCACCGTGTGTGAACCTAGCAAGGCTGCCCAGATTGCGAAAGAGATGAGGAGATATGGCATGGAGGTGCTTGGAATCTGCGAAAGTAGATGGAATGTAAGTGGACTCTCCAAACTCTTAACTGGAGAGTCAAGCCCTATGTTCCACTAGGAACCCAAGGGAAAAGTAATAATAATTATCATAATTCATCGCAGACTGACGACAGTTGGAGAACCAATAAAAAACTAAGACCAATGGATAGCTGTTTCGTCCTAGCATAAACGACTCATCAGTATGCACAGATGAGCTGACCAGATCATGAACTTAGGACGTTTGGGTTTCACCGTATCACTCCATGATGAATGGCATCTTAACAAAAAAATCCCCATTAACCTCAAAATGCATCATTGTACACTACTCATTACTGGTATGCTTCCAGATGGATATCTCGAAATTTTTATGAATGATTGTCACCTGTAGGGTCAACCGACTGAAGACCTAGGATGATAGCAGTTTTATATCACAAACTGACAGAGGTACGAAACTACATACCACTAAACTCCAACGCAGTGGCTGAATGATTAACACGTACGTTGTGAAACCAGAAGGTCTTGAGTTAGATCCACTATGAGCTGGTCCTAGATGCATACTATTGAGGAGTCCCATACTAGAACGAAACAGCTAATGAGTATTTCCAAGTTTCTAATGGTTTTCCAACTGATGTCAGTCCGTTATGATTACCAACCTGATGAATAAAATTTCCAATAATCTCAAAGTACATTATACATTTTTGTTTTACTTTAATAGATAGTTACAGGGCGTTGTTTATTTAAAGCTAGTAACAAAGAAGATAACCTCGGCTGGTTAACTAGTTCACTAGTTACTAGCCGGTCTTGAGCCCACATAAAGAGGGAAGGCTGGACCGTAAAACCAATCCAATCGCTAGAGAAACTTCGGAGCATAAAGAGAATATGAAACATAAAAATAAACTTATCCCTCGCTGGAATCGCAGACGAAATGATGCCAGTTTGTGAAAGAACTCGGGAAATCGATTGGCCGATGTCTTCCCTTCTCTCGATGAAAGCAAAAGTGAGGATGAGGACATGGAATGTCCGCACTGTTTGAACCCAGAAAGGCTGCCCAGATTGCAAAGGAGATGAGAAGATACAGTATAGATGTGCTACGAATCTGCGAAAGCAGAGGAAATGGAAGCGGACTCCCCAAATTATCAACTGGAGAGTTAATAATCTACTCTGATATTGTCACCCAGACGACAACCACAAGCACACTGAGTTATGGAGTGGCTATCATGATGTCGCAAAGAGCATCAATGGCTCTCATGCAGTGGGAACCAATCTCCTCCAGGATCATAACAGCAAGGTTCAACTCAAAAGGAAGTAAAGTCACAATGGTACAATGCTACGCTATCCACCTACAAATAATGCAGATTAAGAGAAGAAGGGGGAATTCTACAGACAACTGCAATCAGCACTGGACAAGACCTCAGTTAGCAACATCAAAATACCAATAGGCGACATGAATGCCAAAGTGGGAGGGGACAACACAGTGAGAAAACTAACCATGGGTCGAGAAGAGCTCGGTGAAATGAATGAGGATGGAGAATTGTTTGCAGACTTCTGAGCATTCAACGATTTGGTGATTGGAAGCGCTCCGACGAAAGTCAAAGTCCTGAACGCCATCGTCAATAGATGCCGCCAACGCTAACTCAATACTGAAGATCAGATGTTCAGAAAGAATATGCAACAAGTAACTCTGGGAACAAACCAACCAAGAAGCTATCACCCAACAAAATATGCAGTGGAAGAAAGTGGAGATGGATTGGGCATACACTGAGAAGACCATTCGGGTACATCACGCACCAGACCAGGCACTCTAGTTGAACCCAGATATGAGACGGGCGATTTGGGCGTCGAAGGTGGGGGTGATATGAAGGAGATAGTGTGAGGAAGAAATGAGAGCTTCTGAGCTGTAATGGAGCGAGGTCGAAAAGATTGCAGAGAACAGAGTGGGATGGAGATGTGCTAGTGAAGCGTATGTTCCACTAGGAACCGAAAGGACAAATAATAATAAACAATGAAACAAACAAGAAGCTGAATGAAGAATAATAATTCACAAGCATGATGTATAGTAAAAAGTAATCACAAAAGAGCATAAAAACCAATATAATTAACCCGATAGAATATAAAGTTGCATAATATATAAGAATAATTATCAAGATACAAAGCATGATCAAGAGTTGCATAGAAATACAATGAAGATGGTTTATAATTATTGAAATTATAAAATGATGTAACAAAAGTTTGAACTAATAAGAGAGAGATAATGATCCATGTTTTGTCAGCAACTTACTAAGTTTGGAGGTAGCAACAAAGGCTGTACAAGTTTCTTTTGCATACATAGATACTCTACAGTACAAAGAAGGTGGAAATACACCATTTTTGATAAATCTCTTTTTTGAGATGAATGGGGATTTTTAATTTAGAAGTGGTATTCATCATGGACTGATATCAGTTAGGGAACCATTGAAAATCTGGGAGCACTGGACAGCTGGTTCGTCCAACTAGTATGGGACTCCTCAGCAGTACGCACCAACGACCACTGAAAAACGACCCAGTGGCTGGATGGTTAATGCGTTCGCCATGAAACCTGAAGGTCCCGAGTCGTGGATGCGTACTGCTGAGGAGTCCCATACTAGTTAGACGAAACAGCTGTCCAGTGCTCCCAGACTTTCGATGGTTCCCTAACTGATATCAGTCTATGATGAATACTACGTCTAAATCTCTTTTTACCATGTAGATGACTTCGAACCCTGAATCAGTTGTGATGCTTTTAGTAGTATTGACAAAGTTTTTAATTATTGGACTTTTGATCGATCCATTCACACCTATTTACAACGAACGAGGCAGAGTAATGTTCTCCAATCCATTTGGAAAGAATGCGCATCGAAAGATTTATATACCCAGCGGCTTACATAGATTGCCAAGAAAATATTCAACGACCGGAGGATACAATCTTCAAGGATGACATAAAGAAAGTTTTATTTAGCGAATTTAAAATTCTTCTTTTCAAGATATCAACAGTGTAGTCAACTTTGAAGTCAAGATTTATGTATAATATTCTCTTTGAAACTAGAATGGATATCTCTCTTTTGATTTGGGTTGTATGTTTTTGTCTACAAAAAGTGCTAGGTAGCGGTTTCTGTTAGAATCTTTTGTTTAAGGCTGTGAAACAGTTGTGAATAAAAGTAAAGGTCTAAAAATTACAGAGAGTACTTTTAGCACTGAATGTAGTTGTTCAGACGAAATTTCCCTCCGAGGAACTGGAGTTTTATTCGATAGTACTAGAAGTCATGCTAGAAGTCATCACCAGTGCTACAGAGCTTCATAAAGAAGTGAAAAATTACTTTTATGGACAAACTCTCATCAGTTCTGAGTATTGATGACTAAACGGCTATGCAAGATGACCACTGGGGAACAGTTCGTCAATATAATCTAGTCATACAATAGGTCAGTCGTAACCGGAATAGCCTATCAATTCATTCTCTGACTTCTGGATTGAGTAATGCAGACATGAATCACCAAGGGAACTCTAATTTTCTCATGGTTCCTGATACGCCTTAAGAATAAGTGCCAAACTTTGATCCATGCTTTCCTTTCAATCAGTAACTAACATCGAACACCATCAGCATAAAGATGTGTCACAGAACCATTTTTTTCGACGAAGCCTATCAGTAAAATAGGTTGGCTTAAAGATGATGATTTCGATCAAAACTTACACATATTATAGATTTTCCATTATACTAATCATGCGTTTACAAGGTTGATAAACCCTTAACATGAGTGGTCAGTGTTGTTGAGAATAAATCTGTCTTCTCAGGTGTCTTTATATACTGTTTTAAGTCTACATAACAAACACTAGCGTCGTTTCACTATCCACATCCAATCAAAATGCACATTTAAGGGAGTAAGAAAGTCTTACTTCTTTGACACGACGAATACGGGATTCATGAAGTTTGATTTGCATAAGATATTCATTATCATTTTCACTTCTTTTCACTATTGATTCTTCCTTTGCGCTCAATGTTACTGTATTCTTCCATTGTTCTAAGTATTCTAATATTTTCTGAAAGTATGATAAAAAACAGGTGCCTGGTAATATTTTGCAAGTACTATTTCATGAGCTACACTCCCTTGAGAAGGCGGAAGCCTCGATGATCCCTGATTACTTATTATATTGTAATTTGCTTAGTGGCTAACAGTGGAATCTAACTCGCGCTTTTCGTCCTACCCCTGAGTGATGCTGTTCCTGATGAGAGTCGAACCCAGTGCTTATCTTTTCAAACACCAAGGCGTTATCCACTAAGCCAGTGGGATATGACGGCCGCCTCTTGCGCAACCAGTATCAAGTGTTGTCAAACAAGAGGTGCCTTTCGTACCCCACTGGTCTAGTTGATAACGCGTTGGGGTTTGAAAGGATGCGAAATAGGTTCGACTCTCAGCGGGAACAGCATCACTCATAGGGGTGCAAGTACATCAGGCTGATGAGTCCCAAACAGGCCCGAACGCGCCTCCTGGATCTCAGCGATAGCCACCAGGGAGACTACAACCTGAAGAGTGATCGAGCAGTAATGAGGCATTTGCATAGGAACCCATTCACCAACAGAAACCGAGAAGTTTAACTCAGTATATCAACGGGAGATTACAAGTATTAAGTAACAATGCGAAAACCTTGTCTAAGCTGCCCTAATTGCTGAAACTTCACGACCTCACCAACCGACCTGACTCCCTTGCCTATTCTGCGTTTAGAGTCAATATTGTTCACTTGGTGATTCCGCTATGCGCATGCAATTCTATGAAGGAGACTATAATCGAAAACCTGTAATCTCTTTTTATCTCATACTTTCAACGGCCATTCCTCTCAGTCGTATAATACAACAGTGCTGATCATAGAGTGGTATACTCGTTCTATGGTAGAAAATTAGATTTGCAGCCGGCTCCAGATGTGGTATGAGTTTGAAACTGATATACAAGCTCATAGTTTTCAAGCTCACATTCCATTAGTAACCGAGTTATTCAGGCTCATGCAACTTCTCAATTAAGTGAGGTGGTCAACGCACCCCACCACTCAATCCCTATCCTAAAACTATAAATTGGCGTAGACCAGTTTCGATGCATCTGTTATTTGACATGTGTCCTGTAGTAAATATATACCAAATATACTCAGAGTTGGAGTCAAGGTATTCAGAAGATCCTGTATTTTGTTAGTGTCTTCGTCGAACATGACTGTGTCATTTGTGTTTTCCAAGTCAGATAGGTTTCCACCTTGAAGTAAGTCAATCCCTAAGAAGTCGGAATGAGCTGGAGTTATAATCTTTGACTTTTGTCAAGTCAGACAGAAACTCCTCATAATTCCTAACAATGTCATTCTACCTTCAGGCCTACGAAATAGAGTAATAATTTATGTCAGGCGGTTTAGAATGTTGGTTGCTGAAAGCCTAGGTCATTTGTTTATATCTATTTGTAATATTTCACATGTTATGAATCAGTAAACTTCCGTCTGTGATGAATATCACCTTGAAATCAATAAATCCCGATAGACTTCCAAACTAAACTACAGTTCACTGCTCATCAGTTACATGTGTGGTGGTGAGATCTCATTTGACTTCAACATTGATTAAATGGTGATTCCATCAAATGTGATCAATGTTATGAAAACATCTGTGTTCAAAACCCAATAATCGCTTCATATCTTCTACTTTTAACAGCTGTGTTTCATAGCTGTAAAACAGGACAAAACAGTCTACGTAATAGTATACTCGTCCTTTGACAAATAGTCGGATATTTCACTACTCAACATCTTAGATAACCCGAATTGGCGAGTGCTGAACTAGCCTACTGTATCCGGGTCGAGATTTTGTCAGCAACCAGCCGATTCAGGTTGATGCAACTCCTCAAATAAGTGAGATTGTCGAGACATTCTACCACTTCCCTCCTTACCATTAAATTAGAATTGATCGTAGACCATGCCTAGAGCATCAGTTCGCATTTGATAGGTGTTGTGACCGTGTGCGGTTGCTTGCGTAGGTATAATGATACTGACACTCAATAGACGCCTCAACCGAATACCTTTACGAGTGACCTCCGTCAGTACCTTCTGCCTAGCTGAGGCGCGTAAAATCAGAAGACAAAGGACGGACTGCGACTGCAAGAACAACGACAACTTTTATTACGTAAATACATGGCATATGTATTTACAAAACTCTCAAAAAGTGATGCCATAAATGAACCAATCGGATTTCTTGTATTAGGTTGAATTTCTCCAATTAGGTTCTCATGTTAGCCCATGCATAAATCATGATCTGGTCACGAATTGAAAACAACTCCCCTATTGGCTGCCTTTTAATCACTACGTAACAACAGGTGTCAACCTCGCCTGGTTAATTAGTTTACTAGTTACTAGCCGGTGCTAAGCCCGGGTAAAGAGGGAAGGTTGGGCATAGGGCTAGCAACCCTACCCCGTAAAACAAATCTAACCGCTAAACAAACTTCAAAGCACAAACAAAATATAAAAAATAAAAACAAACTTATTCCCCGCTGGAATCGGAGAGGCGAAATGATGCCAGTTGGTGAAAGCCTTCGGGAAGCCAATTGGCCGATGTGTCTTCTCTCGATGAAAGTGAAAGTAAACGTGGGGACATGGAATGTCCGTAACAACAGGTGTCAGAGAAATGCATGTCAAACATACACTAATTTCTTCTCACCGCATTCACAACACCTTTCATTACATTAGCATATTTACATAGTAGGACAATATCAACTGCATACTCCAAATAGATAAATCCTTGTGAAATTAGAAGAACCTAAAGTTATTTCCATCTATGTTCGTTTGTGAAAAAGTTAAACAAAAAACAAAAATCATTATTTTTTAACTAAGTTTTGCTTACTACACGAACTCTTGTTTTAACATCTTTTATAATTTTCAAACATTTTTCACTTTTTATTGGTTTAACATAATCAATGATATACTTATTGACAAGTATTAGTTCATTTCCATTAACAATAACTTGTTGAATAGGATCATTGAATTGTTTTTCTATAAACGATTTATCAGATTGTAATTTAACCGGTGAATTATTATTCAGTAGATTTGAATTAATTTCATTTCCAATTATTCCACTGTATTGAAGATTTTTTGATAGATATATGAAGAATTCATTCATTTGATTGTCTAATTTGAAATCAGATTGTAAATTTTTAACCAGATCTTCTACTGCAATATCTCGATGTTTAATATGATAGAATATATGATCAGTGTTATTTATTTTATCAGTAGTAAGTAGTTTATTTTGAATTTCATCACCAGTGTATTCAGGTGATTCAGATTGTGTTATACAAATAAATTGTTCATATCCAAGTGTTAGATATCCACTAACTGGTGATTTTTGTTTAATTCGCTTCTATAGGAAAGAGAAAAAAGCGATTTTTAAACATTAAATAGCAGGATATCATATTTATATTGTTACTTGCCCTTGGGTTCCTAGTGGAACATACGGTTTCACTAGTTCGTCCACTCTCTTCTCTACACTACACTCAACTTGGCTCCATCACTGCCAACAACCTCTCATTACTTCATCACATGACCTACTCCATGTCATGCAAGGACACACAACTCGTTGTTTCCCCTATGCATTCCACCTCAACGGTCTCACCTGATGCACCATGTCCACAATCAGTCTTCTAACTGTATGCACAATCCAATCAATCTCTACTTTCTTCCACTGCATATTTGTTCGGCAATGGGCTCTTGGATGGTTGGTTCGTTGCCAGGTCAGACAGAGTTCCTCCTTGATTATTCTTATTATTCTGACACTCTGATCTCATCTTCAGTATCGAGTGAGCATAGGCGGCAACTGTTGATGAATGTCTGTGCTTTGTTGGAAATGCTTTTCGTGATGCGCCAACTCTCTCAACCATCACATAGAAGCAGTGACTTACTTGACTGATATTAATGTTGAAAATCCGGATCTTGTTCGTGCTTTTTGCTGAGTTTAGTGCAGTAGATCTCCACACTGATTTCAGATTGATTAAAGAAGGCCTGTGTTGCTGTCTTTTTGATCTTGGCTTTGACGTCCCCATCTGTGCCTATGCCATCTGTAATTGAAACGATGCTGCCTAAGTAGGTGAGGATATATGTGTATATTATTTGAAGAGATCCAGGTCCACACACTAATCACTGTTTCTTTAGACAGAAGCACTGAGCCTTAATAGTTTCAGTAGTTGTCATATTTTTAACCAGCTGAGATTTTATATCTGTCTTAACTAGTTGGGTATTAATGTTCAATTAAATACACTTCCTGTAAAAAAGCTTTGATTATGACAATTCTATATACCCCCCCTTGTTCTCAAGGCTGAACTGTCATTGGTTATTAATTATGTACGGACTTCGACTGTTATTAGGACAGTAAAAAGCTTTCTGTCAACGGTCTATCTTCTCTTCTTGTCTCCACTGCTTGCTTATATTGTTATGGTGGTGGTTGATGTTCTGATTTGCGTTAAAGTCTATTCGTTGCACATAAGTTTTGTATCGTTTGTAGTCTGCTAGGCTCATATCGATCGTAGACTGTGAGGTTGTACTACCGGTTATAGCAGATAATTATCAAATCGATGGTGAAGTAAAAAGTTGGGTGATGATGACCTTCTGGTTACCAACTCGATACTCCACCCACTGCACTACGAGTCCCAGCTGGTGGGTCAATAATACAACTCTACCAAACCATAGCTATAGTCAAACTGATAACTATGAAATGTATCTATAATTATTTTAGGTTGTCTTTAAAGGTGGCTACTACTAAAGTGAACTATGACAAGGCTTGGTTTCCAACAGTAGATACAAAGAACTACTAAAAACTGTGGAAAAGATTTTTTGCTCAAAATGCCGACCTTCGGAATGAGTTGGATTTTTGATAGCGAGTCTCAACCTTATATTTCTAAGTGTCTAGCACATGACAAATTAAAACTAGGGGATTAGATATGTAGAGTTATTCATTAGACAAACAGGAAATGTATCCACAATCTCATTAGATGATTATTCATTATACAACCTAATGATTAATTTCTCAGACGGACTTGTGAGTTGATTTGATAATCCAAAAGGTTTGAATCCCTTTTCTTGTGAGATTTCTAACCTTACTACATCTAATAAATCTGGTTAAGACTTGACATGCTTTTGTCTAATCTCAAAGATTAAAGTACTTTACCTCCTCTGTATTAGTAAAACACCAACTAATACAAAAAACAAGATATTCGACCACTAACACTTGTCTCTTTTTCAGTAAACCCAACTTACAACTTATCCAGATGTGGTTTCAGCGAAGAAAGATTTTTCGTCTAGACCAAGTCATTTACTAATCTGTACATTCGTGAATATATATTACAGTAGGTAGAATGTTCCAGAATTGTTTCCGGTCAGGTGGCAAAATATATTGAATGACTGAAGAAAGTTAATTAATACACATTTATGTTTAGAGTGGGAAAATAGACATGGGATTATGAAATTAAATGTAATTACGTAATACAGGATGAATGTATGGCAAAGTAGGAAACTGAACGAAGGGTTATGGAGATAAAATTGCAACTATGTAATACCGGATAAACCCACGGTGTGGCGATGGGGTCTCCAATAGAACTCCTCCTAGGTGACTGCTTCATGGTAAGTATGGAAAACACGAAATTATCATCAACAATCAATGAACTCCATTTCTACAAATGATACATGGATGAGACGTTTATAGTTTGTGATGAAAATATGAATCTTGCAAACTTGCTTCATATATTCAACAATGTCCACCCTTCAACCAAATTCACTCTAGAATCACAATCAAACTCAATCTTCCATTTTCATGATGTTCAACTTCAAAGAAAAGACGATAATTCACTTCGTAGATCGATCTACAGAAAGCCTACATGGAATGGATAATTTGTTAATTTTAAGAGTTCAGTCCCCCTATACAGAAAAAGAAATCTTATTCATTCACTTTCCTCGAGGGTCAGGAAAATATGTACTGACGACACAGTTGACGAAGAACTGCAAATACTTCGACAGACTCTAGCAGAAAGTGGGTTCCTAGTCAGATTCTTAGATAAGAACATAAAGCCAAAGAACCCAAGTGAACGAAGACATTTGGCGCCGAAAAAGGTTCGCTTGTTGAATCTTCAATTCAAAAGTGATATTGCTGCAGAGATCCTGAGGAAACGACCATAAAAATACATAAACAGAACATACTTCACCGCCAACCTTCGGATAATTTTCTCCTGCAAGAAACTGTTCGGTTAATGTGTGAAACACAAGCCAACCCATTGAGCCACATCATTGTGTGTATACCAGTTTACTTGCTCTTGTGGAGCTGAGTACATCAGTCGTACCATGCGTCCGCTTGTAAAACGTGTCCGTGAACACTACCCAGCTTGGCTTGCAAAGGGAGAACGGGAATGCATCTTCAGTTCGATAACAGAACACTTCGTGAACTCAGGCCACTTACCTCCTTTCGAGAGCTCATTCAAAATTCCCTACAGGGTTCGATCAAACTACTTGATAGGAGTAAAATAAAGGCATCTGTCTATAGCTGAAGCATTAGCCATCCAGAAGTTCAAACCAGCGTCATGCGTACGAAAAAGGTACGTCCAACCTTTATCTTTGCCATGACCATCATAAAGCCCTGTCTGTCTGTCTGTCACAGATTCATTTTGTATCAGGTAACTACACATGTATACGTTATTCATTAATCTACCATGTCACAGACTGAACCTGCATTATGTAATTACAATCTTATTTTCATAATACCCTGTTTATTCTCATACTCTGTCATAGGCTTATCCGGTATTACATAATCGCAATTTTATCTCCATCATCCTTCGTTCAGTTAATATGAGGGGTTTTATATGATACCGTCGTTGCTTGGACCGAAATGATTAGTCTCTATTGGCATATGGGCTCCTGTGAGGATGCCTCAACATTGCCTGCCTTTTAATCATGTATAGTAATGATGGGCAGTGGCTAGCAGTGGAATCCAGGATGCGCATTTCGTCCTATTTGGGACTCACTGGTCAGCTGGATGTACCTGCTTCCCAGTGAGTGATGTTATTCCCACCGGCATTCGAACTCGATCAATACGGTCCAATCAACGACGGTATGATATAAAAACAATTATACCAAAACTATACCCGTCTCACAAGAAGTGGTTATCGTGGCTCGATGGTGTAGTGGGTAACGCCATGGAGTTTGAAGCGATCGCTCCCGAGTCCGAATACGATGCAAACAGCATCACTCACTGGGAAGCAGGTACATCCAGCTGACCTGTAAGTTCCAAATAGGACGAAGTGCGCATCCTAGATTCCACTGCTAGCCACGATCCATCCATCGTTCAGTTTCCTACTTTGCCATACATTCATCCTGTATTACGTAATTACATTTAATTTTATAATCCCATGTCTATTTTCCCACTCTAAACATAAATGTGTATTAAATAACTTCCTTCCGTCATTCAATATATTTTGCCACCTGACCGGAAACAATTCTGGAACATTCTACCCACTTTAATATATATTCACGAATGTACAGATTAGTAAATGACTTGGTCTAGAAGAAAAATCCTTCCTCGCTGAAACTACGTCTTGTCTTATCGAGATATTTTACAAAAACATTTATACATCCCATTTTCAAACAAGTTATGATTACGGTGTTCTGATTAACATTTTTGACATTAAACATTATCAAGGGCTGCGTAACGTGTGAACAGTAAAAATTATATGGTTCGGAATATTAGGACCATGCAAAGATTCAAAATATGTGATCAACATTAAGATATTATACAATTCAACGAGATATATCTTCATAAACTATATTAGGAGTCACATTTGCTGAATCAGTGGTCATGATACTACTATTATTATTATATTTTTTCCCTTGGGTTCCTAATAGAACATAGGGCTTCAGTAGCACGTCTCCATTCCACTCTCTTCTCTGAAATCTTTTCAACCTGGCTCCACAACAGCCCACAAACTCTCATTTCTTCCTCGCACGATCTCCTCCATGTCACCCTCACCTCGGACACAAAACTCGTCGCTTCTCATCTGGGTTCCGCTCGAGTGCCTGCCCTGATGCGTGATGTCCCCATTCAGTCTTCTCAGTGCATGCCCAATCCATCTCCACTTCCTTCCACCGCATATTTCTTCAGCGATAGCTTCTTGGTTGGTTCGTTCCCAGAGCTCCTTGTTGCTTATTCTGACTATTCTGGCCATGTGATCTTCAGTATCGAGCCAGCGTAAGCAGTTGTTGATGAATGTCTGTAGTTTGTTGGAAATGCCTTTCGTAACACACCAACTATCTCAACCATCACATAGAAGCACTGACTTGACTAGGTTGGTGTTCAAAATCCTGATCTTGTTCCGCATGCTGAGTGCAGAAGATCTCCACACTGGTTTCAGGTTGATTCACGAAGGCCTGTCTTGCTTTTCCGATCCTGGCTGACTCTGACATCCTCATCTGTGCCGCCGCCACCCGTAGTTGAAACAGTGCTTCCTAGATAGGTGAAGGAGGTTACTTCCTTTAAGTTTCTCTCATTCATGGTGACTGGAGTTTGTTGTTGTTGTTGGTGCGGTATCTTCATCACTCTTGTCTTCCCTACGTTCAATTGAAGTCCTTTCTTCGCTTCCCTGCCTCTCCTGTCAACTTGTTAGTTTTGCCTGTAGATCTTAGAGTTTATGTGACATCAGGCACAAGTCATCGGCGAAATCCAAGTCTTCTGTGTTCTTTTCCGCAGTCCAGCGTATCCCTCTCTTCTCACAGCTCCCCACTGTTTGCTGCATGATCCAATCCAGTTGACCACAATCAGGAATATCATGGGGGATAGTAGGCAACCTTGTTTCACTCCTGTCTTTGCTTCAAAAGCATATGATACTACTAGGTTGCTCAATCAAGTAAGATATTTCTAGATTTAAACTTGAGACCCATTGCCTAACTTTAACCCAAAGTAGATGAACCACATCCTCATGGTCAATCTGTAAGTATTGTTGATCCTATATATTTGACTTTTCATTCTTTATACATTCAAATAACTGGATTTTAGTTGAGTTGCTTCTCAGTTTTAACTAAGACCAATATGGTATTCATCAAGGAATGATGTCATTCGAAGAAAAATTGAATTTCTGGTAACAGTAAACACTAGTACCCGAGCATTTAGAAGCACAGTATCATTTATTTATGAATACCTTAGAACAAACCACTTACTTCAAGACTTAAGGATTGTTGTTTTGTACAACGAGCCACTCCAAAAAATCGACAAACAGCAATTTCACACAAATCTGTAATATTCATCACTTGTTTTGTATAAGCATCTATGATTCGCGCTTGCCTCTCATTCAATGTTTGATAACTTGGAAAAAAATAGTGTAAATAATCAAAAGAAGGTCAACATTTTTAAGACTGAACGATGAAGATGCTTAAAAATATAATCTCTGAGCAGTGTTTCATATGACAGAGAGTTTTTGTTATTGATATACTCATTTCTACCTGCTTTTGTGGTTCACTTCTAGGAAATAGTCTCTCTTCTTCGACCTTATGTGTGCGTGTGTGATGTTATGAAATATAAGACGACAAGCCATGTTAAGTTTTTAAATGATTCATAGTTGTGTGCGGTGCTTTCAGAACCCATGGTTTGAATCAAAACCGCTAACATATAAATCCTGTGTTAACCGAAACTAAACTGACTTGATCGTACTTAAACGTCAAGTATATAATCTTCTCATATCTCTGGTTCAACAGACAGTCCTTCTACTTTTCTGGATATTCGTTATTTTCAACATACCATATTTTTTCAGCTTAGATCGATCTATTTCTTTATGAGATTCTGCTAAGCACATTACCATCATCGGGTAGATTCCAGGTATTGTTATGAAAAGATTGTCAGAGATAACTTATGAAACATAGATGCCATCTCGAACTACTGGCAATGTTGATGATAGACAGGTACGTCTAAATTTTTGAAGAACACTTCATTGAACAGGACTAGACAACATGAAGTTGGTTACCGTCCAGTGACCAATTAATATATATAATTCAGTCCAACAGGAGGCCAATCGCAGCTCGAATAGCTCTGCGGTAACGTCTCCGACTTCAGCACTAAGTGACATGGATTCTAGTCTCACTCAAGCGAGACGTCAGTTCCGTTGGGGTTGCAGATACGCCTTGCTGACGAGTGCTAAAAATTACGAAACCTAGGTCAAGCAGTACTTCCTGTTGATTTCCTCCATTTAACGAACATATTCATTTTATCATGATTGATACAAAGCGAAAAAGTTGCATCATTGAATGCAAACTATAAAAATGCCTTTTCCGACTAAGATACAACGATCTACTTACTTTGGCGGATCCGAACCAACTTTGCTTCTTTTTAGGCTCATAGCTGTTCTTACGCCTATACACATCAAATACATGAAAGTATCCCAACGAAAATTAGATCTTTCTGGCTCTTCTGAGCATATCATATCGTTATTCCAGCCCTAGTTGACTTACTGACCAGACAGATGTCAACGTAAAATGCTGATGACATGAGATCAGTTCAAATAATTCCCAGATGCAATGTCTACTGACAATTCTTGAAAACTTAGAAGTTAAGAGCCAGTCAATAAGAGACCTTGGATCTACACTTCTTTCTTGTTAGCACTTATCAGCACAAACTATCTGCAATTACCACAACATCACATCAGTTAGCCTACAGATCATATTGCAAAGTTGACTGATAGGCTTCAGTTAGTACTAAGCACTATAGACTAAACAGTCACATACAGTAAGCACAGATAACTAGATCCTCTACTTCTTGAAGTCTCATCTGATCAAGACATTCTTCTGTCGAAGGCATTTTTCCACTTTTCGTGATAAAATGGCTATGATGGATATGAAAACTAGTTAAAGAGCACATCTTTCCAGTTCACCAGAACTGTTTCCTTCATCAATAAAAAGTAGAAACAGTGAAAATTTTGAACAGAAGTATTGTTCATCATCATATTTCTGCGTAATCATGTCAAGTTTTTTGTTGTCTTGATCAAATTGCAAGCTAGTCAGTCAACATTAACATGGGACATGAAATTACTACAAGAGTACATCAAGACGAAAGACAGCAGTCAAAACTGGTAGGGAGTCATCAAAGGACAGCAAGAAGGGATGAGGCGCTAATCAAATCCAGCATGACAGCTAGGATGAAGATTATGTGTGAATGAATCCAAACCCGCCGAGTTTTATTCCAAGCCATATCAGCTAGATACTCTGAACACTGATTTCTGTTTTCATGCTAACTTCACTCAGAAAGCCTTCACACTTTCTTACAGTTAAAAATTTCATGGACTGATGGCATACTTTGAACTGGCGGTCTTTAACATTTTTTCAGCCTAAACCGATTTTATTTGACAATGTATGACGAAGAAAGGCACTGGCTGCATGTGCCTGCTTCCCAGTGAGTGATATTGTTCCTACTGAGGTTTGAACTTAATACCCTTTGCTTCAAACGACAGAGCATTATCCTGTAATCCGCTGGGATATGGCAGCCACCTCTTGTGCGATGAGTATCAGGCTCGAAACCAGTACCCTTCACTTCAAACATGAGAGCCTAAGTGGGAACAACATAGTTCCTTGGAGTGCAAGTAAATCCAGCTGACAAATCCCGAACAGGACGAAACGCTCCTCCTGGATTCCTCTGTTAATCACCAAGATCAACGGGATCAGAGCGATGTAATCACCACACTGGTATTTAACCCGTTTACACCTGATCTTATCAGTGGTTCATCCGAATGATTTCAGCTTAGATTACCAGAATCTCACTAATTGACTTTTATAGAATGACATATATCTAAATCAGGATAATTGATTTGCAAATGATTTATAAATTACATAGTCCATGTTGATTATTCTCACTTCTGACTAGTTTTTAACCACCATTCAACAATGATATCAACAGAATTCCTGTTGGAAACCATTTAATCAAGATAATAATGTGTAATCATTGACACAAAAGTGTCACGAACTAGCGAAATATACTACTATTGGGTGATTTTCAAAGGAAACTCTGTTGATATCACAGTTGGGTAGCAGTTGTAAAACTATTCAACTGCAATATATATCAAGAAAAAACAGTGAAATGTGTAAGTTATTTACTAACTGATCATTTGATTACTCCTGCTTCATTACTACGGAGTACCGCAAACCTTTATCCGCCTCATTCAACAATTATATGAAGACGCCACATACCAGCCAAGTAATTCACAATGGGAAGCTCAGTGATGCTTTTGAAGTGAAGACAGGAGTGAAACAAGGTTGTCTACTATCCCCCATGATATTCCTGATTGTGGTCAACTGGACTGGATCATGCAGCAAACAGTGGGGAGCTGTGAGAAGAGGGGGATACGCTGGCTGGACTGCGGAAAAGAACCTAGAAGACTGGGATTTCGCCGATGACTTGTGCCTGATGTCACATAAACTTGAAGATCTACAGGCAGAACTAACAAGTTGACAGGAGAGGCAGGGAAGCGAAGAAAGGACTTCAATTGAACGTAGGGAAGACAAGAGTGATGAAGATACCGCACCAACAACAACAACAAACTCCAGTCACCATGAATGAGAGAAACTTAAAGGAAGTAACCTCCTTCACCTATCTAGGAAGCACTGTTTCAACTACGGGTGGCGGCGGCACAGATGAGGATGTCAGAGTCAGCCAGGATCGGAAAAGCAAGACAGGCCTTCGTGAATCAACCTGAAACCAGTGTGGAGATCTTCTGCACTCAGCATAAAGAGTGAACGAGTGCAGGATTTTCAACACCAACCTAGTCAAGTCAGTGCTTCTATGTGATGGTTGAGATAGTTGGTGTGTTACGAAAGGCATTTCCAACAAACTACAGACATTCATCAACAACTGCTTACGCTGGCTCGATACTGAAGATCATATGGCCAGAATAGTCAGAATAAGCAACAAGGAGCTCTGGGAACGAACCAACCAAGAACCTATCACCCAACAAATATCCAGGAGGAAATGGAGATGGATTGGGCATGCAGTGAGAAGACTGAATGGGGACATCGCGCGTCAGGCAAGTTGCTCGAGTGTAATCCCAATGGGAAGCGACGAGTTAAGTGTCCGAGGTGAGGGTGACATGGAGGAGATCGTGCGAGGATGAAATGAGAGTTTGTGGGCTGTTGTGGAGCTCGGTTGTAAAGATTTCAGAGAAGAGAGTGGAATGGAGACGTGCTGTTGAAGCCTTATGTTCCATTAGGAACCCAAGGGACTAATAATAAGATATATATATATATATATATATATATATGCATATATCGTGCTTATTTATTGGAAATACTTACAGAGCTTTCATGTCATTGAATAAATTCAATGTCTCTTCTAGTCTTTCATTGATAGCTTGTTCATTTGAACATTGACGTAATGCATCAATAGATGAATTAATTATTTCATCCTTTTTTTTAATTTCTTCAAATATTATTTGTTGAATTGAATATAAGTTGTTATTCAAATCTTTTTCAACAGTATTTATTGGTTCTTGTGCAAATTGTTTCCATAATTTATTAACCATTTGACCATATCGTAATAATGGTTGAATTAATCCATTAGGCCAAATATATACACACCAAACAAAGCATTGCTTGATTACATAAATAAATTATAATTATATAGATGAAATAAGCAATTACCGCCAGTTATACATTTAAGCATTTTTAAGGTGTTCAGTATGATAGGAATAAACGTAAATGATGTACAAAGGTCAAATGAGTAGAAAATGAAAAATAATCATATTCATAATTTAGAGTGATCAATCAATTTTAATGGATATAGCAAAGCATGAGATTGTGCATACTTCTTTTTGATACTATAATCATATCATATGATTATAAGTAATAACTTCTGCTCGAAACATCATCCATTAATTTATCTTGTATCAGTGTGTACTATATTAAATAACTAATTCAATACAGAATTCGTTTGGAATGCTCTACTTGTTTTCAGTGTCTTTACCTAACAGGACTATATCGTCTTTTTACTTTACTTTTTACTCTACCTGGGGAAAAGTCGATTCCTGAAAAGTAGAAGTTACCTAGAGCTTACGATCTCCAATGAGTGGTGGATGATGAGAGCGTGAAAGATGAAGGAGGTTACCGGTCCAGTGGTCGCTGGTTTGAATCCGGCCGCGGTACAGATTTTCATCTCACCTTCAATCATCATCCAGTACAAATACTAGTCTGACAAACTATGGCTATCTTAGATAGTCAAATCATCATTAATAAATATTCTATTAGTCAATTGAAGCTCACTTACATCAAGATAGTTTAAGTTACTTTCAAATTGACTTTGTAGTTCACCCAAAAGTGGAATGCAATCGACTTTAATTAAATTTTCAATTTCTTCAGATGAGTTGACAAGTTTACGCTGAAGTAATCTGTCCTTTAGTAAAACAAAAAGGCATAGTTTGTCAATATCATTGAAAAGTTAATTATTTTAAAGAGGAAAATATCATTATTTTAACAATATCCAATAACCATGTCACAAAAATACGATAGAGTAATGGAGAATAAAAAGCCTTAAGGTATTCGACAACTGTTATCTCTGTATTACTACCCTTGTGTCGTAGAATCATGATAACAGTAACGTAGATGTCGAGTAGTAAGTTCTAAGTAAAAGCTGCAAGTGAGGTTAGAAGCTTTCATAGTCTCAGATGTCTGGGATATATCTGGTGTATTCCTAGTAGCTGTCTACTCCAAAAAGCAATTTTAGACGAAATAATTTGAAGCAGGAAAAAAGGTTAAATGCGGCTAGTCCATGAACGCCAACATTCCATGAACTGTCTGACTGTTAGTCTGAGCTATGTACGGAAGTGTAAACTTCACGGTTGAGGTCTACACGAAAAACAAAATTGGTGGTTCGAAACTCTTGGTAATATAGCTCAGAACAGATCTCAGTGTTGCAGATGTAAACACGCACTGTCTGCATCTTTAATATTTGTATCGTATCTCATTTTATCCCTTTTTCCTCCCTCTTTACGTCTCTCTACTCCTTCTGTTTGATTTTCCCTGTTTTTGTATCCTTCGTCTTGCCGCCTTGTATCGTCATGTGTGTTGCGAAGCGTGACAACTTGGACTGTTACGGAGTAACATCTCGTATGTTGACATTAATTGATTTAATGACATCTTACATGGACAGTTAGTCCCTATGATTTCAAAACCAAAATATTTATTACTGTTTATGGATATGCTTGTAATTCTCCGTTGTTTTACTGGATCGGATTGTTCGACCTGTAGTGGCATATGGGCTCCCATGCGGATGCCTCGATATTGCCTGAATATTAGTTATGGTAATTTTCTTAGTTGTGACTAGCAGAAGAATTGAGGACGCATATTCCGTTCTATTTGGGACTCATCGGCTGGATGTACCTGCCTCTCAGTGAGTAATGTTTTTCCCACTGAAACTCGAGCCTCATACCCATCGCTTCAAATGCTAAGGTGTTATCCACTAGGCCACGAGCACCTTGGATTCTTCTGCTAGCCACAACCAAGTAAATTACCAGTATGTATATCATTCATATAATTTGACAAAAGTTTAACTGCAGTATACAAGTAGTCCTTGTCAAACTCTCAGCCAAACAACAGTCTGTATAATACTATGCAGTGTATGAAGTGTGTACAGGTAATTTTGTATCCGCCGAAATACCAGACAAGAACGGAAAACTTATCTTCCACACTACTTTTAGCTTTTTAATCCAGATAAACTTTTCATTTTAAGGTTGAAAAAAAGGAATAACCTAATGACGTATAGATGAACATAATTGCTGGGGACTAATCGAATAAAGACCACGTATTCATTGGCACTCGTCAACAAAGTGTACCTGTGAGCATGAGAAAACCAGTGTTTCCTCGGTGTTTTGAACCTGCATCCCTCAGTACAAAATTCAGGCAACTAACCACAAAGGCAATCATGTCACGACTGATCTAAATAGGACTGTTGAATGATGTATTTGTGTTGATCACCGGTAAGTAGCGAATATCGCTATCTAGTCTCATAGCCCAGTAGTGGTAAAAGTCAACTGATGAACTTTTATATTGTGACCATTAAGTGAATTGATGCAGCGCTGCTTAGCAATAGTTTCACATATTGTCAGAATAGAATGTCGTACAGAAGTACATTAGTTCAAGTTATCACACTTCACAACGAGGAAACGGCTAGAAAACGAATGATATTAAATCAAAAAAAGTGGACAAGAGAGAAGGAAAATAAACAAATGAAAGTTTAAAGTTGTTATTCATCGTAGACTTACATCAGTTGGAGGATCAAAGGAAACCTGGGAGCACTGGAAGGCTGTTTCGTCCTAGCCCCAGAAGTGAGCATCCACAACCCCGCCAGGGATCGAACTCGTGACCTTCAGGTTCGTGAGCTAACAGAAGTTGGAAATATGGACCATTGGATTCTGACTCAGTGGCTCAATGCTAACGTGTTAGCCACGGAACCTGAAGGTCGCGGGCCCGATCCCTGGTGGGGTCGTGTGTGCGCACTGCTGAGGAGTCGCATACTAGGACGACACAGCTGTCTAGTCCTCCCAGTTTTCCTTTGTTCCTCTAACTAATGTCAGTCTACGATGAATAACAGCTTGAAATATTTGCGAATCCCCACAACTCCCTCGAAATTCAAATGAAAGTTTACCAAACGTCGGGAATTTCAAGGATTATAAACGGCTTATACGCGCTAGGTTCCCTTTCGATAGATGGTGAACCATTACACCTGGAGTTTCTAATGTATGATTTCATAAATCTCAGTCATCATTTGCCATGTAACCTACACATATGTACACTATTCAGACCAGTAGTCAGAGGGTATCTCGCTGCTGATTATTCAGAAAAAGTGGTGACTTAGAGTGGTTCACATTTGGTGAAGTGTGTTTTGTGTTGTTCTGTCTAATATCAAATTCAATGTTAGCCCCTTATCGAATTCTTCAGAACCCCTGCTCGAACATAAAAACGCTGCAAATGAGTGAACTAACAGGGAATTTATAATGGCCGGTATTCAAGAATGTGTATTATAGTATAGTATTGCATCTCCAAATAGGCATCAATCAGCAACTTGAAATATATTCTGTCTTTTCAGTCATCATAAAAAGTGTCTTGAAAGGAGGAAGAAAGACGTCAAAGTGAACAAATTTGTTTTCGGTGACATCCACCTATGCAGTCACACAATCGCATTTAAACACAATTAGCGCGCATATTTATTAGTAAAATGTTTTCATGTTTCCTGGTTAATAATCATTGGTAGGCTATGGCCGAAAACCGCCACCACCAACAACAACAATCTCCAATCACCATCAATAGGAGAAACTTAGAAGAAGTAGCCTCCTTCACCTATCTAGGAACCACTGTTTCAACTACAGGCGGCACAGGCACAGATGAGGATGTCAAAGTCAGCCAGGATCGGAAAAGCAAGACAGGCCTTCGTGAATCAACCTGGAACCAGTGTGGAGATCTTCTGCACTCAGCATAAAGAGTGAACGAGTGCAGGATTTTCAACACCAACGTCAAGTCAGTGCTTCTATGTGATGGTTGAGATAGTTGGTGTGTTACGAAAGGGATTTCCAACAAACTACAGACATTCATCAACAACTGCCTACGCTCGCTACTGAAGATCAGTTGAGATGGCCAGAAAGAATAAGCAACAAGGAACTCTGGCCAAGCAACAAACTAACCAAGAACCTACCACCCAACAAATATGCCGTGGAAGAATGTGGAGATGGACTGACCATGCAGTGAGAAGTCTGAATGGGGACATAGCGTGCCAGGCCAGGCGCTCGAATGGAACCCAGATGGGAAGCAACGAGTTGGGTGTACGAGGTTAGGGTGACATGGAGATCATATGAGGAAGGAATGAGAGCTTGTGGGCAGTCGTGGAGCGAGGTTGAAAAGATTGCAGAGAAGACAGTGGAATGGAGACGTGCTAGTGAAGCCTTATATTCCACTAGGAACCCAAGGGACAAATAATAATAATATGGCCAAAAATCACAATACATATGACTACAAATTATGTAAGAGACGTGAAAATGTTAGATAGTGTGAATCATTAAGTGTGAGTTGAAATCAACAATTCGTAACAAAGGGAGTAAGGAAGGGAATGAGAAATGAATGGCTGGGTTTTTAAAGAATGTAAGCGCGATAACAATGTGATTTTAAAAAATTACTTGTTGATTGAAGGTAACCGGCAGTGCTTGTTGACACTCGTCAGAACGGGGTGTCTGCAGTTTGGTATCTGTCCGTTTCGAGATTCGATCCAACTTCTTGAATAGTTAAATGACACGATCGCTGGCTATAATGCGGGCTCGAATCTCACAGGAGACACCAGTTCTTTTGAGGTTGCAGACAAACTGCGTTTACGAATCTAAAGAAGTACGAAACCTAGCTTAGGTAGAGCTTCCCACGCATTGCCTTCCACCAACTAATGTCCATCAAAATGTACCTCCATGTTAGGCCTCCTATTTCGGTGACCATGAGTCAGAAGTGATGAGTAGGATTCAATCCTCACTCAAGACAAAGCAATATGAATGAAACTCATTGCTCCTCTGTTATCAATCAGTGTATTAAAAAGGCTAGTTGGACTTAGGAATAGGAAAGTTTAAAAAAATAATGACTTAAGATGGGTAATGGCAAAATTGTTTCTTGGCACAAAAGTGGTACAATTACATTTCAGCAATTAAGTACGGTGTATATTCAATGGTGAAAAAAGTGTCAGTATCTGTCTACTACTAATTAAGAATGGAAAAGATAAGAAGAGTTAGGTTTAAGAATTAACTAGTCCTAATTGGTGAAAAAAGAAAATGATTAGAAAACTTTCTATTGAACACATGATAATCGTTTCCACTTCTCTATCCTTAAAGTAAAGCATGGTAAGCGTTTATTATTTACTTATCCCTTGGGTTCCTAATGGAACATAAGGGTTCAGTAGCACATCTCCAGTGCACTGTCTTCTCTGCAATCTTTCGAACCTGTCACCATGACAGCCCACAAGCTCTCATTTCTTCTTCGCACAATCTCCTCCATGTCACCCTCGGATGCCCAACTCATCGCTTCTCATCTGGGTTCCACTCGAGGGCCTGGAGCGTAGTAAACGTTTACTTACACCTTATGGAAGCTTTTCCTCAACTTGAGAAACTACACAAAATGAATTTTTTAAAGTCTGTGTTCAACTGCCAACTAAATGTTACAAGATGAAACCTTTGATTGGTCTAAGTTTACATTTCCTGAACCTTATTGGAAGATGTTCATATCGATGTTGAGAAATCTACCTCCAATGAACGACCTATATTATCTAGCTCTACAACAGCAGATGAACTGACAATCACACATTGAAGCAGTTGGTATGATTTATCAGATATATGTGGTTCTGACTTCTTGAATCTATTCAGTTAAAAGTCTTTTATCAGTTTAGTCAATAGATTCGTGATTAATTTCGTTTCGTATTGTCTACTCTTACTATCACAGTCAAATGATTCTTAGATACCGAATCAGTACTCCTGGCAGTTACTTAACTAAGCTGAAATCCACTGGCGTTGACTTTACAACTTGTCATATAATATGAAGATTTTCAAAGAAGCTTTGATCTAATAGTGGATTGATTAAGTTGGGATGGAGTCTTCAATGATGATAATTTTCTTCTACTGAATTGATTCAACTTCTTTGATTAAGTTAGTGGTGAGTTGAAAAGTAAACAACTCAAAAGTATTAACCTATCATAATAAAGTAGTCATTCTACTTAGAATTAACATACAGAATTCAATTTGGAGATTAGTGAAGATTTATTTATTAACTTCAGGTTAATATTCACTATGAACTGAAACCAGCTGGAGAACGATTGAAAACCCGGGAGTACTAGACATCTTTTCCGTCTAAGTATGCGACTGGTGGGTCGAATCTTCAAACTTCGGCTTCCGTGGCCTGCACGTTACCACTGAGCCACTGAGTTAGTATCCAATAGTCCACATTTCCTACTTGTATCACTTCACGATATAGTGTGACCTCAATCATTTGCTGTAGTTGAGTAACTGTCCTCATGTTCAACGCAGTTGGTGCAGTCGGTCATGACTCTTTATTAAAACTTCGGTAATCCTATCTCAAAGCAAGTCAATAATGAGCACTAAAATAATTCACTTTCAAAAAGTCATGGCTCATAGGGTCAACCAAGTTGGACGTGATTACAGTCAGTTATTCAACGACAGCATTGAATGTAGATCGAGCAATATCGTGAATCCGTACGCAGTATACTAGGAAATGTATTAAAAGCAAGTTAACTGATGATTTAGGTGGAAAACTAGGCCCATCATGGCCCAAACAGTTCAGTGATAACGTCCCTGATTGCAACACTGACTAGGTGACGCAGGTTTAGACCTTATATCATTCCAGTCGAGGCTAGAGGTACGTTTTGGTAATGAGTGCTAAAAATCTGAAAACCTAGGTGAAGCAAGGCTCCCTTTCAAATATCACCATCCATTTAACGAGATAATTATTCGTTTAAATTAAACTGAACTTTGATAAAAAGTTGGTTTTACTTCCAGTATGTATCCCAGCAACGAATATATAAATCTCATGCCAATAATAAAACTTATTTGATGCAAAAGAATGAAGGTATACTTGTTTTTATGTCATACCGTCGTTGCTTCGACCGAAATGATTAGTCCCTATTGGCATATGGGCTCCTGTGAGGATGCCTCAATATTGCCTGTGTTTTAATCATGTGTAGTACTGATGGGCAGTGGCTAGCAGTGGAATCCAGGATGCGCATTTCGTCCTATTTGGGACTCACTGGTCAGCTGGATGTACCTGCTTCCCAGTGAGTGATGTTATTCCCAACAGGATTCGGACTCGATCAATACGGTCCAATCAACGATGGTATGATATAAAAACAATTATACTAAAACTGCAGTGGGCGTTGCTGATAACAACGGATATAAGTAGTATATATGAAGAGGGTGGCAGGAATCATAGGGAATTATCGGCAAAGGGTAAGGTTTCTGCCAAGAACAACGCAGGGGACAACACAGGCGTATTACAGGGGATGCTGTTGATAGGAGTGTATGAAGAGCCGGTCAAGAGCAGATCAAGACAGGAACAGAGAAGAAACGAAGATATTTGCAAATGGCTGCGTTAGTGCAAGGAGTACCATATGTAACCACTACCACTCCTAATTCCTGGTAGGTTGTCGTCCGTTCCTCCATACTATACCCATCACATAAGAAGTGGTCGTCGTGGTTCGGTGGCGTGGTGGACAACGCCATGGAATTTGAAGCGGTCGCTCCCGAGTCCGAATCCCGGTGGGAATAACATCACTCACTGGGAAGCAGGTACATCCAGCTGATGAGTCCCATATAGGAAGAAATGCGCATCCTGGATTCCACTGCTAGCCACGATCCATCATTTATATAAAAGAATGAAGGGATAAAAGATCAAACCCTGTAGATATGATCAATGATGACTACAGTTGTATGGACTTTAGTAACATTAAGCTTATCTGTAACAGTAAAATGATTTATTTACTTGAAAAATAAAAAGCTTATTCTGTTTTCCCTGAACATTTCTTAAACTGGGAAATAAAGGTATCTTTCTACTTAGCTTACTTTCATTTGCTGGATTTGATCAATCCATCGTTGTGAATTATTCTCATAAGCTTTATATATTGAATTCAAACAGCGTTGATTAGTTTCATCTGTAAAAGCAATGAATCATCAATTACCGTGAACATTGAATATTGAATATATAATACACAACTGAGACCATTAGACAAAACCGGCATGATGTTAAGGCTTCAATATTCGAGTCCCATCACTACCAAAGTTTCGAGAGGATGCACTTATTAACTTTGTGTACATTCCTATGATAAGCAATAAGTTACACGTAGTATATAGAAGGTTAATGACAACTACTCGGTTGTCGAAATCTCAGGAGGTATAAACCACTGGTTGAAAAGGGAATGCAGGATGTTATTCCAGCTTCAGTCATTATCTCTGTACAATAAGCTATTAGAGTAGACTGTTTTCAATACCAACCTCGTGTGTTAGTATCACTCCACCCACGTAAGCAGCTAAATGATAAGATTTTCAATGACTCCTGGTACTAGTAATGAAACTCACATGTGAGATAATATACTGGTGATACATTTACAGTCAACCACTTTAAAGGTGCTTTATACTGACACATTGTTTAATGTGATACCAAGTTTTAGTTCTGCTGACTCACAATGAATACCAAGTAATCAATTTGATGTTCCATATTTGAACTATGTTTATTATTCACTGGATAGCAATCAATACCATCTTGTTTAATCTTAAGTCATGACCGAATTCTGTATATTCTTTCGCAGTCTGATTCCCAGGCTAGGAGACTCATCATTGTAGTACACTTTCAGTGATTTTAGTTGAATTCAGGCAATTGACGGGAAATCGTTATAAACTTAGACTTCATGCTTGCTAACGAGTGTCAGCAAGGCCGCACAAAGCGCACGCTTTCCAAACGTATCTCGGAGCACTATCCTGCATGGTTGTCGGAGGGAGAATATAAATCAATTAACAGTTCAATTCTTGAACATTTGGTCAACTCTGGACATAAAGCTAGACCAGAATCTTCCTTCAATGTCATTTATCGTGTCAGATGGAATAGTTCAAAAGGAGTACACCTTCGACAGTTGTGCACAGCGGAGGCATTGGCAATTCATCAATTCAAGCCTGATCTCTGCGTGCAAAAGAAGTATGTTCAATCTCTCATCTTACCATGGTCTTAACACTTTCATTTTTTCGATTTCATTATAATTAATTAGTTTATTATTATCACCTTCATTATGATCCTTGTCTTATTCTTCACCTTCTTTACTTCTATCTATCTATCAAGTGGACACTCAATATTTGCGCTTGTTATCTACCAATAATTTCCACCTTGTCAAACTCCTAGCCTTCCTCGATATTTCTACTGTCTAATAGATTGTTACGCAACTACTTTGCATCCTTGATTCGATTTTTTCGTAGCACTTAGTTAATGATGTAATTATACCCTCTTGTTTTATAATGGACTGTTATATGTTTATGATATATACATGAATACGATTGTACAGCTTCAAAAGAAGGATATCGTCGAAAAGAGAGAACGTTTCTTCGCTGAATTATCTCTTCTCTAAGGACGAAATAAATAATTTTTTGTCGATTAACACTAATCAACCAACATTTGGAATACATTAAGAGTATGCATTTGCGAACAAGTTCTAACATTGATGTCAAAACCATATATTAATTAGAATTTCGAATAAATGACTCCATAACTAATTTGTAGAACGGTAGAAAATATTATGACGCAAAGTAGTCTAGCATGTCGTTTACATCTGAAGTTTGATTAGCTAATGTCTATCATACTGGATCACAAGTAACTGTAATACTAACTGTAATATCGGTATTTGAATAGAATATTTTAGATTACAAATGCTATCAAATGACCTGACCTCCTGAATCAATATCACCATCATTATTTTCTGCAATATATCTCAAACGGTGAATGAATCATGAGAACGAGTTATGCAGATGCTTGATTCTGCAGATTTTACATCAATGGAGCCCATAAAAAAAAACGGTTATTCCGTAGAGTAGTGTCAATTTCTGAATTTGTGGTGGGTCAGCCAGTCCACTCGATCGAGGACAACCATACATTTGAATCAAACAGTTTATCTACTTAGCAATTCCATTCACTTCAATTAAATCAGATCAAATCAAGTTTTGTACTGACATACTGATTATCTTTGCGTCTAAGCTAATAAGGTCGTCATATGACTATATAATGACATCTGATCTTCTACAGAAGCATATGTATAGTCGAGTCAAATAGGTTAGGTATCTTATCAGAAGTATTAAAAGACGTTGTTAGTGTTTATGGAATTAATCACGTCAATATTTCAAAGAATAATGTAGACGAATGCCATGATAAAAGCAAGACAGTTATTCTTCTATAAGGTAGAGAAGTAGATGATTTACCACCGGTGAAATGGATTTATGATTAAAGGTAATATATAAGAAATTAGGTAGGAGCATACTTCGAACCTGAGGCTCTTCGATTATTGACCTGGGATTCCATCAGCGAAACTAAGCGACCAAGCTACTGAACAAATATTAGGTTCACTTCAATCACCTAGGGTTATTATACTATTATTATTTGTCCCTTGGGTTCCTAATAGAATATACGGCATCACTAGCAATCACCCATTCCACTCTCTTCTCTACACTACACTCAAACTGACTCCACCACCGCCAACAACCTCTCATTGCTTCATCACATCATCTCCTCCATGTCACCCAAAGACACACAACTCGTCGTTTCTCCCTCGGCATTCAACTCGATGGCCTCACCTGATGCACCATCTCCACAATCAGTCTTCTCACTGTATACCCAATCCAATCAATCTCCACATTCTTCCACTGAATACTTGTCGGACAATGGGCTCTTGGATGGTTGGTTCGTTGCCAGGTCAGACAGAGTTCCTCCTTGATTATTCTTATTATTCTGACACTCTGATCTCATCTTCAGTATCGAGTGAGCATAGGCGGCAACTGTTGATGAATGTCTGTGCTTTGTTGGAAATGCTTTTCATAACCCGCCAACTCTCTCAACCATCACATAGAAGCAGTGACTTACTTGACTGATATTAATGTTGAAAATCCGCATCTTGTTCATGCTTTATACTGAGTGTAGTGGATTGCAATGAAGTAGATCTCCACACTGATTTCAGATTAATACAGGAAGGCCTGTCTTGCTGTCTTCCCAATCCTGCATGTCTTTGACATCCTCATCTGTGCCTGTACCGCCTGTAGTTGAGACGATGCTGCCTAGGTGGGGGGTAGGTGAAAGAGACAACTTACTTTGGGATTCTCATGTTCGTGGTGATTGGTACTTGTTATTGGTTGGGTATCTCCATCAGCTTCGTCTTCTCTACTTTCACTTGAAGAAAGTTCGATCTTTGCTGCCCTGCCTATTCTGTCAACTTGTTGATTTTTGACTGCAGATCTTCGAGTTTGTAGGATATTAGACATAACTCATCATGGACGAAATGCAAATCTTCTTCTGTGGTCTTTTCATCGGTTCAGCCAGCGTATGCCCACATTCTCGCTCCTCACAGTTGTTTCTTGCATGATCCAGTTCAGTCCAGTCAACCACAATTAGGAAGATGATCGATGGTAGTAGGCAGCCTGGTCTTACTCCTGTTTTCACTTCACTTCAAAGGCGTCACTGAGCTTCCCATTGTGAATTACTTGGTATGTGGCGTCTTCATATAGTTGTTGAATGAGATTGATAAAGGTTTGTGGTTCTCCATAGTGTTGAAGCAACTGCCAAATTACTTCTCGGTCGACGCTGTCGAATGCCTTTTCAAAGTTAATGAAGTTGAGGTAGAGAGTTGACTGCCATTCTATGTTCTGTTCTATGATGATGCGCAGAAGAGCGTTGCAATTAGGTCCACACATGATTTGTTCTTCCTGAATCCAGCCAGCCTGTAGTCTCTCCAGGATGATGTAGCTTATCATTTTGGTTGTGGTGGACAGCAGCATGGTTCCACGCCAGTTCTTGCAAATACTTAGGTTTCCCTTCTCTAAACGTTTGACAAGATAGTCCTTCTTCCACTCGGCAGGTACGTTTCCTTCCTTCCTTGCAAACCTTCTGCAGTAGTGGTGTGAGGATGTCCGCTGTTGTTGTCTCTGAGTCTGTTTTCAGTGCTTCTGGAGGATTTCCATCTGGTCCTGCTGCTTTTCCTGAATTCGGCGTCTTTATGGCGTTTAGGACTTCACTACTGCTTTTGTCCGACGGCTTATGTTCACCGGTAATTCTGTGACTGGGCTGCTGGCGGTATATCTGGATGAAGTACAGTTGGTGGTGATGGTCAACTCGAATTTTTCAAGTGGTGAGCCAATTGTTTCCTTTATTTCTCCTCCTCGCTGACTTGGTTTCCCTCACTATCTTTCACTGGTTTCATCTGCTTTTGATCTCTTCCCGGTTAGTAACCTGGTTATTTGATATAATGTCGTCAGGTCTCTTCTACTTGCAGCCTCTTCTGTTTCACTTACCAATGTGTTGTAGAAGTGTCTTTTATCTGTGCACGCACTCTTCCTCACTTCTTTGTCCTGTGTTCTTATTGTCATACTCAGTTCCTCTTTACATTATTCATCCTTGCACTGGTTTATCTTCTGCTTCACCATCTTCCTCTCCCTTCTCTTTCAGCTTCCGTGTGTCCATCGAGATACATTCCTCATCTTGCTTCTTCTTACATCCTTATTAGGTTATGCAGATTCCTTTCCACATAGCTTTCAAAGAGTTCCAATGTTCTTCCAAGCAGGTTACTTCAGGGACGTTGCTCGTTGTCTCCCGTTTTGTCCTGATGACTGACGTGAAGATGTCCTTTGTAGTTTCATCCTTCAGTTCAGTTTCTGTTCTGGGTGTTCAACTTGAACTGTTATCTACCAGCAACTTCTTTCAAGGCTTTAGACTTGATTTTGAACTTTCCCTGCATTAGATATTGAGTCGTAGGAACCTACATCTGCTCCTCTTCTTTATCTGATCTTGTGTCCAGTAGGCTGGCTGCGTCTCCACTTTCTTTAGATTGAGATGAAGTCAATCTGATTTTTGGTGTGTCCATCTGGTGAAATCTATGTCGCTAGCTTCGTGAATATCCTTGTGTTTGTA